CACACACACACACACACACACACACACACACACACACACACACACACCCCCTACCTGACCCAAAATCAAGTAGTTGCAAAAATGGTAACTGAGTTTCTTTTTTGCTTTTAAAACTTTTATCTTTTAAATGGTATTTATGCAACATTGTGTGGCAGAATTCTTCCATAGCTTAAGTCTGCTAAACTGTGCTTGTTAATTCACTTTGGAAGGAACCCTTATTTACCATGGAATGATAATTGGTCAATGTAGGGACTGTAGGAAACCCAGAGGCCATCTGTTTCGTGGTGGAGGGGGAATGGGGAAACTGATGATCATCATGAGTACTTAACCAGAGCATTTTGTTGAAGGTAATCTCAGTGTTTTTAAAATTTTCTCATTTGCACCAGATATTTCCTAGGCAGGTATTTGCTAATTATCCTTGGCACTCAATGAATACAAAATAATATTCCTCCCTAAGTTAGTTAATAAAACCATTAGAGGTTCTCTTATTTCCTTTTTTATTAATATCATAGTGTCTTATTTAAAACAATTAATTGGCATCTTTTGTTTTCTCATCACCCTTTCTTCAGTATCTCCCTTCTCTCCCATTTCCTGAGAGCCTCTTTAACACAAAGTCAAAAAGAACATAGGTTCTTGGGGTCCATAGTGTGTTCAGTGTTCTCTGCCTGGAATGAGGTGGGGCAGGATTGAATTCTGTTCTCTCTCTCTTTGGTAGCCAAGCATTATCGTTAACATACTCAAGTTTTATTTTGGTTTTTGGTTTTGTAGTTTCTTTTTTTTTTTAATTGGTTTATCAGTTTCTATTGATATAGACACCATTAGTTTTAATACATCTGCTTTTTTCACTTTGTACTTATCCATTGATAATAGATATCCTTTGCACTTCTGAATTCTTCAGATTTATTGTCTCCTATTACGTTAAATATCTTGTAGTTACCTAATCAATGTGCAGGTACTTAGTTTCCAATTATTTAGTACTACAAAAGTGCTGTTGTAAAAGATAAATTGGTGAATCTGTATGCAACAAATTCTTTATTAATATTTAAACAAGCAGGCGATTTAAAGAAAAGTTATCTACTAGTGATCTGCTAAAGCGACTTGGGTTCTCTGAGAAATTTACTCTTGTAAAAGATAAAAGTTTTTTTTTTAACTTAGCATTCACATTTTAAAAGTTTTGTTTTGGTGCTTTTTAGTCATTTCCCATAGACAAAAGCAAAACCATTCAGAAAAAAGAGTGCGTATGATAGCATATGCAACTTTATGTGGAATGTATTTCTGTTATTTTCTCAGGTACCAAAATATTTATGGTTATTTCAGGCCTGTTTTTGTATCTAGTGATTGAATTGAACATCAGGTGTTCTTAACCTTTGTTATGTCAAGGACACCTTTGGCAGCCTAGTAAAGCCTATGCACTACATATTGCCCCAAACTACTAACTGCTTATTGTAGGAAAAAGCCAGTTGTCCTATTTTCAATACTTACTAGCTATATAGGATATGCCTAACCTATTATGGAACATGCTACTAAGGCTGCTTGCTCTCTGAATTGAACAGATTTTAAGGAAATAGAATATAAACTTGACTAGCCTAGGATTTAATACTTTCATAGATGACTTTATAAAATCATTCACATTTTCTTCTTGGTCATTATGTTTAGTGCTATCTTCTTATATCGAGTTCTTAATGACAGTAGAGTACTTTTAGGCATTTAATTGAAGATAGTTTTTTTTTTTCAATGTGATAGTCTCCATTACACAGATTGACCTAGGAACAAAGCGGCTCTATAAATCCTTAACAAAAGAAATTGAACAAAGTGGGGCATGATTTTTTCCTTGAGAAAGAACAGTGATAGTAATATTTTTCTTTTGTTTCTGCTCATTTCAGAACTAGGGTGAGTTGAAGGGGAGGAGACCTGATGACCAGGAAGTTCTAATTCTGGTCTCTAGAAGTAACAGAAAGGGAAGTTGGAGCTTGTATCTGAGGTGGCTAGCTAAGAAGATATGGAAATGAGCCATCTAATTCCAATATACGTGGCTTTACAGGTAGAAACCAGAAGATGACCTCTAGGGTCCCTTCCCTTGGGTGTAGTTAAGTGGCACAGTCGGTAGTGTACAGGGTCTAGACTTAGAAAGATTCCTCTTCCCAAGTTCAACTCTAGCCTCAGATACTTATTAGCTATGTGATCTTGGGCAAGTTGTTTAATCCTGTTTGCCTCAGTTTTCTTGTCTGTAAAATGAACTGGAAATGGAAATGACAAACTACTCTAGTACTTCTGTCAAGGAAATCCCAAATGGGATCATGAAGAGTTGGACACAAAATAGTAAACGTGAATGAGTAGAAAGCTGTTCCAAAGAAGGAATAATGTGGAGAAATATGTGTGTGTGTGTGTGTGTGTGTGTGTTTTAGTTTTAGCCTGTGCTTTTTCTTGCTGATTTTGGCTTGTATATTACTGCATTGTTTTTGTTCCCATACTTGGATTTCTTTCAAATAGTTTGGCTTTACATCATTTTCTTAGCTCATAAGAAATCCAAATAGAAACAGCCTTATCTCATTTTTTTCAGTAATTGGTTTTATTCTAAATTCTGACCAAAATTTATTTGAAACCAGTCACACATCAGTTACTATCATGGCAATATAAAGACCATAATGAATATTAGGAAGTTTTAATAAAGCATGAAATACAGGCAGTTTTATATAGTACCCTCTCATCTTGATAAAGGGACATTATGGTAAATTATAAATGTGTATGGATTCCATGCCATAACTGTGCTAGACTTTAGTGCATATTGTCCTTAGGGACCCCATTTTAAAACTCTGCAAGTGAAACTACCTAATAATGAGGCCTTTGACATTGAAATAGGCCAGTCTGTTTTGGATTTTTACTTGCATTTAGATTTTAGGTGGCATTTTATAAAGGAATAATGTTGAAACAGGGATTTTTGCCAACAACTTGGTTACTTTAACAAATTTAAGTTCCTCTTGCTTAAAAAATTACTGTGCTGAATATTCAAGAATTGTCAAGCACAGTTTAAGGTATATATGATGCCTTAAGCTTGTTTATAATTAAAAACTTGATCTGAAGATGGGAATTACTAGATAGCACTTTTTATATGGGAAAGTACCCTCAGAATGGCTTACAGATCTGGCTTCAGATAGTAGTATAGCTTCTTAATCAAAATATATATGTTTCAGAGAAGTATGTTCAAACTCAAATACAAATGGATCCCTCCTGGCCACATGTTGATTTACAAAACCAAAAATGCTCTATTAAAAGTTTACACAATCTTGTAATGAACCTAGATCTCACAGTTTTAAAAAATTCTTTCATTAAGCATCGATCCTGTCAGAAGTTGAAATTGTAAGAGTTATAGTTTATCCACATAGCCCTGACCATGTATCTATCTAGCCTTCATTGAGACTAAGTAAGACAGAAAATATGGATGAAGCAGAACCTATCTACCTGTAGGAAGAGGAGGATGAGGGGTAGAGATTCCTGATGAAGACAGAGAACCAGGCTTAATGAAACTTTGAAAGAAATGAGAGCCGTGGAAAGACGAGAGATTGTGGACAGGACCTTAATTGATATTACAGAGAAGTTTTGAATTATGGTGAAGTTTGTATGGTAATCACCTTAATTAGTGGTTTAAATAGATTTAAGATGTAGGTCAAACATATTAAGTTCAATCGATTAAGGACATTTTAGTGTTAGTGTCTTCATTCTTCATAGAAATATAAATTTAGACCTGGAAGGTGTAATAGAAATCATCATGTTCAACTCTTCTGATTTTATAGATGAAGAAACTTAGGTCCCTAGAGATAAAATAATTTGTTTTTGGTGATATGTCTAGTAATCATCTGGAGTAAGGTTTGAAATGAGGCCTTCTTGACTCCAAGTTCAGTGTTCCATTTGTTAAACCATTCTACCTCAGGCATCAGTCATTAGGATTATCATTAAATAATGAAATGTTCTAGTGATTGCAGAGCTAAGGGATAAAAAAACTGAGAAATGTTAAAATCATGGACAAAAGTTTTATCCCTTTTTCTGGTTGTAAAGGTAAATATGAACAAAAGTCTTGCGGCTAAGATATAATTGAACAGCATAAATAAATGACTGAAATGTTTGGTGATTGGCCACGTGTCTAAAAGTGGAAGTGAAGGCATTCCATTTCTATGCCCTGTGAGAGTAGAAAGATGAATAGATGACACCAGGAAGGCTTTGGAATGATCTGGCATCCTCTATGCCTGTTGTTAGTTATTGTAAGAAGATAAAAAGGAGGTTAAGTAAAGACTGAGATTGAGGCAGTCTGTCAACACACATTTTCTAAGGGTTTATTATGTGTCAGGCAGTGTGCTAAATTCTGTTAATATGGATAGGAGGCAGATGGAGGGAGGGACAGGAACAAACCAAGGTACGGTAGTGAATGTTTGAAGAGCAGCTTGCAATGGAATGAGGCATTCAGAGTCCTCCTTAATAGGAGTTTTTCAGAGGAGCCATTGATTCAGAGGGTAGGTCCAAATATGACTTGAGTAAAGTTTCAGAATGAAGAACTGGAGAATAGTGAAGGAAATTAGGAGTGCAGTCTTCTGAGGAATGAGAATAAATGAGGGTTTTTAAACATGACAGAAATATGTTTCTAGGAAGATTAATTTTTAGGTGAAGAGGGTGAATAGTAGATCTGGAGTGAGTAGGGATGTGAATTGTGGGCATTTGTTTATGTCTAGAAGCAGTGGGTTTGGATAACAAGAATTGGGGAGGTAAAAAGTTGGCAGGTGAATTAGAGTGATATGTTAGCCAGAAAGGAAAATTCAGATGGCAAGCAAGCAAAAATGATTAGTGTAGAATTTTGCATTTTCATTTAGAATGTTGATGTAGTACTCTAATTCTAATCTGAGCCCCTCCAAAGTGTTGAACTCTGAGTATTCATTTATATGTACATTTATATATGCATACATGTGCATATATATGTGTATGTATACATACATATGTTAATATATTCATTTTACCCTTGGTCCCTATTCCTACACATCAGTAAAACTTGTTTCCACCTCCAGGATTTATCTGTATTAGCTGACAAGAAAGTGTCTGTGATGTGAGAGGCATTGAAGGTCTTAACTTTGTAACTTTCCAACTTCTAGCACACATTATTATAATACCCATTTTAAGCCATACAAGTTAATTGAATATGGTGATATATTGAGTATTTTATAAAAGAAAAATTATTTGTTAAAATTTTTTGTTTGTGATCTCATGATCTCATGCTTTTTTTTCCCCCTGCATTTTGTTTTTCTTACAATCTAGTTGCAGTGGTGCTTCAGTTTAAAGGAGTTGAGATATTATTGGAGAATTAGGGTTTCCTGCTTATGTCAAAGTACAGAGTTATTGTCATGACTGTTATTGTCATGACTATTATCTAGTTTGAATAAAATTTAGCTTAACACAGTATTCTCTATGGCCTTGTAGTAAGGAAAAAAAATTTTTATAGCACAGTATACCTATTGAAACTTTTAGATAAATTTTTCCATATATGTAGAAGAACGTATTTCTAGGTACATATATCCAACAGGGCAACCAGACGTGGTCTGTATAACATAGATTTGTTGGGAATCTCTAATTACCATAAAATGAGTTATTATTTTATACAATATTAGTAATTTTTATTCTGGTAGAGATAGTTATATCAGCAATAATTTTACTTCTTGTATGACATTAAATCATTAAATAATTTCATATAGTCTGTTAAATTATATTGAATGCTACATTGTCTTGTACTATAAATATAGTAAACTTTTTACTATAAACCTTTTGGGTTGAACTATCTTATAACCCAAAATGTCTTGTGTCACTTTTCTCCTGACACACACTGAGAATGAAGGGAAGATCTTAATAGGCAGAATGTTTCTTAACTTAGGGAAAAATCAAGGAAAACAATCAAACAGATTTCCATTTGTCTTCCATTAAATATGGCTTTAATTTCATACTTGTTAATATCCATTGCTCTTACTCTAGTTAAGAGCTAATATCTTAAAATTTCAGATTGATGCCTATTTAATTTCTGGCAGTATTAATTTTGTGATATGAAGATGCTAATTGTGATTTTGATAACATTATAGAGACCTGGTAAGTAAATGTGCAGTGTTTCATTTTAATATCTTAACAGTTTTTGGTCATTTTCTTTAATTTATAACAAGCATATAGATTAGTAAATTGTTAGACTCAAAATTGACTTCTTCCCAGAAGTCACTTTTTTGCTTGACATTGTTTTATATTTCATTTGAAATTTAATGTGATCTTTGCAGGGTAAATTTTTTTTTTTAAAGTTTAACATTAGATTAGTTCAAATTATTACTGAATATGCTTCTTGGAAGTGAAATTACATTTACCCAAGTAGTCTTAATTCTAACTCTTCCAGTGAATCTTTATGATCAGTATAATTTATCAACCTTTTTAGACATTTTAATTTGTAAATTTAGGACAGTTTGCCCTAATTCTATTTGCTTTTTTCTCTCCAATTAATCCAATGTGTCGGTCTTTTGGTGTAGATTTTTAGCCCTAAATTTATAAAGTTAATACAATAATGGAAATAATTATCAATGTTATAATTATATGTATGTGTGTGTGTATATATATATATATACACACACACATATATGTGTGTGTCGCTAATATTTTTATAGATCTCTATGTAATGTGGGCTGCCTCCTTGTTATTTAAAAAAGTTGTAGGTAGATTGTGCTTCTTATTGCCTTTCTGCCTGTTCATTGTGATTGTAGCAATAGATTTATGTAGTGTTGTAAGCCTAGACATTCCTTCTTTGGTGTGGGAGTGATAAAGAGGAAGGTTATCATGAATAAAATCCTTCTCTGGTTGTTAATATAGGATCTAGACATTGTTTTATGTTATAATTACAACTTGTACACTAATGGTGATATATCAGTCCTTTTCTTAATGTGTTGTGATTTCCTGTTTTAATCTCCTGGGTGAGCATTCTTACTTAGAAGAAAGCCATAAACTTTATTGTAAAGTTATGATAAGGAATCAGTTAATTTTTATCCCTCTTTCAAGCAATTTGTCCTAAATTTCCATACGTTTACATTCGCTTTTGCTATTCTAAAATCTTTAGTTGCTGGCTTTGACTTTTTATGTTGCTGAGTTTTATACATCTATTTTTTCACCTGCCATATCCTAGGGGGCTTGGAGTACCAATAATACAGTGAGCCCACCTTCCTGGTCCCCAGACATTTCAGAAGGCCGGGAAATTTTTAAACACAGACAGCTTCCTGGCAGTACCATTTGGAGCATCAAAGTGGTAAATAAAATTTTGTGTATCCTATTTATTTCTGATTAATGCTGTATGAGAGAAGAATAAAAAATTAATGTATATATATTTTAGCTGATATAGCTTTGTATTTCATCTTTTTTAAATCTGAAACTGGATGAAATAAAAGGATATGCCCATTTTAATTTATGTATTTAAATGTGTAGTTTAGTCTCAAAAATTATTTGATAAATTAGTAGTTTATAGGGGAACAATGAATTGAGTTTACATTATTTAATTGTTCAAATCCTTAAAATCTCTTTTTTTTAAAGTATTGATATTATTGAAATACTTATGACAGACATCTTCGCATTATATTGTCCATAGGTAATTAACAGTTTGAAAAAAACTGCTGTAAGTTATAATAAATACCATCTTTTGCTAACAGATTTTTAATCTTGTCTACGACAATGTAATCAGTGTTTATCATATTTGGAATTTTAGTTTTCTTAACATTATAAGGAAGTGATGACATTTGAACATATGAGAAAGGAAGCTTGATATTAAAAGTTATGATCATCCCAATTATTATATTGGCTTAAAATTATAAAACATAATTGGAATCTTATCGTAACTGTGCTGACATTTCAGTTTTATTATTTGGTTTTTCATTTTGCTATTATACTTCCATAATATAAAAGAAATCCCAAAATAGTTTTATTCAGGGACTATTAAGGAAGTTGTGTCAAAACATGGGGAGGAAGAAGACTCTAGTTACAACCTGAGATTGCAAGGCCTTTTCCTTTTTTGTAGGGATGGGAGGTTATAGGTTAAGGATATTCTCTTTAATTTAGATATTCTTTAATGACTGGATAAACATGATTTCTGCCTTCTTGAAAAGAAATCTAAGGATTTATTATGAAGGTATAAATTTCCAGAGGTCAGGGAAAACTGCTAATTCTGTGGTGATTGTATGTAGTTAAGTATTGGGCAAAAGCAAATTTGTAGGATTTCCTTAATTTTACCACTGGTTCTACATACTGTATCCTTTTGAAATACCTTAGAAATATGAATAAAATAACTCATTTAAGTAGGACTTTTCTTGAAACCTGCCTACCCTGTAAGAATAAACTAATGAAATAGACAAGACCCCAGAGATCTTAGTGTAGGACAGCAGAAGCCATTTAGTAATTTGAAGTTGAATAGAACTGAATGGTATGCACTGTATACTGATCTCGTTAGTAATATATACACAAATTTTGCATGAAATTTTATTCTTGATTTTCTTTACACTAGAAATCATTTTAATGCCAACTGGATCTTAATAATTGTTGGTTAAGTCACTTCAGTGTTGTCTGAATTTTTGTGACCTCTTTTGGGATTGTCTTGGCAAAGATAGTGGAGGGTGTTGCCCTTTATCTCTCCAGCTCATTTTACAGAGGAGAAAACTGAGGCAAACAGTGTTAAGTGACTTCTTCATTGTCACACAGTTAGTTTCTGCTTGAACTTAAAAGATAAATATTTCATGCCCATAGGATATTTTTTTCTTTAGCATATAGATGCCAGTCTAATGCATACTTCAACTGTAGAAGCAAACATCTAAAAAGATTTTTATGGATTTGAACATCAGCAAATTTGATTTTTAAAAATAAAATTATAGATTACAATATTTTTAGCTGGAGGTCCTTTAGCCCAATACTTTAATTCTAGATATGTTATCTGAATTCTAGAGTTGTTAAGTGAGTTTCTCAAGTATTCAAGCACAGATTGTTTAATTCTCATTTTAATATTTGTTTTACATTATGGGACTATATAATTGCATTTCTTTTTTAGATTGAATTAAAATTGCTTGGAAATCATAATTACATGTATTCAGCTTCCAAGTCATATGATCTTTTAGCTATTAATTAAACTCTATTATAAGCTGAAAATAAATTTTCATCTCTTCTCTCTGCAAAATCAAGGTGAAGGAAAGGTAGTGGTATAAAAATTAATTCAGGGAATTATTGGTGAAGAAGAAAATGGAATCTATGTAGTTAATGTTAAATATTTCTTTAAAGTCTTCAGCAAAACAAATTTTTCCACTGGTGAAATTAACATGTGTCCCCAGAGTTCCAAGACTTTACACATATGACAGGAAAAATCTGTTTTTCAGACCTATTTCATTATGGACCAGCTGTCCAAGATTTATCATTTTCATCAACATTTGATGATTTATGCATTCCTTACAGATCATATATCTGGTCTTATTTAGAAGTTGCAAGCTATACTTGTAGATCAAATTGTTCCTTTTGAACAGGCACAACGGCCTAAGGAATAATTAGTAATTATGTTCACAAAAAAACCTTAAAGTAATATATTTTTTAAGACTGTATTAATTTACTTGGGTTATATTTATTTTATATTCTTTACATTTTAATTTTATTGACTCAATTCATGACAATCATGCTACTCTGGTATCTCTTTCTAATTAAGAGAATATACAATTAATTGAGTATAAAGGGAAAATCTAAGGTTTTTTATTTTTGGTTGTAACAGGAAGTTATAGGTATTGAATAGTTTTGTTAGACTTGAATAAATTTCCTGGCTTACCTTTTTTTTTTTTTTTTCCATTAGGGGAAATAGTCATATGACTGCTGTTTTGAAGCAGTCTTATTGCTTAAATTGTATTGGTAATTTAAAAAAAATTATGGATTTTTAATCACATCTGTTGCTAATAACTACAGACAATTTTTAAAAATGTTACTTTATATTTACTAGGGTCGTGGATCTGGATTCCCTGGGAAACGAAGACCTCGAGGTGCAGGACTTTCAGGGCGAGGTGGCCGAGGCAGATCCAAACTCAAAAGTGGGATTGGAACTCTGGTTCTTCCAGGGGTAAAACTTATTAATTATTATCTGTTGTACTAATTAATATGCTGATATTTTTGTCTGTATGAAATAATTTAGCATATATTCAAGGCTTTTTAAAAATTGATTGATATACTAAAAAGAATGTTTAAAACTCTACTTCTACTCCCATTCAGTCTTTTCTCCAATGTATTTGACTTTTTCCCTTCCCTTCCTTTTCTCCACTTTAAAATCATTTTGATGTTACATCCCTACAAGGTTCAGGGTATTGTGCTAGGTTCTGGGAGATGATGATGAGTAATAAGATACCATCTGTAACTCTGTCCTTGATTTTTTTCTATCTAGTATTTGAAGTAAATGACATTGAAATATATATTTAATCTTTTCTGTTATCTTTTTGTAACTTTTATTCATGGTGTTTTATTTATTCTTATGACTTAAGTATTTGACTGTATTTACTACGAGTCTAATAATATGGATCATTAGTATAAGTTATTAATAATGCTATCAGTATGAGTTTGGTTAAGATAATGAACATTTTTCAGGCAGGAAAAATTTAGAAGTCTTTTTTAAGCTTCTCTTTATGGATGACTACTGCTGGATATGGTTTTGGCAGCTCTTTGTTGGTTTAATATTTATTTAGTGGGGGGAAATTCCTTTTGGACTCAGTTAGTTTAGATTTTACCTGATCATTCCAATTTTAGAAGGAATAAACTCGGTTCTTTTTTTGAGGGAGTGGTTTAAAATTTTATTGATATAGTTTGTTTTTTATCACATCATTTTCTCATATATTGTTCCCCCTTCCAAGAGAGCTCTTCTTTATGAGAAAGAAAATAAAACAGTGCATAAAATCTAACTAACATTTCTAAAAATCTAGCATTATACAATATACAGAGTTCCACAGTTGCACGTGATTCTTTACTTCAGTGGAAATAAACGATAGAGAAGTACTCCTCATGTCACGATTTTGGAGCCAAACATGATCATTCTATTTTCTCAGGATTTTGTTTTGGTTGTTTATTTTTTTCTTTATCTTTTTCTTTTTTTTCCTATTGGTCAACCATTATTCATTAAGTGCTTATTATGTGGCAGGTACCATCTTAAGTAATGGGGATGCAAAGAAAGGTGTAAGACAGTTCTGTTTTTGAGGACCTCAGCAGTCTAATGGGTGAGACGTTATACCAGTACCTACAAACCAAGCAAGCTATATAAATGAATATTCACGAATAATTGGAAATAATCAACAGGGGAGGCCCTAGAAATAAGTCATGTTGATTTGCCTCTATTTTGTTTATGATTTTTAAATAAGCAAGGATTATAGGTGATTGTAAAAGATAAAGTAGAAAATTTCAATTGGAAAAAAAACTGAATTTTGTGTAGAAACAAAGTCAGTGAAACTAGAATAAGACAGGAAAATGAATTAAAACACAAAATCTTGGCATCAGTTACATCTATATATCTATAATACATAGGGAGCTAAGTCTTACCAGACTGAGCCATTCTACCTATTTCTTAAGTATTTGTAGAATTTGAAGCAGTGGTATTCAAAAGAAGAATAGCAAATGAAGGTGTTTGTTTCACTAGACTAAGGTAGACTATAGATTGGTCACATTGCTGCGTGGAATTTGTAGGAAAAAAATAGCAAAATACTTATTAGCATGTTTCTGGATTTTTTAAAAATACATTTGTTTGTTGTTTTCTTTGCTATTCTGTTCATTTAGCAGAGCATGAGTATAATCAGTAATAGATGGCAGAAGAGAAAATGTTGCAAGAATACCAGAGGCTTGTACCCAAACATTCCTGGTCTTACTCCTAGATCTAATACTATCTTTGACAGTTATTTTGTACGGAAAGCCTTATTTAGTTTAGATATTCCCTCTCTGTCTGCTCTTTTCACTGTGACAATAATTCATCGTAGTGGTATTGCACTGATAAGTTCTATCATCATATCTCAACATCCAAAATCTTACATGGCTAACAGAGTTTGGTAAGAATACATAGTATTCTTAACATATATCTCTGGATCTTGATAATTCCTGTGATGGCTCAAGAAAATAAGATTGGCCCAATAGGGTAAAAATGGTTCCTAGAAGGGTCCCCCTAGCAGTGATGGCTTAGTTAAGCAAGAGTGCCCAAAGGAATGAAATTAATGTTTTCTATCCCGAGGTACTGGATTTCTATGTTAATTCCAAACAATAAAGCCTAATTGTAAAGGAGGATAAATTGAAAAAATAATTTCATTTTGTGGTCACAGTCAACCTGGTTCACATCTTTGAATGTAATCACACACAAAAACATACTCTCTTTGTAAGTACATCCTTGTGCCTGACTGGCATCAGGAGATTCTGCCTCTGACTTTGTAGCCTTTCCCTTGCTGAGCCACATTTGTCTTAGTTAAATTGAGGTGAGTTGGACTTGCTAGCTTTTGTAAGGTCTCATCCAGCCCTAATATACTTTGTTTCTGTACTCCATCTTGCTTCAGTTTTTGACTTCTTATTATTCAAAACCTGTTCATGACTATCACACACATTTCCTCATTCTAGAAAACTAGAGCTAACATTCACACCCTTTCTTCAGATTCCACATGTCCAAATGTTTGCTTTCTAAGAGCTAGGATTCCTGAGATCAGTTTCTAAACCACTCATGAGTCTTCTTAAAACATTCCTCTTTCTGTATCTGTTTTCTGTCCCCAAAGTAAATCCCTGTCCTCACCTCTTACTGTACCTAGCTATATGGAGAGATAAATTGTAGAAGAGGATATTTCTGTACAATGTAATGAAAAGCTTCATGCCGATCAAAATTGTTCAACAATGTCGACAGTACATGCCTTGGAAGGTAGTAGTTTCCATATCTGTGGTATGAATGAATGGTTTAAATTTTAAATGCTAAGTGCTACATCCTATATGCTAAATGCTGGGTATATAAATAAAAAACACCAGCTAGCATCTGCTCTTAGTGACAGTAATAATGGGAGACACCATATATATGGAAGTAGGGGCCAGATTAATATTATATCTGGTACAATTGATCATTAAGAGCTTGAAGTTTCAACCAGTCAGTATATTTCAATATCTTCACATAGAGGCCATTCTCAAAGTAGTTAAAAAAGTAGTTCTGGATTATTAAAACCTAATAAAGATAGTTAGAAAGAAAGTTTCCCTGGATCCTTAATTTCCCTAAAAATTGCTTTTATTTTCATCTTGTCCGAAAACCCATAGGTGGTTTCCACATGAATCCACTTCAAGGCAAAATTAACTCAAACTGGACAGGATAGGCACCATATCTTCTGTGTCTGCAACAGACCCAGCTAGTAGGGAATGTTAGGTGTTGCTTACTCCTTCTTATTTTGCCTAATACTCTGATCCACAACACTTTGGAGAAGGATGTTTTGTTTTTGGAAGTTTCTAGAAGTCATGGTAGTATAGATTTGATTACAGTGCCCTGAGCAAACTGGAGATGATGGTTTGAGAATATTGTAAAAGGGTGTACCTGTGTGAAAAGGTGACCCGCTTGAATTTCAACTGGAGAGATGGTTTGGGACCAGTTAGGTAGAGTTGAATAATGCATTTTTTTTTTCCTTTATAGGGCTTAGATCCTCTGGCACAGGTTATGGCCTAACTCCAAACACTTTGTTTTTAAAGATTGGTAGAGAAGATAGGTTACATCCTATATTCCACATTAAGCCACTTACATGGATTATTTCCAACACAACCACACCTACCCTTATCTTGCATTGCTTCCCTGTTGAGTTTTATTTCTCTTCTATAGAAATTCCTAGATTCCCATCTTCAGTACCAGTTTTCAGCCCCTCGATTCCCCGGGGCACCTCTAGGCTAACCAATTTTACTTCTAACCTCATCACTCTACTGAAGAACTGTTATTTTGAAGATTGTCAGTTAACCTTTTAATTGCAAATCTAATGGTTTTTCTGTATTTTTTTTTCCCTTCTTGATATCTTTGTAATATTTATCACAACTTATCACCCTTTTCTCCTGGTTCATTTATTCCCCAATCAAAGGGCGTTCAATTGGTTTTTATATCTTTGGTATTACAAAGACTCCTGCTATAACTGTTTTATTATATATTGGACCTTCCTTGTTGTAGGTTACCTTATATGCCTGGTAGTGGGATTGCTCTATCAAGGAGTATGAGGAGTTATGTTATTACTCTCCCAAAATTACTGATTTTTGCCCCCTAAATGATTGGACTGATTTACAGCTCTCCCACCAATAGGTGGCCCTGTTTCTTTGGAAACATACCCTTACACGGTTTGGGGTAGATGATATTTCAATAAAGGACACTAGAATAAAAGATTATCTAGGTGAATTGGAGAAGGTGATGTCTCCGAAGTCAAAGATGGTTAACATTGTGCAACATGAAAGAGGTCTGAAGGGAGAATAAGGATGGAAAAAATGTTTTGAGATTAGGAGAGCATTCGTTAGCTACTTTAGAGTGGGTCATTTCACTCGATTTTTTTAGAGTTGCAAGTCAGATTTGAAAGAGTTTGAGTTGATGGAGTAGATAATGAGGTAATAGAATCAATAGTAGATAACTTTTCGAAAGTTGAGCTGTGAATGCAAGGGGAATTGAATGTTAACAAAATTTTTGACGATGAAAAGTCTTCTGTATTTGCAGAATTAAGGAACTAATAGCAGGGGAGAGATTGAAAATCCATGTATGAGACAGTAATGACTTAGAGTGAGGTCCTAGAGTACAGAGGTGGGTGTTGGCATCATGGTTACAAGTAGAAGATTGACTCGTAAGGATGCCACTCCTCCTCTGACCAGCAGGAGGCTGAATGAGAATTTTTAAACTGTAAGAAGCAGATCATGATGAATAGTCTCAAACTCATTGAGGCAGCGAGCTAGTTAATCTCCTCTAAGTGGAGGGTTCCAATTAGGGATGAAAGGAGAGCGGAAATAGTTTAGAACAGGTACTGAGGAGAAAAAGTTATAGAATTAATGATAAAGTAGGAAGATTATTGTACAGCAAGGCCCCAGCTTAAAGTGTTTTATGTGAATTTGTATTGTAGTAATTAAATAATTGTCCTGTAGGTTCATTGATGACATTGAGAATCCTGAGACCAGGAGGGGAGGAACTGAATAGAGATGTTACTGAGATATTGGCAGTGATGGAAGGTCCTGCACTTCCGGGATAGTAGCAAGTGCAACCTTCCTGGAAATCTACCTGCCTCCTCTCAGCCCACTATCACCATTGTCCCAACTTAGGTCAGGCTCTTCATGCTGGCCTTATCTTGCTTAGAATTGGCAATCTGCACCACTTCACGTGAACATCTCTAACCTATGAACGTTTCTCTACCTTTCCAGTTCCCTGTAATTGTGTTCTCTTCTTGTGGACAGGGACTATTTTGCTTGCTTGTATTTGTATTCCCTCTACTTAGAAGAGTGCCTGGAACATAGTACTAACGTTTCTTTCTGTCTGTTTATCTACTTTATTAAAGCTGGATTTGGAAGAGAATGAAGCTAGAGTAGAGGTCAGAGGTAACTGTTAATGAAATTGTATATAATCCAGAAACTAACTTTTTAAAGTTAATAATCATCACTTTTTCCTCTCCATGTACCATTATTGATATCACTGTAATTTGGGAGTGACTTTGGAGCAATAGAAACTACTGACATTGAATTAGTGATTAATGAGCTTTTTGTAAATAAAGAGCATTTTGTTTAAAAAAAAAATTGCCTCGTTTGGTACTTATAGGTCCCCTGTGAAGCATTTTACAGTGGAGGAAATTGAATGCTGGAGTTTTATATGGTCACATGACTACCAAATGTCATAGACAGAATCAGAACCCAGATCCTGGGTTCCTCATATGTCTGCACAAATTATCTCCAACAGTCAAATTTCCTTAAGGAAAGCATTTTTTTCCCTCCGTGTTTGACCCAGTTCCTTATCCTGATATATCAGGAAGTAGATGATTGTATAGAAAATCACCCTTCAGGGATACTTGGCACATATGTGTAAAAGAATTAAGTAGCTTAGACAGTGGTAAGTATTGCTTGTGAATAAGAATCTAAATATCTAAAATAGGAAACATATTATTAGTCTTCTTAACATAGAAAATATGCAAACTTACAAGCTTTTTTCATATTTAATTCAGTCTACAATTTTACAAAGTATTCTCAAAAGAATAAATGTCTTGTGAGGTAGAATATAATGTAATTTAAATTTCACTCTTTTGTAGGTCACTTCTATGGATATGTTATCAAGCAAGGATGAAGAAGAAAATTCCATGCATAATACAGTAGTCCTATTTTCTAGTAGTGATAAATTCACTTTACATCAGGTATGGGGATATTATTTTTATATTTCTTGTCATCTTTGCCATTTAAACATCTAGCTTATGTTCTTTAAAGTATTTTAGTTTACTGTCTTTCTGTTTGAAATGATGCAAATTTTTTGTCACCTTATTTTATATAAAAAAGGATTTTTATTGTTTTTTAATCTAGGATATGTGTGTAGTTTGTGGAAGCTTTGGCCAAGGGGCAGAAGGAAGGCTACTTGCATGTTCTCAGTGTGGTCAGTGTTACCATCCATACTGTGTCAGTATTAAGGTGAGTGCTGTTATTTTTAAAAACCTGACAAAACTGCTTTGTTTTGGGGTTTTTTTTTTGCCCATTTTGTTTAAGTTACAACATAATGGTACTACTTTTTAAAATCATAATCAGGAATTCATTAAGTTGTTAAATATTTTTGACTAATATGGTTGTTATCTTTGTTATTTGTGAAAGACTTTAAATATTATTCTTTAGTGTTTAGTGCCTCAGTAGAAATTAACCCTTTCTAATTCTGTAACCATGAGTAAACTAGTTTGAACAAGACATTTTACAATATATGTAAAATACAAATATTAGTTTTATTTTAAAGGAAAAATATGCTGGATCTTAATTTGCCAGGACATGTAGTTTAATTTAATTATCTATTGATTGTCAAAAGTGTCAGCAACTATAGTTAGTTAATGTTTTGGATTTATTAGTTTGGCTTAAAAAGGAAGAAAATTTAATTGGATTGATAGGAGATGAGGCAAAAGGCACATAAGATATTTACTACAACATTTAAAGTATAAGTTACTTTATGTAAGTGCACTGACTGTCTTAAAAAGTAGATACAGTTTAACCAGACTTAATGAAATGCATTCTGTGTTTTGAATGAAATAATTTTTCCCCTTTCTTTGTCAGTGAAAGAATTCATTTTATTTATCCAGTATGACTCATTCCTTGAAGTTCCCTGGGTAAAGACACACACTTTATTAAAATGAAATGGTGTATTTGCAAATTTCCTCATACAGAAAAAGCCAAACAAACCCTTCGTATTGACCAATACCAAATAGTTCCTCTGCCTATCTCACCACTTAAAGGATATAAATGGTGAATTCTGGCCTTAACCACTACTCGGTCATGATTTTCAGTGGATTCTATAATCCAGAAGGATCCACTCCTTCCCTGGGGAAAACCAAAGCAAATCGCTAAATTCCTGCGACTGTCACAGGCAGAATTCAGAGCTCTTACATCAAAGTGTGTGTGTATATATCTGTATCTGTCTCTCTCTGTCTCTCTCTCTGTCTCTGTCTCTCTCTCTCTCTCTCTCCCTCCCCCTCTCCCTCCCCTCCCCTCCCCCTTCTCTACCCCACCCCCCATAGAGAGAGAGAGAGAGAGAGAGAACTATAGACAGATATCTGTATCTATCTAGGGGGAGAGAGAGGGAGATGCTGGAGATACTGAAGCATCTAAAAAGCAGTAGTTCATTTAACAAGGAACTACATACAGTGTGGATCAAGTGCGGCATGGAAGCTTCTACTATAAAGAGAGGAGTTCTTGGGATACGTTCCAAGAACCAAAAGAGAGACTAACAACAAAAAGTGATGTAGCCTGTAAAGTGACATGTAATCCAACTGGTGGGTAAATGGCTTATAATATAATAAAGGTCTTTGGTTCCTAAGCAGAATATCTGAATTGAGTAGGAACTTTGAGATACAAACACAAGTATCAAGAGAAACTTAGAGAGGTCATTTATTTGAGCTACTGGAAGGGATTCTATGATGGAGGACGAATGTTCTAACTTGACAAGAACAACCAAATGTCTTTTTAGAACCTTAATATCATCAAAGGGTATTGAGCATTAAATAAGATCTACAGAAGACTGGAAGGGCGGTTTATTTCTGTTCTGATTTTTTGGGGGGGGGGGGGCTAGGCAATGGGGTTAAGTGGCTTGCCCAGGGTCACACAGCTAGTAAGTGTTATGTGTCTGAGGCCGGATTTGAACTCAGGTCCTCCTTCAGGGCCGGTATTCTATCCACTGTGCCACCTAGCTGCCCCTTCTGATTTATTTTGCAAGACGAGTGAATGTGTAGGTAAAAGGAATACAATAATATAGAAGGAAAGAATAGGCAAGATGATTCAGTACATGAGATGATTATAGAAACAGGAGGAAGCACAGGAGGAAGCACTGGAGCATGCACTGGATCACCCTTACTAAATGTGAAGTGAACAAAACAAGGTTGAATATATGCAGTTTTGTTTAGAAATACATCAAAGAAGAAATAAGTGGTGAGGAAGGAGGGGTTTAAGGTGGTGAATAACACTAGGGAGAGAATAGTCACAAGGAAGACATACTTTCTCCTTTGAAAGATGAGATTAAAAAGAGGAAAAAACAAAACAAAACACAGAGAACTGGACATGAAGAAGGTGCCTTAGAATGTTCCTTAGGCATTGGGTAATGGATGAGTGAATTGTGGTATGTGAATGTAACAGATTATTATTGTACCCTAAGAAATGATAAAGGACTTGGTTTCAGAGAATCATAGGCAGAATGATTTTAGAAAATAATGGTTAGTATACTAGCAAAGAACTGAAACTAGAGCAGATACTTCTTGATTGTGGGATGGTTAAATTATTTGTGATATGAATATAATTGAATATCTCTGTGCTGTAAGAAATGATGAATATGATAAATTAAAACATGGAAACATTTACAAGTGATGCAAAATGTGAAGAAATCAATGCTAAGAAACTAATGTATACAATGCCTTCATCAGTGTTATTGGAAAAAGCCAGAATCATAACACATTTAAAAATGAATATTGAAAAATTACAAAACATGTTCCCAAAGAATGCATATAAGAAGATACCTCCTCCTACTCTCAAGCAATGTGACATCTATGGGTGCACATCACTGAATATATATTCATGTGTTACTGTTTTGGTTTTTTTTTAGTGTATTGATTGGTTTGGTTGCATTTTTCTCCCCCTTCCTCTTTTTTTACCATTTAAAATTCTTTATAATGTAGAATATAACAGAGAGATGTTATAACAAAGGTATTAATAAAATTTATTTTTAAAAAATAATTAATATTGAAAGGGATTTCAGGGAATGCAGCATAATTTGTACTAAAGCAGAGGTAAATAAGAACAACCAGAATAAATGTATATATGGACAACAAATTTGTAAAGAAAAATAGCTTTGAAAGACTTAAGAACCTTGTTCAAAGTGCTGACCAGCCTTGACTCCAGATGACCAATGGCAGAGCATATTCTGCCAGAGAGGTGATGGACATAAAATGAAGTGACATAAATTTTTGAACATGTCCACTGTAGATTATGTGTTACAAGGAGGATTTTTCCTTCGTTTTTTTCCCCCTCAGTTTTTAATGGGAGGTGTAGCAATAGTGAAAGCAGTAAGAAGAGGACCTTCAAAATACTTTTTAAATGTATAATAGAGAACAGAAGGAAGTTTAGAAGGAAGCACAGACAAGAAAGTTTTGAAACTATTGTGTAGGATTTATTCAGTATGTGTGCATATCTTAAGAGCTAGCAACATAAAATGAAGATGTGTGTTTATAGAATTTTCATTTTTCTGTTCTATTTTCATGGAAATCTTTTTTGGTTTGAAAACTCAGGAGTAAAAAATTTGTTAAAGCAAAGAAATGAAAGTTAGAGATCAAATATAATGTTAAGGAAATAGTTAATATACATTTATTATGTATCACATTTATTATACATGCCACATTGCTTGTTATGTGCTCAGGATAAAAAGAAGAGTAAAAGACAGCTCTCAAGAAGAGAGTTTAATTAAACTTTAATTAAACAGTTTAAGAACAGTTTAATTGGTGAGACAACACATTGATAACTGTACAAAAGCCAGATATAGGATCAATTGGAGGTAATGAACATAGGAACACTAGTATTAAGGAGGATTAGGAAGCACTTTTTGTAGAACATGTGATTTTAGGTGAGATTTTTAGGAGTCCAGGACTTGGAGATGAGGGAATGGCATGGTAGATATAATTGAAAATACTGGGGTTTAATCGATCGAGTGCATTGTTGAAAGAATGTCAAAGACATCATTGGGCATGTCAGGTGTAAGAATATTGTAAAGGTCTTATTTGGGAGAAAGCTGAATCATTAATCGCTTTGACTGCCAAACTGAGGATTTTATATTTGATTCTAGAAATGATAAGTCACTGGAGTAAAGGTTGTAACATGATCAGAAATATACTTTTGGAAGATAACTTTTACTGGATAATGGAGGATAGTTTGAATTGGAGAAGCTAGTGACAGGCAAACCAGAGCTGCACTATATTGGTGGCATTGTCACAGAAGAGAAGCATACATGTATGAGAGATGGTCTGAAGATAAAATCACCAAGATTAGGCAAAAGATTGGATATAGAGTGGTGAGAAAGAATGAGGTTTAGAGTTTAGTGACTAGAAAGATGATATTATCCTTAACAGAAATAGGGAAGTTTGGAAGAGGGGAGAGTTGGGGTGGGAGAAAGATAATGAGTTGAGTGTTTCTTGAGGCATGTTGAGTTTAATCTGTCTCCAAGATATGCAATTCTATGTATGCAGTAAGCAGTTGGCGAAAGGAAATTATTTATAATATAATATAATTAAACATGGGTTTAAAAAGCCAGTTAGTTAAGACAGGTTAGGAAATTTAACTCATTCCATGTGGAAATATATTTTTAAATACTATGATTTTCTCCCTAAAGTTTGTATTTTTTCTCTCTGTACTTCTCTTGTATTGCTCTGATCTACCCAAAATTTCTCTTTTTCAGTTTCAGTGTCTGGACAAAATTATAATGCAGCCATAATTTCTTGAAATTGAGCTGGTCCATTGTTAAATTTAAGTGTCACTATGTTGATGTAGCCTATAATCTGTGATTATAGTTTCTGGTTGACTTGACTAATTAGATAATCACCTAGTACAATCAAATAGCATTCTATATGTAGTATGGATAAGAACAGTCTATAATTAAATGTGTTTCTGTCTACACACATACACACACGCACGTGTGCGCACACGCACACGCATACACACTCAAGGATCTATCTAACAAATAAGAGATTTTGTTTTTTGAAAAGACAGGTAGCTACATTAACCATATACTAGAGAATCATAGTTTTTCTAAACATTGTTGAAGGTTGAGAACTATCTAGTACCTGTCTTAGGTATCCAGTTTTAAGTCTTGAGTAAATTATATTTGGTAGACTAACTTAGTAATATGTAGTAAAATGATTTGGTCTCCAATTAGCCTCATAAAGCAAGTACTAGAGATGTGAGACTAAATCACATACTTATTAAGTGTCATGAAAGAGGATTAGATAGAGTTTAAACATAGCTTTTGGTAAGTGAAAAGTTTACAAGTCAGATTTTTTAAAATCAGTTTTTATAGGTTTGACAGTGACTACCCCCAGATTCAACCAATTTAGCATTTATTCAGTATTTACAATGTGTTTAAAAAAAATGTGCTAAAGTCCTGGCAGTATAAAGAAAGGTTAAAGTTTTTTTCTTGCCCTTAAGAGAAAGATAACTTGTAAATAACTGTGCACATGAATACAAATACATATAATAGAAGTTGACAGTAAGTACATGTATTGGGGTAATCATAGAAACCTGAGAGATTAAGGATGAATACCATCTAGCTGAATGTATTACGGAGAGTGAAGGACCTGCATCTAGGCCTTAAAGAAAAGCATTTCACTGTGTCCTGATGTAAGGAATAATTTTTTTAGGGCAAGAGGGTTATGAGAAAGGGGATGTCAGATGTGTACATTTTGGACATTTTGGTAGTATCACAAAGGATACATTGGAAAGAGCAGAGAGACTAATTAAGGAAACAAAATAATCTAGAACAGAGGAGGAAAGGGCCTAGACTCTGTTACTGGTAATAGAAAAAATAAAAGTAATTAGAGTGATTCCCAAGTTCCTGGAGTCTCTCAATAGCATCCTTCCCAATGGATTGTATGTAGGAGATTGAGCAAAGGGAAGTGTTTGGGATAACTGAGGATTTCAGCTTGTGTAACTTGAAGAATGATCATGCGATGGAAAGAAGTTTTGGAGAAGATCATATGAGTTTTAGATCTGTTTAATTGGTGGTATCTGAGATATCATCATAAAGAATTCCATTGAATACTTAGAGGTAGAATTTGAGTGTTAAAACAAACCTTATGATTAAGATGTGAGTCATCTTTATCAAAGTGAAAAATTGAAGTCTTGTACTACATGAAAGTATCACAGATTTTTATTAAATATGTGCTGTGTGTACAACACTGATGGGAATGGGGAATATAAAATTTAAGTAAGGTGTTTTCATGTAGCTTACATTTTAGTATTTGAGTAATCCTACACTATTGAAGACTTAAGGGGGAATATATGATTATCTATGAGTATTTAAATGTCATTCCTGATTAGACCTTTTGCTTCACCATATAGTAGATCTGGGAGCAGTTAGTAGAAGTTGCAGAGAGATTTTTGGCTGACAATGGAGAAAAATTTCCATGAAATTGGAGTTATCCCAAAGTCAAATGGGTTACCCTGAGAGGTACTGGATTCTTCTCCTCATGAGGTCTTCAAATGAAGACTGTAAACCACTTTCTGAGAATGTTGTAGAGGGGTTTAGATTTTTGATCAGGTAATTTGGAGTAGGTACTTGCGGGATTTCTTATTGGAAATAAAAGATTGGTCAATAGTGTCACATGTGCTTGAAAATTCAAAAAGCACAAGAGCTGAAAAGAGACGATATATTTTGTCCTTTTGAGCTCTTGGTCACCCTGGAGATACCAGTTTCAATCAAGAGGCAGAATAGGAGCCCAGTGTGCTGAAATGAGAGTTGTAGAGTAGGTGGCAAATATGTATCACATGAATGGGAAGGAGAGAGAATAATAGCTTAAAAAAGTTGCAGTATTAGGGGAAGAGTGGAATTTTTTTTTAGTTCATTAGATTTCAAAGGAATAGGGAAGACAGTTTCTCTAGGAAGAGGATAAGGCGCCAGTACTAAGTCAGAGATGAAACTAAGAGTGAAGTTGAGGGTTTAAGATCCAGGAAATGGCAAAATTCCAATTGAAAACAAATCAGAGTTCTTATTTACTTATTTACAGACATATTATCTATCTTTGTCACCTTTAAAAAAATTTTATCATGGATATTCACATACTGGCAAGGGTCAAGGAAATTTTCAATCCAAGATAATTTGGATGTGTAAGTTAGCTCTTAAAATTTAAATAATAAAGAAGGTAGTATTTCAAATGACTTCTTAATCAGGAGACTTAATGACTTATTCCATCTAATATGATGTCATCTTTTGACTAATGACTGTATAATCTAAGCAAGAATATAATGTATGATACCATCCCCTTACCACTTCTTCCTATGTAGAGAATGCATGTCACAGTTTTTCCTCCAAAGGAAAAATATCACATTTGACCACCTTTAAGAAAACAAAACACTTTTGATTTAAAAATTTTTGAAATAGTTTCTCATTTAAATTCTGCTATCAAATAGCCTTTATTTGTTGTATTTATGAGCATATTCCATAACATACCATTTTAAATAGGTCTTAAAATGACATTAATTGGTACCTTCTTACAGATCACCAAAGTTGTACTTAGTAAAGGCTGGAGATGTCTTGAATGCACAGTTTGTGAAGCTTGTGGCAAGGCCACTGATCCAGGAAGACTCCTTCTTTGTGATGACTGTGACATAAGCTATCACACTTACTGCCTGGATCCTCCATTGCAAACAGTTCCCAAAGGAGGCTGGAAGTGTAAATGGTACATTGTTTTAAAAATTTCATTATTACCTTTTCCTTTTCTCTTTCGTTTTCATGTCACTTTAAAAAGCCAAGTACATCTACTGATGATACCAACATTTGCTATTTAACAAATATTTTGTTGAGTATTTTTAATAAATTGAGATTTCAATTGCACTGCAGTTCTTTGTTTGATCTGTGATGTCACCTAGATTTTTATTCATATCTTCTCTTTTTGTGAGATTCTTGTCTGTTTTCTTATAAATTCTCCTTTGGAGATTTATTTACCCATTGAACACAAGGTCTTCCTCTTTGGCCTTTTGATTCTCATGCATCACTGTAGCATTCCTTTTCTCATTTTATATGACTGCCCCCCACATCCTTTGTCAGTCATAAAATTCCTGAATCATTTTCTTCCTGAAATATTTGTTTCAGCATATTTTTCATCCTCATGTGTATTTCCTTTAACCTATTACCCTTTGGTTCAATCAGAGTTTTATTTTTGTAGACTGGGCTACACAATAATTTTTAGCCATATACCATCACAGTGTTAGGTGTTTAAAAAACACTGGTCCTTATGCAGCTTGGCATCATTAAAGCTGTGCAGTTTCCCAAATGTAGTATTTAAGTGCTAACACCTGGAGTGTTTCCCGTAGCATTGAATTGGTTTGTTAACCTCTCCTCTTCGTCTCCAATGTGGGAAAACTCAATTGCACAGTTGGCATTTAAATTCTGACAAAATTTGTATTACGGGTAGCAAATTAGGAATTGTTTGTATTTTTGTTTTGCAGGTGTGTTTGGTGCAGACATTGTGGAGCAACATCTCCAGGTCCACGATGCGAATGGCAAAACAATTATACCCAGTGTGCCCCATGTGCAAGTTTATCTATCTGCCCAGTCTGCTCTCGAAATTATAGGGAAGAGGATCTTATTCTGCAGTGCAGACAGTGTGACAGGTAATTCTTTCCTTTTTATAATTTTCCGTATATACTCCTTTTATCCATTAAGTCAATGATTGTAAAACTTTTAACATTATGCAAAAAAATGTCTGGCAAGATGGCCGAGTTGTTTTGTCTAATCTCTGCTCCCTATCATCATTTATGAACCACAGGATAAATGCTAAGTCATAAAAAACAGGTAATAAACTCCTGTGGAGGGAAAAATCTTAAAAAAGAAGTAATGAGTAGATGAAAAAGAGTTCTAGATGTAATGAAGATATACTATCAGATAAAAGAATTCTAGGAGAAATTATTAGAAGAAGAAATATTAAAATGATAACTAGGTCCCTTGGAAATGACCATGGAACCTTTGCAAAAACTTCTATAGTTGGTTATATGTTCTGTAAGTAGAATAATGGAATAAAATTAGAGCTTTTAAAGAATTCTAAAAGTTGTGAGGATCCGTGTTTCAGAGTATTTGGTAAATAAAAAAATCTTTAAGTGGCAAATAGAAACAGAAGTTGAAATGCAAAGATTTAAAAAATATTCCTTGACCATAGCATGCTTTGAGCTGGGCACTGTGATGTGGATGGGAAGAAAATTATCTTTAACCCTCTTTCTGTGACTGGTCATCCAATTAAAAAGTCAAAGATAGTAAAACTACAGAGCAATTTAGCTGACCTTGAAGATTTAAATCAGGAAGAAAATCTGAGAATTACTATTTTTTTTTTTTGTGAGGCAATTTGAGTTAAGTTTGTTTGTTTTTTGCTAGGCGGTGGTGTTATGTGGCTTGCCTAAGGGTCACACAACTCGTAAGGATTTGAACTCAGGTCCTCCTGACTCCAGGGTTGGTGCTCTATCCACTGCACCACCTAGCTGGCCCTGAATTATTGTCTAATCAAGGAGATAAGATAACAAACATTCTGAATACAGTATTGTAAAAAAGTAATATAGGAAACTTGATGAGATTTGAAAACAGGGCAAAGTACAGATTTAAATTTTTTCATTTCCCCCAATCCCAACTCCTTCTCTAATACTAGAGTAATCATAGTGATGTTCTCTTAAATACTGTAATCACTGAGTTCATCAACCTACTTTTCCTCTCACGAGCTACTCCTGTGTCCCATTTCAACCATATACAAAAATGGTCATACCTGCAATCTTTCCATCACCTGCCAATGTATTGCTTCCATGTTAAAGATTTCTGAAATGCCCTTATCCAACCATAATGTGTTGTCTTTGAGCCTCTCCTTCTGCTTTCCCTTACAAAACTTTACTATTCTTCATCTTCACCATGACCTACAATCCCTTGACTCTTCAATTCTCTCCCAGGCCATCTCCACAATATTAGCCATTCTCTCTTCTTTTCCCTGTCTTGACTTCTTGGTGAGCCAATTCAATTCTATGCTGTCCTCCTCTCTTAAATCCTTCTCCTTCTTATATCGTTGATGGTGCCCAACCACACCCTATTCTTGGATCACTTGCACTGTTTATGACTGTTGCACCTATACAGGTGCTATTGAACCAAGGTAACTGGGTCTGCTCTTAATTTATGTTATGTAACTTCACCTGGGTCCTCACTGCATTTAGCTAACTCCTTACTTAACTGACTATGTCATTTTCCACAGAAGATCTTCCAAACATTTTCCAAACCTCCTGTGGTTCTTCTTCCCCTCATTCTCTCAGCCACAGAAAAAATTGAAGCTATTTTCTATGAGCTCCCTCTTCTCCTCTCATTCTTATCTCTTATCTTGCTGAGCCTTCTGCTACTTTTTTCCTTCTTCACTGGTGTTTCATATGTTAAAATGGCCTTATGCCTTACCAAGGCTAACCTCCTTGTCTAGATGATCCCATTCCATCCTGTCTCTTCTAGCAGATTACCCCTCTGTTATCCCCACTCTTTCATTTAATTTTCAAATCTCTCCCTTTCTACATGCCTACTGCCTAAAAACATACTCTTCTATCCTGAAAAAACCTTCATTTGATCTTACTTTGCTTCTAACTAGTGTCCTGCATATCTCTTCTGCCCTTTCTAGCCAAACACCTTGAAAAAGGTTATTTACAATAGGTGCCTCCAGTCTTTCCTCTTTCTCTCTTTACCACTTACAATCTGGCTTCTGACCATGTCTTCCCCCATCTTCAAAAATCCCTCACTTTTCTACAGGAATCATTATCTTCCCCCCTAAACCTGACTCTATCCTTCCCTTACTGTTAAGGGCAACAGCATCCTCCCAGTCCCCCAGGCTAGCAATATGAGAGCCATCCTGGGTTCTTTACCATCTTTCACTCCTATATCCAATGTGTTGCAAGGCCAGTCCATTTGTAACATCTCTCAAATATGCCTTTTTGTGTCCTCTGACACTATCACGATTGTAGTGCAGCTCCTCATCACCTCGCATCTCAATTATTGATGGTGGGTCTGCCTGTCTCAAGTCTTTGCCCTGTCCGATCCAGCCTCTATTCAGTAACTGAAGTGACTTTACTGAAATGCAGGTCATCATCCTTACTCCCTCTGTCTTACTTAATAAGCATCCCCCCTAGATCAAATACTACAGCTCTTTTTGACATTTAAAGCCCTCCACAACATAACCTTACTACTCTTGCCCTTCCAGTTTTCTTACACTTTATTACCTGACACATACTCTTCTATTCAGTGACACTGGCCTCCTGGGTATTCCACAAACAGGAACCTCCATCTCTTGGTTCTGGGCAATTTCTCTGGCTGTCCCCTGTGTCTGTAACACTTTCTTTCTTCTGCACTGACTACTGATCTCCCTGGTTTCCTTTAAGTCCTAACTAAAATTCCATCTTCTACAGGAAGCCTTCCCCAATCCCTCTTAATTCCATTGCCTTCCCTCTCTTATTTCGTATGTATCCTTTAGGTAGCTTACTTTGTTTATATTTGTTTCTCTCTTTGTAGGTAAGGACTGTCATTTATCTCTTATGCTTTGTACCACGCCTGGCATATAATAGACACTAAATAAATTTTTATTCAAAAAATGATGATGGAATGAATGAATGACAGTCGAATTAGAAATACCTACAGTAGAGAATAGAGGTTATGGTAAATCAGAATTTGACAGATTGAAACATCGTAAAATCACTTGGCGTTAGGGGAATGAAGAGAATTCATAGAGTACTTATCTGTCTGGTTTGATTAAAAGACCGTAGATTTACATCAGGGAAGAGTTTTTAGAGTTCCACAAGGCTAACTCTCTCATTCTGTTTATTCATTCATTCATTCATTCATTCATTCATTCATTCATTTATCCCCTGAGTGTCACTAAGCCATTTTATTGGTGATATGCTACTATTATTAATAAAATGATTAATTACCCAGAAATTACATCTCTTGAACTTCTTAAACAGTAAAACAGTCACAGTACCTACTACATGCCAGGCACTGTTAAAGTCTAGGGATACAAAAAAGAAGCAAAAGACAGTCCCTGGCCTCAGGGAGCTTACAATCTAACAGGTGAGACAACGTGCAAACACATACATACAACCAAACAATGTACAGAAGAAATAGGAAGTAATTAATAGAAGGCAGCCACTGGATCATCTCCTTTGATCCCCAAAACAATCTTTGCAGGTAGGTGTTATTATGCTTATTTTACAGATGACGAAACTGAGGCAGGATGATGTTAATGACTTTATGTGGTTGGAACATCAAGGGGGACAGAAGCCAATCAAGTCCCAGGAATATCAGTTTTGTTTCCTTTTAGAGAAAATTAATCCCTATTCCAGGGATACAGAAAACCTTGCCCTGATTACAACTGTCTGCATACATCTTATACATACATAGTTGTTTGCATGTTGTGTCCCCATTAGCCTGCGAGAAACCTGATGTTAAGAGCTATCATTAAACCTTTCTTTCTACTACACTTAGCACAGTGCAGAGCACATAGCAAGGACTTCATGAAAGGCTTTTTGAATGCCTATTTGATATCCTTTATTTTTCCCAGTTTTTCTTCATAGGTTTTTATGTTGCAGGCAGCTCACCACCTTCGGCCTCTCCATTGCCCTTTCAGTAATATTCATATTTAATCCTTCAGAGGTTGTAAATCAATACATTTTGCTCTTCCTAATTAGCAGGATGTGAGCTCTAGCCACCAGCATTCTGAACAGGAGGGGAATTCACTGACCACTTCAAGTCTGGACATGGGTGCCAATAGATAGGTCCCCAGCCTGTTTGCATCATTTTTTTTTTCTTCTGATGTGGCCTTGCATGGTATCTCTGAGAGGGAATAATAAGGCAGACAGACACAAGGGAGGAGTCCCTCATTTTATTTTTATCTGGCTTGATTTCAGGATGGTAGAGTCCACACCAGACCTAATTGACCATTGAATCTAACATCCTCATTATAGGAAACTGAGGCGCAAAATTATCAATTGATTTGCCAATGGTCAGAAAGGAAGAGTGTTTTAGGAGGGATTTCAGACCAGATCTTCCTGACTTATGCCCTATCCAGTCAGTCTTATTGTTCCCTAAGGGGTAAGGAGTATGCTATAGAATATATCTGTAAAAGAAAAATCTAAATTAAGGATAGGTAGGTGGTAATACAGGGTTTCCTACTGTAATGCCTATGATGTAATGAGTAATCTTAGTATTTGATTTGTTCATAACAAAAGGGACAAACTTAACAATTATAACCTTAAAGCTTAATTTACTAACCTACCTCAAAATTGGAAGAGAATTACTGAGTAGATTTTAAAGTAGTACTCAGTAATTTCTTAGATGTCTCCTGTATGTACAACAGAAAAAGATATATGCAGATTTGATGTGAAAGTGCAGGAATTAAGATTTCTTATAATCCAATTAAATTCAAAAAGCAGAGGTTTTAACTGTGATTTGTGATAAATGTATAATGCAAATACTATCACAGAAAATAAAAAGGAAGACTATATTAAGCTTAAATGAAGCATAAGTGATAAAAACTATTGCTATCAAAAGTAAATTTTCCAAAGAGTACAGCATCTAAACACATAAAAGACTTAAATTTGGAATCTTAGAGAATATTTCTTTTATAGAATAATTTTTTTTACCTTTGAAAAATTGATCATGAGGTTCTGCATAAATAAGTAAATGATGCAGAAAACACAAAAGACCGTAATTCAGTAATATTATAATCAATAAAATAAATTTAACAGTGATCTAAATGTAGGCAAAACTGTATAAATAATGAGTAGGTCAAAATTATATATCATAATATGATGATAATAAAACAATATACCACATTTTGAAATGCAGCTATGAAATTTCTTAAATATTTTTAAAGCAACAGTGGTAATGTAGAGGACTAAGAACTTGAGTATCCAGGTAAAACATCCTGGAAAAACCAACAAAATTATCATCCCAAAAAACAGCAGAAGAAAAGAAGTTGATTTTTTTCAACATTGCCATTTTTTTTTTCTACTGAGTATGTAAGATATTTAGGCTATTAAAGCTTAAAACTGTACTAAAACATTTGATCTCTGTATTTCTCCCTTGTCTTCTACCAAACAAAAGTGAAAAATAAAACTTGAGGGGGATGTTCAGCAAAATTAATCAATGTATGAAATATTGTGTACTCATTTGTCCCTCTATGTACTTTTGCAGTGATGGGAGGAAGGTACAGTAAGCAAGGATATGTTACAATCAAGGGAGCTATAAAATTAAAAACGAATACTTTGGGGATCAACAGTGCCAGGCATGGTGACATATTACTATAATCTTATCTATCAAGGGGGGATTAGGCTGGCAGATGTCTTGGGCTCTGGAATCCTGATCTGCAGTGGGCTATGCTAATTGGTGTTATCATTAAGTTGGGCCCCAATATGGTGAACCTTTGGAATTGTGGGACCTATTAAAGGGCAAAAGGGGTTTGGTATGAAATAGCACCACTGAAAGCTTCACTACTGATTTGTAGTTGAATCAAGCCCATGAGAGTAGCCTCTGTACTTCCAGCCTGGTTAAGATGTGGAGAAATTCACAACGAATGGTTTAAAGTTAAAATTATCAGATTGTTATTTAAAATTACTTCTAGGTCACACTTAGTATAAATAATTAGTTCTCTGAAGTGGTCCCATGTATTTGAATTTGTACAATTTAAAGCTTAATTTTTAAAAATATGCTAATTGGTTTCAGCCCAGTGGATATTAGAAGTTGGAATTTAAGTAGGGCAACCACTTCAGGATTTTCATTATTTACACTAATCTAGACCTAGATGTATATGTCAGTGAAAATAAATATTTAAATTAAATAGATCAATATATACATGATATTGTTATAGTTGAAAATTAAGATAGACTGAGAGACAGTGTTCGGAGCATTGTCAATTTATAACTTGGTCTAGCAATAACCAACAAATTGGGTCAATAGTCTCTCTTAAATGACCAAAGACTATGGATAGGACTTACTAACCTTCATATAGTTTTGAGATGTATAAGAAAACAAAGAACAGAGTTATTAGGTGGGGAAAACAATATAAGTGATTACAGAGTAGTCAGCATTATGAAGTTGGCGAAGTAAGCTAGCCATTAATGAAATCTCTATGAAGGAAAAAAACAACCCAGTTTTTTTTCCCTGTAATTCATTTAAATTTTCTTTTAAATATTTAGATTCTGTGCACTTTTATTTATTTTGTGTGTGTTCATTTTCTATGATACCTTTCAACAAAATGTAGTTTCTATGTTGGCCAGTTTTAATAAAGTCTTACTTTTGCTTTTTTTTTTTTTTACCTGAGGTCATGATTCCTCCTTTTGCTTTTTAAAATTAATTTGAAGCATAAAGATTTTGCTCTAACTCTTTATTTTCACTCCTTGTGAGTCTTTGTTTTGTATCAACAGTATACTGTTGGATCCTGATTTACAATCCATTCTGCTATATTTGTTTCTTTTGGAATATTTCCATACTTCCCATGTTCATAATTACGATCTTTCCATTCTGTTCTTACACCTTTTTCTCTCTTTGATATTCCCTTGCTTTTAATTATGTGTGTGTATCTTTATTGTGTCAAATATTTTTCAATTAAATGTAAAAACATTTTTAATATTTTTTAAAATTTTGAGGTGTCGATTCTCTCCCTCCCTCCTGACCCTTGAACGCTTCTTGGAAAGGCAAGCAGTTTGGTATCAACTATCCATGTGAAGTAATGTAAACCATTTCCAAAATTAGCCATGTTGCAAAAATACATACCAAAAAAATAAAAACCCTACAAGAAAAATAAAGTTTAAAAAATGTGCTTAAATCTGCATTGAGAGTTCATCAACTCTCTCTCTGGAGATGGACAATATTTTTCATCAAGGGTTCTTCGGAATTGTCTTAAATAATTTTCTTTATGAAAATTGATAAGTCTTTTGCAGTTGATCATCCATACCATCCTTACAATACTGATATTACTGTGTACACTGTTCTCCTGATTGTGCTCATTTTATTTTTCATCATGTCATATGTTTCCCCAGGTTTTTCTGAAACCACCATGTTCATCATTTCTTGATGGAACAATAGTATTCCATCAAAATTATATATACCGTAACTTGTTCAGTCATTCCTCAATTAATGGACATACCCTGCTTTTTTATAAAGAAGGAATGAGTGTTCTGAAAGGAGTGTGCTCAGCATAGTAACTGTGTATTTCACTCATTTCTTTCTTCTCTCTTGCCTCTCTTTTCTTCCTTTCCCCAAATCCCGGTCAGACCTTACTTCTTCCCTTTTAAATTGTTTTCATAATCTCCTTTTTACTTGTAGCATTTTCTGGTTACCCTGAAAGGAGTCTAAGAGATTTGCGAAAAGAAATTCAGGAAATCATTATGACCAAGTTGAACATATTCTAAGGATGTAATGATGGCTCATTATTAAGGACACACTTCACATAATCACTTTTTTCCCGCAAGTCCATTGCGGTCAGTGAAAACCATATTGAAAACATATTGTCTGACTTAATTCTCCAGTCCTTGGCATTGTGTTTTGATCTGCACTGGCATAGAATCTCAGAGCTAGGAGCACTTATAGCACTTAAGGGTTTGTAAAGCATTTTTTATACTCACAGTGCCTCTGAGTAGTAGGTGCAATTATTATCCCTATTTTGGAGATATTAACTCTGAGGCAAATAGAGGGTAAGCAACTTGCCCAAGGTCACACAGTGTTTTTATATATGACTTTCTGATGATGATGAAAATTATGATAATGATGCTAATGATGTTGACAACTAACATATGGCAATTAATATGTGCCAGACATTATGCTGGGTGATTTAAAATTATCTCATTTGATCTTCACCCCAGCTATAGGACTTTCCTGTTGTAACTATTCCTATTTTACAAATGAGGAGGCTCAGGCAAACAGAGCTAAAGGGACATGCCCAACATCACACAGACAGTAACCGTGCAAGTCTGAATTTTAGCTGAGGTCTTCCTCACTAAAGGCTCAGGATCTATGCCTTGTCCGCACCTTTCATGCTTGTACTAGGGCCTTCATAACATATTTAGGCCATATTATGTTTTCGTAGCAATCTCCTTTTTTTTTTTTTTTTTTTAAAACATACTCAAAATTTGGTCATAACCTCTGCTTGCTAACCTTCAGTGAGAAGTAGCTCACAGCCTTCTGATGCTTCCATTTCACTTTTCTATAGTTTCAGTGATTTTACTTAATTTGTTTTACTTTTTGAGACATCAATTAACTATGCTTGAAGTTTGATAAAGAAATCATTCCTAACTTTAAAGCAGTTGTAGCAAAAATGATGAGGCATGATAATTGTAAATTACATGTACCATGAGAGGGAAGGCAGGTCATGTATATCTAGGAATAGGAAAGATTTTACACACACACACACACACACACACACACACACACACACTCACACATATATTACACACACATACATTTTTTCCCCCCTTATACATCTAGTAATATGAAAAATGCTGTCTGGTTAGGTGAGACAAATTTCAGGGCTGTGGAAACAGTGTACCTAATACATAATTAATCTACAGTCTTATAATTTTTTCTTTTTTTTTCCCTTTTGCCTCCTCTTACCTTTCTCTTGCAGCTACATCATGTTCACCCACTTAGATTTTCATTTGCTTTGTTTTTATAACTTATTTTTAAAATCATAGTGGTTTTTTTTATCCTAAATTATTTAAGTTTAAAAAAAATGTTCTTTCATTTAGGTGGATGCATGCTGTCTGCCAGAATTTAAATACTGAGGATGAAGTAGAAAATGTAGCTGATATTGGTTTTGATTGTACTATGTGCAGACCCTATGTTGCTACAGCAAATGGTAAGAGAAAACTTCTTAACAAAAAATGGTAAGATGTTAGCTGAATTGTCTTGTTTCACTCGCATAGAACTTTTATTGAACAATATGTCCTAAACAGTTTTTCTTTTCCTGTAGCCATATTTAATAGGAACATTTTATCATTATGAAGAAAATATGTCAATTACTTTCATAGCTTCCTGGAGAAGAATTATTTCATCCCCACTTAAGAGAAACCCGAATAATGATGCATGAACAGGCAGGATATAAAATGTATTTTTCTGCCTTTTGGGGAGAATAGCTATGGCAACTTAAACCAATTTGGAGAATGCCACAAAATACCTTTGTCTTCATATCAGCTATACTTATTATTTTCTTGTTGCTTCTTTATTCTCTTTTTCACCTGTGAACTTCCTAATGTAAAATATCTTCCTTGCTTATTTCTGAAAGCCATCGTAAAAATAGCTCACTTAACATCCCTGAAAACATTGTCATTTAAGGAAAAAAAGAACGAACATTGTGGAAAAGAGCCTCATATCTATTTAATGCTAATAAAATAAAATTTAAAAAAACTTTTTTTTTGTCATTTCAGTGCCTTCCTCAGACTGCTGTGAATCATCAATTGTTGCACAAATTGTTACAAAAGTAAAAGAGCTAGGTAAAACTTTAAATCTTAATTTCATTTTTTAAAAGTTATTTTGCTATAAAGGAGGAACCATATGTTGTTTTACGTATTTCTGAAGTCCATATGTTGCACGATATATGTAGTCATGTATGTCCTTGATCCTGTTGCCATACTGTTGATGTTCATTCTTTCTGAAATTATCTTTTTATTGTGTAATGTATATAACAGGCTTACTAATCTGGTTTTCTTTTTGGGCACTAGGCATTTCTATAAGATAGAACAATTTAGCAACATTATTCCTATCTTCAATAGTAGTCAGTATATGACTTCTTTATTTTTCCTCCCTAGTTAGTAGTTAACATCTCACCCAAAAAACATAACCTTTGAAGCACTTCAGTCTCTTAATGTCTTTGAATATATATTGAGATCCACTTCATGAAACATAGCAGCTTTTGTAAGATGTTCTTTTAATGCTTAAATTTATAAAAATTCCTTTATAACAGTAAGCTGTTGACATTGATGATTATGAGCTAACAATTACACTCTTTTAAATTTAGCTTATTTCAAAAGTCATTCTGCATTTTTTCTACTATGATTCTAATTTTTGCTTTTCAGTATACCATTAAGACTTGTGAGATGACATTTTTAACTTTTGTCAGTGACATGAGATAATGCGTAGGAGATATTTATTACTATTCTCTGACCTATCTTTAAATTATGTCTTCGTATCAGGGCCCATTTCTGCTTATTTTCATGACGAACAAGTTGCATTTTCTTTCATAAAGTAATTGCTTTCAAAACATTTTACATCACTATTTCTAACTTTCCATGTGGAACTTATTAATATTCAACTAGGTCATTCCCTATTGGGAATCCAGTGTACCTTATTTTCTAGCTTTTTATCTGAAAAGATATTGGTCATGCAAACTACTTCTGTATGTAAAATAGATCTAGAGTAGCTTTTCCTCCTGTAGCTATCATACAAATTTTTTGCATTTAGGAGTGTGGTTTTCTCTTTCTTTTTTCTTTATTTTATTCTCATTTTTCCCTACAAATCCTTGCTGGAAAATGAAATCTACAGCACTTACTAAGGGACTGCCTATATTATTATTATTATTATGATGATGATTATGATTATGATTATTATTATTATTATCATGCATAATATAATAGAGAGTTTTTAACTTGTTTCCTACAAATAATTTGTGAAATTTTAGGTGTCACAGATCTTTTTAGTCTTAATTTAATGCCATTTCATTTATTATTGTTTTTTCTAGGAACAGTGTGTGTGTGTGAATGCATGTGTGTATTTCTGTATTTCAAAAATTTAGGTTCTGTGAATTGTGTTTTGGAATGATGACTGTTTAGAGAAATTATTCTTTTATTGATGTTTGTTTTAAAAATAAATATTATCTTTAAAATAATCGGTAAATATTTTTATATTCCCTTAATGGGCAATATCATTTTTAGATCCCCCGAAGACCTATACACAGGATGGAGTTTGTTTGACTGAATCAGGAATGTCTCAGTTACAGAGCCTCACAGTTACAGTTCCAAGAAAAAAACGATCTAAACCAAAGTTGAAACTAAAGATCATAAACCAGAATAGTGTAGCTGTTCTCCAAACACCCCCAGACATCCAATCAGAACATTCAAGGGATGGTGAAATGGATGACAGTAGAGGTAATAGTGGGGTTTTTTTTTTCTGTGAAACATGTATGTGTTTTTGTTTATGTAATATATGTATAATTTGAATGATTTATAACAATTTTTAAATATTTATTGGACTAAGGAATAGGCTAGTAATATAATAACTTACTCAGTCTGATTTGCTGTTTTACTTTCTAAGTGAGCAGTCTTCTTGGACCTTCCCTCTTCAGGTTCTTTTCTTTTCATGTATCTTCTTAGAACAGACCTTCTTTAGAGAAATCACCCAGAGCACCAGATCTTTTTGAGGATCACAGGTGGGGAAACTCAGATAGCTTGACTGTAGTTAGTTAGATTTCAACCTGGTTATTCCTGGTATCAAGGTGACACTTTCTTGGACACCACATTGAATGGTACATAATATTTAAGTTTAAGCACTGAAGCATTCCAAAGAGTCATATGAACTTATGAGATCCAAAATATTTGCTTGGCAATAGGACATAGGAAAAGTATGAATGAATCACAACAGTGAAAATCTTAGTAAACATTTCAATACAAAGAAATTGTTTTTCTCCCTCTAGGAAATACACTTTCATTTCAAAACAAATGCAGACTTCTTCAAGAGAAGTTAATTCTGTAAATTACTTTTTATACATGTAATTTAGGTGTTGCAGAGTAACAAACATAGATATTTACTTTAAATTAATAAATATAACATAACCCATATTCTAATGTGTAGTTAAACTGCCATGGTCTGGTTGATGATTGTTTGTGAAAATAATTTAACTACCCTAATATGTACATTGTGAGCATATGATAACTACTTTAGTGCTCTAAGTATTCTTGTGTGCTTTTTAATAGTTAATCACAAATAGTATTTTTAAAGTCATTGTTCTTATTGCCTTTTCAACTATTGCATATTTAAGCTAATTTTTTTTTTACCATTTATTTAGTCCTTTGGCTATCCTTAATTTTTGCCTCTACTTTAGTTCTTCCTCATTTCCTTTTAGTTTTGTCTATTATTTCCATATAGCTGAGTTTATACTTTGAGATATGTGCATATGCCTTCCTAGAATAACAAATGTGTTGAAAATACCTTCATATAATTAATTTGAACTCGGTTTTAATAAATGTGACCTTTTATGTTAGAATGTTAATGTCAGATCAGGTAAGAAGTAGTATATGAACCTGAGTAGAATTGTTACTTAATGACATTCTCCTATTCATTGAAAGAGGGAAGAAGAGGGACCTCATGGGGAATGACCTATTTTTTCTGTAAAATATGAGGAAGTGGTGTCATTTTGGATGATATCATGACCATGTTTAGACATTTTACGTAGTTGGAGTAGCACCAGCAAAGTCATTGAATTAAAGAATATATTTTAATGCACCTGTGATCATTTTTAGCCATAACAAAAATGTTTTTGCTCATATTTCATTTAAAAGTAATCTGATAACATTGTTGTACTTAATTTCACCATAAATGTTATTTTAACTTAAAATTGAAATTATGAGTACTAAAAGGCACCATTGTGTTGTCTTAATTTCCTCCCTTCATTACCCATGCTTTTGGACCAGCTATTTATTACTTTTAATTTAATGCTTTAGTTTTGGATATGATTTTGTACACTATAATGAGTTTGAAAATAAAGTAAATATTAATGTCAAGTTGTCTTATAGAAGCTTTCATGTTAACTGTCATTTTGGAGGATGAAATTACCTTTTTGTTTTCTGTCCATTTGCATGGCTCACCTCATCATGATAAGTAATTTTTAAAAGCTATAGCTTTGATCCGTTTATTTTATGTAATGTACTTAGCATTGAATAAAGCTACCTGAATAGTATTTACAATCATAATTCTGTAAAATGTTATATATGATATACTGAATAATTGGATAAATATATATTCTAAATAAAATAAATTACAATTACTTTAGATTTTATTATACTAAATGTTTTCATGTGTCTTTAATAATTTTTATATAACTTATAATGATTTAAAGTTTAGATATTTAGCATCTTTCCAATTTTCAGACTGTATCTATGATACATTTTTGAAAAGTTTGTTTTTCACAAAAAAAAAATTGCCTTTTCAAGCACAAATGAATTAAATCACAAATGATTTCCTATAATTCAACACAATGTGGACAATTAAATGTAAAGTGTTTTGGACTTTTTTATTCTTCAGATTTTTAGGCTGAGGTACTGATCAAGTTGATTAAAATACCTTTGGGAATTGCTTTTAAATTCCATATTAATCTAATACTTGCATTTTGGTACTTGTCACTTTTAATTCATAACAAACATGGTATTTGAGACTAAGGAAGGAAAATTGGAGTAGTACTGTTGGCAGTTTTCCTCAATCAGTAATGGATATTTATTTTTCACGTATAAATTTATTCATTCCAGAAGGTGATCTTATGGATTGTGATGGGAAGTCAGATTCTAGCCCTGAGCGTGAAGCTGTGGATGATGACACTAAAGGTGCAGAAGGAACCGATGGAGTGAAAAAAAGAAAAAGAAAACCATATAGACCAGGTATAATATCCATGACAGATATTTTCAGATTTCTCATTTTGTTGTTATATTACACAGTATACACTATTAGGAAACCTGAAACCAATAAAAAGAGACTTTTAGATATGAATAGCTTGTCTACATAATACTATATAATAGATCTTTGCCTTACTCCATTTCTATCTGGATTGGTTTGCCCCTTCTTAGGCATTCTGGATGACAACATTCCAGTCACATTTGGTTCTAGACCTCAGAGTTACAACCACTTGGCTTGAGCCCTATCATAGCCCATAACTTATAAGTTCAAGTGATTCACCCCTTTTAGTGTCTTCCAGTAGCAGGGATTGTAGACATATGCCATGATGCCTTTTTTACTTATAATTTTAATAAGCATTTTATATGAAAACTTTTTTTTAAACATAAAATTTTCATTTTATCATCCATGTATGTTAGCAGTTTTAATGAGACCTTAACTTAATAACAGTACATTCATATAATGATACTTTGTGATCCTGTTGCATGTTTAATTGTGAAAATTTATTTCCATGATTTTTCTGCATTTTTCAAAAATGTTTACCTTTTAAGATCTGTTGGAATATAACCATCATTTTCCATAGTTGCTTATCATTTCCCTATAACTTCCTGATAGAAAAGTTAAATTTCTGTTGCTTGTCCATTTTCCAGTTAAAAGTGACAGAGTTGAATGGAATACAGTATCTTTTCCCTAAAAGCATTATCTGGGTACCTTTATATTCAATATGCTGTGACATCCTTTTATGGCAACACTGATCTAGTCCTAATCTTTCAGTAATTAACTTAGAAGAGAGAGGACACAGTATAAGAAAATGGAATATCTTGGGAAGAAGTTTAATCTTTCCTGAAAATAATATATTCTTAATGTGGAATTTAATTGAATTATTTCATTCTTCACTCTTTTTAGTTACTTAATGTTGCTTTTTGTGTAACTACTCTAAATACTTTTCAGTGCCTATAGAAGTATTTTGTAGATGGAAACTGCATGTTGAACAAGATTGTAAAATCTTCTTTGGTGCATGTCTTTACCAAGTACATTTCATAAAAGTGAAATAATTTATTTAATACATTATGGGTTTCTTTGTGTATGGTAGTTGGATTTTTTTTTTATGGGTGTTCTGTAATGAACCTGATATTTGTCTTGAAGTAGGAAATTCCTTATGATGAAACTTTCTTTAACAGTGTTAGATGCTGGTCTACACTAATTTCTGCCTAAATGCCTTTCAGTTTCCCCATTATTTTTTATCAATTAAAGTGCCCTGATGGTATTTATGTAGTACGTTGATGTCAAAAACGTTGTGGAAGATTGCTTCTGGATTAACCCTGACGTTCCATTGATCAGTTTTTCTTTTTTTAATCTGTACAAAATTGGTCTAATTTTTATTGCTTTTGTAGTATAGTATGAGTTGTGGTAATACTAGTTGCGCTTTATTTCTTTGCTTGATTTTTTATTTCACTTCAGATTCTTTACTTTTCCCGCACAAATCAGTTTTGTTGTTAATTCATTTCTTTCTTTAGCTACACTCTTTTTGTCACAACATGAGTAGTGATGGATTGGAAAAAATAAATATCTTTTTCAATATATCACAAAGATCTTCTGTAATAATTTTATTTCACTTAAAGTAGGCACAGCACTAAGTTAAAAGATAATTCATTTTTTCAGAAACTGTGAAATGTTAAGGGAAAAAAAGCAATTTTAATTTTATTTTTATAAGAACTTTACCTAATAGTTCACATTTTTGTTCCATTACTACCTTCTTCTGTGTAGGTATTGGTGGTTTCATGGTACGCCAAAGAAGTCGAACTGGGCAAGGAAAAACGAAACGATCTTTGACCAGAAAAGATTCTTCAGGCTCCGTTTCTGAACAACTACCTGTCAGAGATGATGGTGTGTAATGATTTCATTCATACTTATTACAAATACTTGTCTTTGTAGCCTATAGTTTTCCCACAAGTCATTATTGTTAGAAAGCATGAGAGAATGGTCAACAATTCTTCAGTCTCCTTTCTTCGTCTTCTTTGTTGAAGATTCACGTTATTAGTGATTTACAATTTTGAGTACAGACAAGCCATTTTAAGTTCAACAATTTTTTTTTTTTTTGGCTTTTTGGTGAAGCAATCGGAGTTAAGTGACTTGCTCTGGGTCACACAGCTAGTAGGTGTCAAGTGTCTGAGGCTGGATTTGAACTCAGATCCTCCTGACTCCAAGGCCAGAGCTCTATCCACTGTGCCACCTAGCTGTCCCCGCAACAACCATTTAAACATGCATACTCTCTATGTACAGAGCAGTATACTGGACACTAGGTTAGAAAGAAAGGGCAAATAAAGTATGGTCCCCAAATAAATGAAGACCAAGAATTAATGACTCGCTTATAGTATGAAACTGCCTGATGGATGCGTATAAAATCAACCCACCTGCTGTAAGTTGCAAGGAAAGAGAGGTGATATCTCACTGGGGAATTGCCAAAGGGCAGACTTTATGGAGGAATTATAACCTGAAATATGGCCTGAAGAATAGGTAGAATTTTAGTTACAGTTAAGGAAGAAGGCATCACAGAGATTGGGATCTTGTACAAAGGTAAGAAACAAAAGGATGAAGACTGGGTGCATGTATGTCAGGAATTTAGGTTTTATTGCCAAATATAAATCCTTGTCTTTTTAAATCTTTTCTTCATTTTTCAGAACTGTGTGTTTTACTGACACCTCTCATACTTTTTCTTATTTTTACCTTTGCTTTTCATCCTACCTGTCCTGCAATTTGTCTTGGTCTACTTTGCTGAATCTTCATCTGTATTAGTTATTTTCAACAATTGGGTGTCCTTCAAGGTCCTATCTTTGGGCCTCTTGTTTTTGTCTCTGCCCTGTCTTTTGTGGTGGTCTAAACTAACACCTGCAAGTTTAATTCTAATCTATATGCCTGTTACTTAAAGATCTATGTATCTGGCCCTGATCTTTATCTTTGTGCTGTAATCCTGCATTGCCATCTACCTTTTAGGCATTTTGTACCAGATGACCTTCAGGTATATCAAGCTAAGCATGTCCATAGGAGTATTAAATGTCTTTTTTTTTTTTTTTTAAGACCCTCCACCCTCCCACTCCCCATCTTACAGACTTTACTGTTATTTATCCATATGATCAACATCATTCAGGTCATCCAGATTCACACTTTGGTGACATCTGTGGTATCCTCAGCTCCTCGGTCATATTCTCTCTATCCAGTCCTTTGCCAAATCTTGTACTTTCTTCCTTCATATCATCTCTTGTATTTATCTCTTTGTCTCTGCTCATTGCTCCCACTGTTGATCAGTGCTCTGTCATCTCCTGTCTGGACTGTAGCAGTAGCTTCCTTTTTAATGTCCTTACTTGAAGCTTTTCCTTCTTCTGTGTAATCCTTTTTCCAGACATCTATTAACATGTTTTCTTTCCTTTTTTTTTAACATGGTTTTCTATGAACATGTATTCCTTCCCACTTCAGTAAATTCAATTTTCTCCCTATAACCTCTCAAGTGAAATATAAACTCTTCCATTTACCATGTAGAGTTTATGGGTTGTTGTTGTTGTTGTTGTTGTTTTTTAAACTACTTGGGCTCCTTCTTTCCAGTTTTGCCCTCCATGTATTCTTTGGTCTAGCTATTATCTTTTTTTAATTCTCATGCCCATTTTTCATCTCATGTTTTCCTGTTGCCACTAGCCATCTCCACAACTAAAATGCTATTTTTCTTCATCTCTATTTCATGGAATCAGTAGTTTGTTTGAAAATTCAACTTAAATGTCACCTTTAAATTAAGGCTTTCCTGGTTCACTCCTAGCTGTTAATCCCTTCCTGTCTCAGGTAACCTTGTGTCTCTTCTGTATTTTCATTTTATATACCTATTTTTGCGCAGGTTTCCCTAATTAGAATAGAAGTTCTTTTTGCCTTTTTTTTTTTTTTTTAATATCTGCAGAACTTAATAAAACACCTGGCACAAAGTAAGCTGTTTTGCGCTGCATTCCACAACTCAAGGCCACCCTTTGTAGTTGAAGTTTTGTATTGGAAAGAAATGAGACAGTCAGGAAAAAGAGATTTACTTAATGATATAATAGAAAGACTATCAAGCAATAATATAACATTTAGCTCAGTCAGATTCCCTTATACACCACCCCCAACCCCAACTGCCATACTCAAATATTGGTTTGTTCAGCAGGGTCACTTATTGGGCTTTGGGAGATCAGTCAAATCTTAAGAGCATAGAGTTCACATGGTCTGGTTCTTTTATGCCGTTAGGTGACCTGGAATTCATGTTAGCGTATCCTGCTTGAAACAATTAGGAAGCTATGCCTAGGACTTCAGCCTTAACCCCTTGTGCTGGTCAAGTTTCATTTTCTTGACTTTTATGGAAAGGGTTAGTCTAACATACTTTTAGGGGTGGAGCATATGGGCAGGAAAATCCCCTTTTCGATATTTATCTTACAATGTTTTTGATGTTCTTTATTTTATTTTATTATTGTTTGTTTTTAGTAGTTAATATTTAATTTTTTTCAATTATATATAAAAATAATTTTTAACATTCATATTTTAACATTTTGAGTTTGAAATTCTCTCCCTTCCTTCCTTCCTACCTCTCTCTGCTAATTGAGAAGGCAAGCAGTTTAAAAAAAAAAGTTTACTTTGATCTGCACTCACTCTTTCTCTCCATGTATATATTTTCCTGGAGATGGATACCGTTTTTTCCTTGATGCTCTTTAATGAATAATTTTGCTACAACACTAAACACCCTTTATATATAATCAGTTTCCAAGACCTTTTTTCTTCTTTTTCTCTCAAACCTTTCGTTTTTACAATGCAAACAATTTAGATTGAGTGTGTGTGGAATGCATGGAGTAAGGACCTTGATGGACTTTTATATTGTTATGTTCTGGCAATTTAATAGCTCCTTTACTTATTTTTAAGTTTGAGAAGTGCTGATCTAGAACATAATGTTGATATGTTTATCCTCTTCTTTTCTTTTACTTCACCCTGAACTTTTACTTTAAACCCTTCAAAAAGAAAGTTGATTTCATTTGACACATAACATTGAGATTTGTGATATTCTTACTTTTTCTATATTTTGATATGTAAGACATCTAAGAATGTAGAAAGGAATAATAGGTTCCTCCAAAATTGCTATAATTGTACATAGATTTCAGGTGAATAAATATTTGTGTGGCATTTATATTTCTTTGTATATTAGTGAAATTCCTTGAGATTATTGAATAAAAGGATTTCTCAAAGAATGAGCACAGTAAGAAGTACAATTTCAGAATTTTCTCTGGACATTTATATAAAATTTATAATTATAAAATTTAGTTATGGTGGTATTTTTTATTTTAGGTTGGAGTGAACAGTTACCAGACACTCTGGTTGATGAATCTATTCCTATCTCTGACAGCACTGAGAAAATAAAGAAGAGATATAGAAAAAAGAAAAATAAACTTGAAGAAACTTTCCCTGCATATCTGCAGGTAATATTTTCTTTCTGGTATTATCTACATAGAAAATTAAAATTTTTATTTAAAGGACTTTATCGTATTCATGATCTTACAAGATTATATACTCTTTCCTTTAAGAAGATTAAAACCCATTCTCTTCTATCTTTATGCGTGTCTTCATATAAAACCTACATGGGGTGTATACTCACCTAGTGCATTAGGTGCCTTTCAGTCTTTTGTTACTTTTAGGTGCCATTGTGATAATTTGACTATTTTACTTTCATCTTTTACTCCCAAGCCGTTGTGAGGCTATGAAGATTACATTATAGTTGGACTCAGTAACTACTAAGGCCACTTGAATCTATGACCCTATGATACTTTTAAGGAGAAAAGACTGACTTATTATGTGTTGAGGATCAGTTAGTATCTATATATACTAGTTTGAAATTTGTGTCTTTTATTGATAAGTACTTTTCAAACCTTCTCTCTGTTCCATGTTTTATTTAATAGTGAAGTACCAATTTACTCCTTGTCAACTATGATATTTTTATACTTTTAGAAATTTTTCACAAAAATCTTCCATCCCGGTTCTCCTTTTCTAGCTCCAGTGAATGTCACATTAATCCTTCCAAAGAGGTTCTGGGGAGGCATCTCCCCAGATTGCTCATGGAAAGGGAAGAACTTTAGCATAGTTGGAGGTACTCTCGAATCTAAGTACCTCAGTTCAAACCCACCTTTGACTCTCAAACTTGTGTAATCTTTGGCAAATAAGGTAATCTCCCTGGGCCTCAGATTCTTCATTTGTAAAATAAGATGGTTGGACTAGATGAATGCTAGTGGCCCTTCTAAGCCTGTTATCCAGATTGTCTCAACCTGATAAATTTGTTAAAAATCTCTTTTTGGACTCATTCACAGTAACATAAATCTTCTGGTTCAAAGCTTTATTTAATATCGGTGGTAATTAAAATATCCATTGAGTTTGAGATATGAGTTTTTTGGGTAGAACCTTTTTTTTTTTTAAAGAACATTCCTCTCATACATCTAAACTAAATGTGCAGCTAGTAATGTATGTTCTTTAAGAAAATTTTTTTCTAGGTAATTGAGCTGAGCACAGTACACCATAATTTATTTGCTTATAGAAGACTTGGAGAGAATATCATACAATGTGGAAAATGTAACATATCTTTATTAAACACATTACTTTTGAAATTGTAACAAGCAGAATTATATTTAAGTGTGTTTATGATATTAACATAGATAATCCTTGACACAGTGAAGGCTGTAAACTATCTATTTTCTTATTCACTGTGACTTTTGGGATCATAAATTAAGGGCTTAGATATCATTGAGTACCCTCATTTTTTTACAGTTGAGGGAGCAGACATTATCTTTTGAGTTTCTTTGTATATCCACTACTTAGCACAATTCAAGGAACATACTAGATTTTGTACAAATGTTTGTTGACTGACTGAGATCCAGTGATTTGCTAGGGTAGTACAACTAGTAAGTGTCTAGGAAAGGATTTGAACACAGTTCTTTTCTCCAAATTCATTGCTGCATGCAAACCATTTTTCTTCCATAAAATTTCTTTGTAATCTAATACATTGCAGTTCTTCTTTTAAGTTATATAGTGTCATACCATAATAGTGGTAGAGATTAAAAGATCTTAGACTTCATGTACTCCAAATTTCTCAGTAAATACTGGTTGAATAAATAATCTGTCAGTCTTATTGCATGTCAGTGAAAACAACAGGCATTCATTTTGTTTTTCTTACATGGATTATTATGCCAAATTCTTGGTTTTTCACGTGTCTCATTTTGGAGGTTCTTTATTATCTTTAGTCAGTGCTAAGCTATCTAGGAATTTTCATCTGATAAAAGGAATGCTTTTTTTCATGGGTATTTTGTGTAGGGCATCCTTCTTGACAGTGACGACCATCTTTTCTTTGGACTTTTAATATATAAAGTAAAGATACAGTAATAACATCTTGCATTTCTCTCTTAGCACACTGTGAAGAAATATCCTTCATTTGTTGTTCATTCATTTCAGTCCTGTCCAGCTTCTTGTGAACCCCATTTAGTGTTTTCCTCGCAAACATAATACAATGTTTTGCTCTTCCCTTCTCCAGGTCATTTTACAGATGTAGAACTAGGGGGCAATAGGGTTAAGTGACTTGCCCATGGTCTTACTAGCTAGTAAGTGTCTGAGGCCAGGTTTGAACTCAAGAAGACCAGATTTCCTGACATCAAGCCTAGCACTTTATCTACTGTGCCAACATGTGCTTTATTATCAGTTTTGTCAGGCAGCTCACAGGATCTCTTCAGTAGAGGATAATTCCTTTTCCTTTCTCAGTCACATGTTTCTTTTGCCCCATTGATGCTTCAATGTCTTTTTTTTTTTTTTGAAGGTTTTTAAAATGTCTTTCATTTTTATCTCTTCTAGATTTTTTTCTCTACCCCTTTTCCTCCCTAGAAAGTAATTTCTTTTAATATAGAATTTTTATAACATAGAATTTTTTTTTGAGAGGAAGATGGAAAAAATAAGTCAGCATAAGTGACCATTACATTAAAAAAAAAAAATCTCTCAGCCTCTGCCAGGGAGGTTGGGTTGGGTGCAGGAATGTGAAAGTCATTTCTACTTCATTTTCAAATGTCTTATTGTTGTTCTTTCCATTTACATTTTTTAGTCATTTTGTATATTGTTTTCCTAGCTCACTTTATTTTCACTTCACCTTTCTTTTGGGGGGGCGGTATATTTTGCAGCTAGTACCCAAGAGTTATGAACAGGTTTAGTTTTATATGCTCTCAGCATATCTGTGGTATATACTTTGTAGTCTTTTAAGGTTGAATTTTGCTCTAGTATTGACAAATGTTTCTTTAGAATTACCAACACTAAACACATTGTTATCATATGTTTGAGGTGTTTACTTAAAATTATTTCTGTAAATGTAAAAAAAAAAAAAGTGAAAGCATTTCTATTCCCTCTCTACATAAATTCTCATAAAGATTTTCTAGAGATTAGTCAAATCCATTGGTACCAAATTGCTTGTTAATCAGTCATTTTTTGGATTTTTTTTCTGGTCACAATACTGTCTTTATTTCTTTAAATCATTTTTTTTTCCTTCTTTCTGAGATCTCTAAAATGCATTCTCCATTTCTTCAAATGCCTTCAGGACATTTCTTCTACATCCATAAATAAGTCATTAAATATTAAGACCCTGCTAGATACTGTGCTTAGTACTCAGATACACATAAGAAAAAGATATGCCTTTTTCTCAAGGAGTTTGCTGTCTAATTAAGAACAGCTGAAATGTTAGGGCACTGGTAGAGAAGTCATATTGAAAACAATTAACAGTGCCCAAAGAAGTGCAGAACAAGGGCAACTGGAAAAACTAAAAAAGTAAAAATTGAGTGCTGCCAGAGAAGTTATAGAATTCCTTAATGAGTACAGCTAGATGGGAAATGAGATATCTGTGATGATGTGTCTATCTTCTGCTTCACGTTTTTTTTTAAATTAATTTTTAATTAAATTATTTTGAATTATCAAGTTCCATAAGCTTTTGAGTTTTCAATTTTTCTCCCCCTCCCTCCCAACCTCCCTCACCAAGATGGCGTGCAATCTGATATAGGCTATACATATACATTCCTATTAAACACATTTTCACATTAGTGATGTTGTAAGTAAGAATTAGAACTAATAGAGGAACCACCAGAAAGAGGAAACAAAACACAGCAGAAGAAAAAAATAGCAAATAATATGCTTCGATCTGCATTCAAACTCCATAGTTCTTTCTTTGGATGTGGATAGCATTTTCCATCACGAGACCTTTGGAGATGTCTTAGATCCTTGTGTTGCTGAGAAGGATTAAGTCTATCAATATTAGTCATCGCACAATGTGCCTTTTACTGTGCACAGTGTTCTCCTGGTTCTGCTCACTTCACTCAGCATCAGACCATACAAGTCTTTCCAGGTTTTTCTGATTTTGGCCTGTTTATCAATTCTTATAGCAAAATAGTATTCCATTACATTCATATACCACATCTCAACTTTCTTATACTCATTTCACTGATTCAGACTTTTTGTCACCCTCAGGCTCTCTTCACCTCTCTTCTGGATTATTACTATAGCCTCCTAGATTATCTTCCCTTCTCAAAACTCTTCCTGTTTCAATCCATTCTCCACTTGTCTACCAAAAATGACGTTCTTAAAACATCCGTCTGTCCTTTTCAGTACTTTCTCCCCTCTCCGTAAACTCCCATGACTTTCCTTTACCTCCGAGAACAAATAGCAAGTGCTCCTGTGTTTAAAGCTCTCTAAAAACTGACCCATTGCTAGATTTCTAGACTTTTTATTTATTTTTTCCTCCTTTTTTTTTATTAATTTATTTTTAGTTTTCAACATTCACATCCATAAGCTTTAAATTTTCTCTACCTCCCTTCCCAAGGCGGCATGCAGTCTAACTAGGCTCTACATGTACATTCCTATTCAACATATTTTCACATTAGTCTAGACTTTTTCCTGTAGTCAGCCTGGTCTTCTTGCTGTTTCTCATACAAGTTGCCGTATATGTATTCTGTAACAGTTTTTCTGTCATCATCACATCCCGTGTGGAATACTGTGACCCCTCCTGCCTCACAGTTTCTCTCGTCTCCTTCAAGACTCGGCTCAAAGGCTACGTAGTTCTTCAGGTCGTCGTCAGCCCCCATTACTGTGAGCATTCCACCTGAGATGTTCTTCCTTATGTGAAGTGTGGAATGTGCGTGGTCTTTTGTATGGGATCGCCTTCTTATGGATGTTGTGGGCTCCTTAAGAGCAATAATTAATGTAATTCCTGGCACACAGAAGCTCTTAATAAATATTCCTTGAGGGCAGCTAGGTGGCGCAGTGGATAAAGCACCAGCTGTGAAGTCAGGAGGACCTGAGTTCAAATTCAGCCTCAAACCAAACACTTGACACTCACTAGCTGTGTGACCCCAGGCAAGTCACTTAACCCTGATTGCCTAAAAAAACAGACAGACAAACAAACAAAAATATTCCTTGAGTGATTACACCTGGAGACCTGGAGGTAGCTAAGTGGCCAGTGAATAAAATATTCAACCTGGTACCAAGAAGACTTGCCTTCAGATGTGGCCTCAGATACTCTCTACCTGTGCGACCCTGGGCAAATAAGTTAGCCTCTGTTTGCCTCAGTTCTCTTAACCTCAAAATGGGGATAATAAAAGCACGTACTTTGCAGGATTGTTGTAAAAAATCAAATGAGATTTTATTTATGAAAAGCACTAAGCTTAGAGTCTGGCCTATAGTAGGAAATATTTAATTATTTGTTGAATCTCTCCCCTTAGATAAAATAAATGAGTTTTGAAAATATATAATAAGCCAGGCATGAAGGAATATTTTTGTGATAAGGAGAGGAAATGGGAGGGATCTTCAATTATTCAGGTATCTACTGCAGCTCTCTTTTTGAAAGTAGAACAGCTAATTAATTCCTGGTTTGTCTTAATAAAGGAAACAACAAAATATATTTGGCACCTATCTTTACCAATATAGAAAACTGAAATGACTTACATTGTAAAATGGAATAAAGACATTAGGAAAAATAATCCAAAAAATGTTATAACAAGCTGTTTTCTCCATCAGTTTTCAGTTCAATTCAGTAGACATTAGTGTTAAGAAGCTGGAAAGGTGGGAAGAGAGGAGTTTTTTTCCCCCTCTCTTTTTGTTTATATTACTGTAATTATCAATATTTTTCAATTTTCTTCATGTTGTTATAAACATAGCCACATAAATATAAACATGATATAGAAGCAGATCATTGCAGGAAATAGTAATTTTTCTAAATATCTCTCCAATGAACAACTCTGTCCTTTTGCATGTGGTAAGATATCTCAGTTTTGTAAATTAAGCCTTAATTAAGTGTATTATGGTTCAGAATATCGAGATGCCATTAAGAAAGTTCCGACATCATTGTGATAACTGGTATACTGCTATCATGTCTAGTCTCATAATATGACTCACTGTTAGTGCTGTTTAGAGGGTTTTCAACATATTTTGTAAATGTCACATTGGGAGAGGACATTTCTTCATGAGTCATTTATGGTCCATTGCTCGAATGATGATAGTAGTATTCTCTGAAGGTTTGCTTCATATCAAGAGAAGTTCGTAAGGCCATTAGATTATAGTAAGGTAAAAACTATGGGTTTAATGTTGAGAAATAGTGGTAGTTATCACTCACTTGCTAAATTGAAGAACAAAGCCACAGTACCCAAGAATGCTAACTAATTTAGGGGAGGTGTCTTGTCTTGGCTGAGTTCATTATGCAGGAAAAAAATGGGAGACCTAGAAATTAAATTTAGGCGTTCTTATTCCAGAATCACTACTTTTGGATGCCCTATGCTGTCTCATCAAAATGACTTTTTTAACCAACCTTTTTGGTGGCACATAATTTGTGGGTTTTTTTTTTTTTTAAGTTCAATGTTCGGGCCATTTCTGCAAATGAATCAGTCCTAGGATATAAAATATGTTTTTGAAAAAGACTTAATATGTCTTTCTGTTTGTGAATGTTCAGTAGGCTTTAATTTTTATGAAACTGTTTCTGGTTAAAAGAGGAAAATGATCTACCAAAAATAGTGGTTTTGTTTTTCTGTTAGTTTTCAAATTTTAATTATATTTAAATTGTTCTTGGATGTCAGTTATTGGACGCATATTTTGCTTTGCATTTGACAAAGTTTGCATGATTCTGCTGGTCTGCTCTAAACCCAAGAAGAGTTAACTTCACAACTAGTAGTTTAAACAACCCTTCTTTGTAAAGAACTTTGGCTTTCTGCGGGATCAAATTTTGTATTTTTGGAATAGAATGTAGTATCGAGTATAATTATTTTTTCTACCATCCAGTGTTAATTGAATATCGAAAATGTTCAAGTGTTTTATAGAAATGCATGAGTATTCAGAGATAACTGAATGTTATTTCTGCTTATTTTCATCTAGGAAGCCTTCTTTGGGAAAGACCTTCTAGATACAAGTAGACAAAACAAATTGTGCCCAGATAACCTGTCAGAAGAATCAGCATCTCAACTTGCATGTAAAACTAATATGAACACAAACTTTTTAGATCCTACTTCTGACCCCCTGCTCAGCTCAACCTCAACTCCAGTGAAACCAGGAACTCAAGGTATAGAAAATATAATAACAATTCATTAAGTCCTTATTTTATTTCCTTTGTATCCATGGTTTGTGCTTTAACTGTTTATGCTTTTAACAGTTTTTTTTTCTGAGGAGTTGTCAAGAAACATGCAGTTATAGGGATATGGGGTCTACCCTTGTTTGTTACTATGCAAAATTGAATGAGATACAACCTAATGTAGTGGCCTTGGAATCAGAAGATTAGAATTTCAGTCCTGGCTCCATGTGAACCTGAACAAGCCACTTTACCTTTATGAATCCTTTAGGATTGCTTATACTATCTACCTTACAGAGTTACTGTGAGGAAATCTTCAACAGGTCTAGAAATATGAATAATTATAACAGCCACTGCCCTACACTGACCTTTTTTGGTGTTTCTCTTTTACATTTTGTGTTTACACATACATCATTAGGAAAATTTGGAAAGTATAATAACATATTAGACTCCATATCTCAAAAGATTTGTTTTAGAACTTATAGCAGTAAAATATTACTTATTTTTGTCAATAAATTTCGCTGTTTTCTCAAATGGAGTTAGATAACAATTTTTTTTAAATGGTCTTTCATTTTTTAACTTTAGTTCTCCACATACTGCATATCACTTAAATCCAGGAATCTTAACCTTTTTTGTTCCATGGTCTTCTTGCCATCTGAAGTCCGTGAAAAATGCTTTATAATGCAAAAAATAAAGTATGCAGTATTATGAAGGAAACCAATTTTATTAAAATAAATAGGTAGTTTTTTCCGATCCAAGTTCATGCAATCCCTGAATTCTATCCACAGACTGCTTCTGGAGAACTCAGGTTAAGAACTTCTGATCATTCACAATCTCTTTTAGTTTTTACTATATTTCTTTCAGATTTAAAAAATACTACCTGCTCATGTCCATTTAGTTGAAGCTTGACAAAAATACAGTGTGTAAAGCTTGAAGAAACTGTTGGTCACATCTTGGGTTAAGAGTCAGGACTGCCTGGGTTGTAATCCAGTCTCTCATTCATGTATGTATGTATGTATATATACATACATATATATATATATATATATATATATATATATATAAAAATAATCTGTGAACCTGTGCAAAGCACTTAAACCGTCACCCCAAGCAAGTTTCCAAGACTGTAGATTGGAAAATAGTTGCCAGTGTTCAGTGGCATAGGTAATGTCCTCATTTTTACTTCTTCACCACCATTAAAATATAATTCTGGACTAAAAAAAAAATGCACTGAAATTAGATAGAGGACAAAATTAATTCTTAACTGTTTATACATCCAAAATCAGTATTAGAGTTTTCCTTACTGCTATTTAATGGAAACACCAGTCTATTAAAAATGCAGAAACTTTTTCACCTCTAACTCTATGACTATGAGCAAATCATTTCACCTCATTGGGACTCAGTGTCTAAGATATGGAAGTTTAAAAAGTTTCTTCTCATATTCTAATGGTTCTATTACACTGTTCAAATTTTCTATTATAGCAACCAAGTAGAACAGTTAATCATCAGGTTTTATTTACAATATAGATAAATACCACCAACTTTTTTGATATATTATATCATTTTTCATTACTGTCAAGACTAGTTGTGAGATGTTAATTTTATTTTCTTTTGACAGTTTTTTTTAAACAGCTTCTTAAACAGTGTGGATACTAGTTGTACTCAGTTTTAATATTTTGGCAGCCCCTTCCCCCCAAAAAAAATTACTGTATCTGAAATAGAGATCTAATGTACTTAGAGTTACAGGCTTTGAAAAGTATGTTCTTCCTTAAGAATCTCTGTAAATTAGATTTCCAAATGGCCAGTTCGATATTTTTGTTGTTGTTGTTATTAAGTCATTTCAGACGTGTCTGATTCTTTATGATTCCATTTGGACTTTTCTTGAAGTGGTTTGCCATTTCCTTCTCCTGCTCATTTTACAGAGAAAGAAACTGAGGTAAACAGGGTTAAGTGACTTTGCCCAGGTCACATAGCTAGTGTGTGAGGCCAGATTTGATCTGAGGTCTTCCTGAATCCATCCCCAGCACTTTATCCACTGAACCACTTACCTGCCCAATTTCTGTAAATACTAAATTTGATTATCTTATATTTTTTTACCTCTCCAAAAAAGTCGATAATAATTATTGATGAATGTAATGGGAATGTAATATAAAATTTTATATTATATGTTTGTGTTATATTTTCCCTTTGTATGTTTTATGTCTTCTATGTAATTTCAATTTTTAAATCATAATTTACTAATGAGTTATGAATTCTAATGTGAGTAACATTGTGAAAACCCAGGCAGTTTCTGTTCTTAAGAGCATTTTTGTCTTAGAGTATGTGATGTCAGTTTCTTTTGTATGTATTTTTTTGAATACTGTTTCTTAATGAATATTTTTTATATTTTGTTGCTATCCTTTATTTGAGTGACAAAAGGAATTCTAAAAGCAATGTAAGCAAATTGGTTTTTTTTTCTTAATCTCCCCAAATTATAGAAATGTACATAGATATAGCTAAAATTTGACTATCTTGCCCCTTTTCTAAGAGTAATTGTTAGCTATTTTGACATGGCCCTTGCTAGAGTTGCTTTCTCACCAGCTTCATTGACTTGGATGATCAGTTGCTTACTCTAGACAGACCCTGAGCCAGAAGGACTTCATTCCACCTTAATTTTTTCCCTCTTTATCAGTAGTCAGAGGAAGCACTAGAAACATGTTTCCTGATGATAGGGGAATGTTTTATACGTTTCTATTCTTTCAAAACCAGGAAGCTCCATAGTATCCTTTTTTTTTTTTAACCACAGATGTGATGATACAGAAAGTAGAGGACGTGTAAAAAGGATTTTGGAAAGGGAAATCTCAAAATACTACCTATATTTTTATAAATATTATATTTCTGTATTGTTAAATATTTTATTTCTATAAAATATAGGTATTTTGAAATTTTCCAAGTACTTTTTTCAGAATTAGTCCTGAAGTGGATAATATGATTGTCATCTAATTTACAAATGAGCAATTCAAGATCAGAGGAGTGTCTTCCATAAGATTTCCAATTAGCAATTGTAAGAATGCACCCGTGAACTAAAATGTTCTGATTCCAATATATCCTGTGCAGTTTCTTCTGTGCTGTGCTCTGTCTTGAGTATTTAATTGCCACATCTAGATACTGTCCTTTTGGGATGAGGATATGCAGTGAAAAATATTTATTTACCTTAAAAGTTACATAAAATGTCCATAGTTAGAGATTTATTTTCTACATTTGTTAGTGGTGATCATACTAACGTTATCCCCTTCAGAAAATTCTGTACCTTTCTTTGGGTGAGTGAGGCAAAGTGGGTAGGCTTGTTGCAGCTGATTGGAAGCTTCTCACATTTCCTATGTCAAGAAAATTCATAGGCACAGCTTACCTGCCCTAAAAACTAGTGATAGTTTTTTAAAAGCACAACACACATACAAGATAGCATGTGCTTTCTGTATTTATCCTAATACAAGTAGACTAGACCAGGAACCTGTGCCCTTGAGGCCACATGTGGCTTCTAGGTCCTTGGGTGTGGCCTTTTGACTGAGCCCAAGTTTTATAGAACAAATTTTTTTTATTGTTTTGTGAAATTTGGATTCAGTCAGAGGGTCATACTTGAGGACCTAGAGGGCCACATGTGACTTTGAGGTCATATGTTCCCCACCCCTCGACTAGACTCTGAAATAAACAGGGTCACCTAGATGGTGCAGTAGATAGAGTACCAGGTCTGAAGTCAGGAAGACTCATATTCGGAGTTGAAATCCAGCCTCAGACACTTACAGAGAATCAGTCAGACACAACTTGAAAAACAACTAAACAGTAACAAACTGAAATGAATAGCAACACTTTTTTTGCTTTATTTGAATTGTTCCACGTACTACTGAACTGTGGAAGAAAATCTTGAGATCTTGTGCCTGCATAATAGAACTCTTGAGTCCTGCTATGAATTGTGTAACATGGAAATTCTACTTCCATTAGAGTGATTCCCAAAACAAATAAAAATGTCCTCATTAAATATAAGAATTCTTTCTAAGAACATTTAATGTGAATCAACCAATATTTTTTTCTAGCTGGTTATCTTGAAAACCATGTTGGGTTAACATTTACAAACCCCTATGAAAAATTAAATTGGTGGACCTATTTCCACATTGTACTTTGGCTTGTTTTACCAACCTTCATTTCTTGTTAAAAATATAAGTTTTATTCACTGTCAGAGTTCAAGTGCTGGCCTTTTCCCTTTTTCCCTTTTGACAATGGGCAAATCAGATCATATCTCTGGGCCTCAGATTTCTCATCTTTAAAATGATGGATTTGGGCTTAATTACTTCCAATGTTCTTTTAGGTTCTCAGTCTATAACTCTAGAATCCTTAAGTCTGTGATCTTTACGTATTTTATCCTTAAATATGTATACTTTAGTCAGCCTTCATAGTCTGTTCAGTATTTGTAGTTTTTTATCTTCTTTCAGTTGCTTTTTAATTTTTTTTATAATCCTTATATCTGTCATCTTTTGAAGTATTGAAATATCATCAAGTTAAATGGTATAGTAGTATTCTGTTAGTATCACTAGAGTACAATTTGTTTGTAATATACCCATAGAACAGAAATTACTTAATTTTTGCTGTTAAAAATAAGGCAGCCTTGAATATTTTTATGGAGATAGCTTTTTAATTATATCTTTAAGATATTAAGTAGCTCAATGAATCAAAACATCCATTCAGTTTTGTAATTTGTAATGTGTATTTCAAAATTGTTCTTCAGAAAAATGGTGTCGATTTATAGTTCTATTAGCTATGTAGTTATTTTCCAGCATTTTGTAACTTTTCATTGTTATTGCTCATTTAGTAAGTGTCACATTCCTTCCAATCTATTTTTTATTTCTTTGCTTATTGGCCTTACCAGTGTTTTAACTCATTTTTATAATTGATTATTTCTTGTATTCTTCTCATTCTCATTTTCTCGCCATTTGTGCATTGTTGATTGCCTGTTCCCTTATTTTATATCAGGTTTCCGAAAGATCCAGATTGGAACTTTTGGTTATATTGTTTTTGGGTGTATCAAATTTATTTGTATTCAAATTAATATGTCTACCATGATTTGTCATATGTTTTCAACAGATTGATCTTTCTTTTCTCCAGAGAGCAGATAAACATATTCTTTTTCCTTGTAAATTTTTAACTCAGTAACTTGAGTGTATTGTACTTATGTTATAAGGTATGTTTAGAGCCTTTTTTAAAAATCAGATTACTCACTCGGTTTTCTCAAAGATTTTTATTAAAGCCTTTCTTCAGTGTTTAGCATCCTTGAATTTTATGAAACAATAATTTTTAGGTACAATAAAAGCATTGTTTTACTCTTGAAAGAACACTGGGCTCAGATCAGAAGACCTAGGTTCAGTTCATTGTTCCACCATTCGGTTATCACTTTGGACAAATCTCTTAATTACTGGGAGCTTCATCTCCTCATGTGGCAGCAGCATTATACTTTGTCTACCTAACTCGTCAGCAAGCATTTATTAGGTACTTAATATATACCACTTACTGTAGTAAGCTCTAAGAAAATTAAAAATAGAACCAGCTGTCAGAGAGCTCACATTCTAATCAAGGAGACAACATGCTTATAACTATGTATAAACAAAATATATGCAGCATTAATTGGATGGAAGACATATTGTTAGTTCCTCTAGTCGTGTCCAATTCTTTATCATCCCATGTGGATTTTTGGGCAAAGATACTGGAGTGATTTGCCATTTTGTTCTCCAGCTCATTTTACAGGTGAGGAACTGAGACAAACAGAAGAAGTGACTTGCCCGGGGTCACAGAGTAAATGTGGGAGGCTGAATTTGAACTCAGGTCTTCCTGACTCCAGGCCTGACACTCTATCCACTGAGCCATCCAGCTGCCCAAGCAATACACATGAAATAGTTAATACACAAGAGAAGAGAACATAAAGTGCTAAACTGGGTATAGTCAACTAGAGAAGATGAGTAGAAAGCTTTTTAATTCATATCTAGAAGAGATAAGTAAATTTTAACAGGTTTTTTGTTCCACTTACTTTTTTGAGAGTCATAAGGATATGTGAAATAATGTAAGTAAAAATAGCGTCATAACTCAATAGTCCTACATGTGATGTTAATATTATATTCTACTTATGAAATTCCTCTTTTGTTTTATTGGTATACTTTTTGTTTTTGATCAAGTAACAGATAGTCTTGCTAAAATTATCATAAGATCTGTATTGAAATTTGATGTTTTGATTACTTTTACCTATTTTTTTCCATGTATTCCCTTAATACTTTTCCTTTTTGGTATTTGTGTATAAATTTTCTTATCTACTTTTTGGAAAATATTAATAAACACTAAGGCATTTTAGGTGTTGCAAAAAACGTTATGAGTAATAAATCTTGAGTAGTTAGCTCATCATGAAAACCTTGTCACTAAATGTTATTAGAGAATTTTGTTGTACCCATGGTTAACTTTCTAAAAACATTATAATCTTGTCAATAATTTTTTGAAAATATCACATGTATTGGTGAGGGATAGTGTGGTAATACAAAAGAAAAAGCTTTAGTGTCATGATTTCATGCCTCTTGCCTGTACTGGTTGTGTAACTAGTCATTTTAGTTAACCTCTCAGACTTGCCAGGTAACTCTCTAAGATGAATTTACGGGCTGACATGCATTATTAGAGAAATTTCCTCAACTGGAGCTTTTGACATCAAGGAAATCACAGGTGGAGTCCAAAAAAGGCATAAGATATATTGAGTTCTTTATATGTACTTATTTGATCCTCGTTAACACTTTGAAATATGTATGTGCTATGGATATTTTACCCATTTTGAAGGTGGAGGATCTGTATCTTAGAGAAATTAAATGACTTGCCCAGTGATCATGTGGCTATCAGGTGTTGGAGGTAGAATTCAGATCCAATTTTTTGTTTATTCTCAGTCCCAGGGTTTTCCCTTCGTACAAAAATATCTATCGTCTCCATGGGATTAATTTACAAGCAATGGCATTATATTTTGGACTAAATTAAACATACAAATTACTTTAAACAGAGCGATTGACTTAATAATGATTTTCCAGGACATTGAATCTCTTTTTCCCCTTAAGAAACCTTGACATATGGATTTCTGAAGTTATTTGGTAGAGAAAGACTAGTTAGTTGCTGTATGATGTCTCTCACTTCAGACAGTCCATTAAATATGTTTTAAAATATTTTGTGACTTATAAAAATTCAATTTCCCAAACATTTTTAAAAATCTTCTTTAGTGACATAAAGTTTTAAAAATTGTTAATAATAACGCATTGCAGCTGATATACTTCAAATATCACCTGGTGAGAGAAGAATTTCTGATATGAAATTTAAGCAATATACAGTCTTTTATAATCATCTTCTTTTGTAGTCTTTTGAAATAATCTCATCTTTTTCCCCATTCATAAAGAAGTAATAAGGATCAGTATTAATTTTATTATCCTCTTCTGAGTCAGCTGGCGTGTCTTGGGTTCAACTTTATACAACCAGTCATCAGAAAACCTCTCTTTTTAGTGTCTGCTTCCTCCAGACTGTTCATGATGTAATACACATAATATGATCCCGATCTAGTGCCCATGCAGCATGTATTTAAATTTTTGGCTCATTAATGGTGCTAATATCACAGGGCAATTATATTTGTATCTGCGAAACTGTTAACAGTTGCCAAAAATCATGGATGTAACTTACACAGAAATTGAATTTAAAATCTTTATTTATTAACATTGTGCTATAAATCCTAATTGTAATACTATAAAATATTCAAAAGATGCTCATTCAATGAGAAGAGGCCTGAACCTGTTGTTTGATTTATTCTATGTAATTGCTTGTGTGCTTGCCATATTGTTGCTGTTGTTTAAATCTCAGTCAAATCTCTGCTCAGAACACCTCATTTAACAGAAAAATCAATTTAATGTATAAAGTTGAAAATCTCTTAAATTACTCTAGTCTTTTATGTTTCTTTCATAACTTATCCCTCTATATTTAATAAACTGTATTCTTGTTGACATTCTTGCTATTCTCAGTCTCTCCTGCCTTTTTTCTCTGTTGGGCTCTTTTACACGCCTGCATCTTTGTGTGTGTGTGTGTGTGTGTGTGTGTGAGAGAATTTATATTAGTCTGATTTAAAAATCATTCAATTTTTCTTCACTTGTCATTGCAAGGTGTTAGGTTTTTATTACCATCGATATTATTTTATTGCAAAATTCTGGAAATATTCCAAATTAAGTTCCATAAATCAATTCTGTTTTAAAGCATTCTGAAGATTTTTATATATGATCTGTATGTATTTACATATACCATCTTTAGAAAGTAGTAATGGAGATTTATATCTGCAGGGAATTGGCCACCAGATGATGACTTTTTTTTTCAGCCTCTGCTGATCATAAAAATTATTTCCTAAGGTTGGAAATGTTTATGATCTTGAAGATATCACTTCATTAATAAATCCTAAAGCTTTCTGAGTTTCTTTTAAATAATGTATTTAGTATATTCCACATGGCCAACTTTTAATGTTTTGTTTTATTTCCTATAGCTAATGCTGATGACCCATTAGCTGACCTCTCAGAAGTATTAAACACGGAAGATGACATCCTAGGAATACTTTCTGATGATTTAGTAAAATCTGCAGATCATTCAGGTATGTGTAAAAGTCTTTGTAATTACTTCTGTGTTATCACATTGTCATGTGTATTATACCTATCAATTGAAGAACTTCATTTCTGAAGTTTTTGGAGAAATTTCATGTAATTTTATTTGACTTGGTTCTGTTTTCTTGCTTATATGTCAAAAATATTTGCCCTTGTCTCTTATGCTGGGAGTCTTTTTGAATGTAATCATACACTGAGTTTCTCCCATTTCTCGCTTTTGATTTCTTGCTCTCTCTCAGTCTCTTGCCTTCTTTATCTCTCTTGCTTGTTTGCTCTCAGTATCTCATGGAATTTCTCTTTAGCTCTCTCTCTCATTCTCTTCTTTTGGGATCACTTTTCTTTTTTCTCTCTTATGATAATCATCCATTTTATTTGGTTTGGGTCTTGTAGGTATTGATTTATGCACTTTCCAGGTTGAGAACTCACCTTCCCCATTTGGTAAGAATCCAAATAATGGATGAACCATGACTAGAAGTAGTTTTTTTTCTAGTGACTTCAGCAAAACAATCTCTATGTGCATGCATAAGTATTAGTAGTGCTTTCTTATTACTAATTCATGCTTTCATTTTTCATTATCTTTGTATAGTTAAAAACAACTTAATTTGTAATATTTCTGTGTCCTGGATTGAGTTCTAAAAATTGAAAAATTATTTTCTTGCCTGTCCATGTTTCCTTAATATATTTCCTTGCCTTTTTGTTGTCTGTCATAACATTAAATAATTGATTCTTAAAACTGTAGTACAGAACTTTGTTAATTTATGTTGGAAATTTTTTTGTTGCCATGTAAACAATAGCACTAGAGTAAAGCATGAATAAAAAAAAAAACCTTTCCTCTCCTGTCTGTCTTCAGAGACATTTCCTCAACAAATGTTAATCAATGCTAATTTAGAAGGCAACCATTTAAAACTATCAGTTGTTTTAAAAAAAAATTGTAATTATGCATTGAGTTTCTACATTGAGAATTCATCCAGAGTCTCCTCTCCACTGGCTCCTTGCTTTCTTGAAAATTAATAGTATAATTTTATGAAAACAGTAGTTGCTTAATTGTACATTATATCTAAAACAGATTGATTATATGCAGTAGATTCATTGCTTTCTGTATATAAATAGTTATTTGAGTATTTTTGCTAGCGCAGATAAAATTTATCTCTATGCAAAGTAGCTATGATATAATATGAATTCAACAATAAAAGTAGTAGTATTCTTTTAGGTTAGGGGTCTTAATTGGAGTATCGGTTACATTGTTAATATTCTTGTGGATATTCCATTTGATGAAAGATGTGTCTTCCTCGAGATTAGTCTGAGTTGATTTTTTGTTTGCTATGTTTTTATGTTCTTCATGAAATTCATTTATAATGAAGAATTCTTTAGAACTGCTGCAACTGCAAATATAATATGCCTAATGTAGTGCACAAAATGTTCTTATATGAAACTCATCTTTTTGCTTTCTAAACATAACTGCAAATTACTTGAAAAATTTTGATGGTAAACTATATTAAATTAGAAGTCTTCAGATGGTGTTAAGTTAGATAATCTGATTTTGTTTTATATTGGTTAAATTTTTGTATATTCATATCACATTTTTATGTTTAACCGTCATGTGTCCACTAAATTCATTGTCTGATTTAATGTTTCATTTCTTTAGCTGGCCTAGATATTGGTTCCATCTCTGATGATCCTTCCTCTTTGCCTCAGCCAAACGTTAATCAGAGTTCACGGCCATTGAGTGAAGAGCAACTAGATGGCATCCTCAGTCCTGAACTAGACAAAATGGTCACAGATGGTAAAATATTTGCCCTACATCTAGGCTTTCTAAAAGACATGAGTAAATACAATTTTCAAAGATTACTGCATGCTTTAATTCTTCATTTAACATACATTCCTTCACATGAATTAAATTTAATACTATTGTTCATATAATTATCTAAATAAGATGACTGATGTCTGTTTTTTAAAACTTCATTTCAGGAGCAATTCTTGGAAAATTGTTTAAGATTCCAGGTATGTGTTCCTGTTCTTTATGTTAGTGAAATCTTTATCCTCTTAATAATATTCCAGCAATTTATATTTTACTTGCTATTTCTTTTTCAGAGCTTGGAGGTAAAGATGTTGAAGACTTGTTCACTGCTGTACTGAGTCCTGCTACCACTCAGCCAGCCTCACTGCCACAGCCTCCACCACCACCACCACAGTTAATTCCATTACATAATCAGGGTATGTTCTGATTTGGTGTTGGGGGTATATTTTCATTAATCAGTCTTTGTATGCATTATAATTTAATGACAAGAGAATATTGTTACTGAAGCCTTGATTGAAGTACACCTGGAGGCGTGGTAATGAAAGAGTACTGAATATTAATATCTTGAGAAGATTAATGCCATGCGATGACACTTGATTTTATTACTAGGGTTTGAAGTTTCTGGAAGTCAGTCCATCTGTGCCCCACTAATGTTGGATGAATTAATTTCATTTTGCCTAGGGTACTGCTGGGTATCTTAAACATTTCTTTTAGGAGGTATGATGTTGGGTCCCAGATAATTTGCTGTCATTCTTGAAAAGTCTACATGCTTGCAAACAACATGTAATTTTTCTTGTCTTGCCTTTTGAAAGGTACTCAATCCTGTTTGTGGCCAGTTTTGTCTGCTGATTCAGCAGTTCTAAGTCCTGACTCTAGCTCTTGTACTTCTAATGAATCTGATTCTTTGGCCAAAAGTTGCTTTTTTCAAATATTACCATTGAAAATAAATTGAGGTTTGCTTTGTGGGAAGGTGTGGGATTCTTTTTCTGCAGAGGTGTTTGATGATTTGCTGACTGATTATTTTTTCTTATGGATGGCCTTACTTTCTATTACCTGTGTGTTTGTAAGCAGAAAACAAAATTTTTAAGAATATACTTACTCCGTGTTAGCCAATTAATAATTTTCTTATATTTAGTACTTCTGAATTAGTGCAAGTAATCTAAAAGAAATCCTAATTTCCAAACCATTTTGATACCTCTCTTTGCATACTGTTTATTTAATCTTGTCCAAATAACTTCACATTAATAGAACTTGGTTTTCTTGTTTCTAAAGTGAATAATTTATACCAAATGCTCTGTAAAATCCCTTTCCTCTCTCTTTGTTTCACTTTCGCTGCTCAAACGAAGAATCCATTTACATGTGGAAATTTCAGCATTATATATATGCAATAAGAAAAAGGCAGAAGAAAAAAAATAAATGTCAGCTAGTAAATAGGAATCCTTGTTTTAAAGAAAAAAAATCTTGTCCCAAAAAATTCAGTCTGAAAAAAAATAAATCCATAAGTCTCATACTTGATTCTTTCCCTTCATCTCCATCCTTATATTTTTTTAATTGATGAAAAATTTAAAATTTATTATAAACTAACAATCATCAATGAATATGAACATTTCAGTATATGGAAACTTTAGAGTTCTTTTATATAGTTTTTGAGGTCTGCATTAAATATAGCACAGTAACAAAATTTTGTTCAGTTTTCAATTTCTTTTTAATTTGGGATTTTTTTAACCTGTTTCTTGAGTCTGTTTTCTTTGTTTTGTTTCTCTCAACCTAGTTACTCATCCCTTCCTGTCTGTCTCCATCCCCACTTACTTCCCTGTTACAAATAAGTATACAAAGTTACAAAAAAAGTATACAAGATATACAAAGTATAATCAAATAAAATCCATATTTTGACTGTATTTGCAAATATGTCTCTCAGTCTATATTAAACCATTGCTTTTCTTCCTAGAGGTATTTAGCATATGCTGTTATTAATCTTATGAAGTCATGACTGATCATTACCTTGATTAGAATAAAAAACCCCTTTTACTTTTTGGAAATCTGAAATTTTCTCACTCTCTTGAACATGTCTCTTGGATCGTTCTCCTAAAAGAAGCCAACGTACTTCTGTTTGTTAATTAACTTTTTAATAAAGAATTATAACTTCCAGACCCATACTTTTCATTTTGGCCTAATAAATGCTTAAAACACTGTTTTGGAACATACCAATGGGTAGTAAGGAAAGAGAAGCATAAATTAATTTCCTAATACAAATTTGGAGAGATGTTCATGGCCTGATTAAAACAGATTGAATAACCAAATGGTTTTGGGAGCATAGAATTTCTTAAGTGGAATAATATTGAAGGAAAATACTTTGTTGTTAGTTAATTAACTGCTTATATTTGTGGAGTTGATTCATGAGTGTTTTTTTGTTTTGCTTTGTTTAATTTTTACAGGCAGAGTTGTTTGGCATTTTGTTTAGTTTTGTTTTCAACATTCACAGTGTAGTAAAAAAGACTTTTATCTTAAAGGACTGTGAATGTTATTCAATATTCAGTACTGATTAAATTAGTTTCTTTACATATAAGTTCAGACAAGATTTTTGATCTTCACTGTCTTCCATTTTCCCAAGAAATTACCCTTTGATGTAAGTGAAAGTAGTGGTTAATTTACAACTGAGAGCAAATAAACCAACGTGTTCTCAAAATGTCTACATGAGAGGCAATGTGCCAGATTCAGTGGAGGGCATATTCTTAATTGTTAGTACAGGAAAGTAAAACTGCTTTAGGAACAAGGATGACAAGTGTTGTTGCTTGGCAGTGGGGTCAGATCAGCGATTCTCAATCACTTTCATAGTGATGCACTATAGCCTGCACCCTTATTAGTATTTTTGTTATTAATCTATTGTTCAGTCATTTTTTAGTCATGTCCAACTCTTTATGACCTTATTTGGAGTGTTCTTGGCAAAAATTGTGGATTGGTCCTCCTCAAGATGCAAATAGAGTGAAGTGACTTGTCTAGGTCTAATAAGTTTCTTAAGTCAAATTTGAACTCAGGAAGATGCCTTCCCAACTTCAGGCCCAATAATCTATCCACTGTACCACCTAACTGCCCTGGCTTGCATTAGTGATCAATAAGGTGAAGGAAATCATCATATGTCATGAATGCATGACGGTGAAATGTAAAATAGTACAAAATGCAGTAATTTTTTCATTCAGTGACTTAGTTTTAGCAGGCAATAAAATGCCATCCTTATGAAAATCTAAGTAGTTCATTTTAGATAGAAAGATTTTCTAGATCTTTTATCATAGCAGTGAATTCTAAGGTGATAATAGTCAAATTATAAGTGACACAGCTACAACCAGAATCTAGGTTTTGCTACTTTTCCAGACATCCTATTCCTCACTCCCTTCCACATACTCTGTGTTCCAAATAACTGGTTTCCTTATTAGTCCAACAAGACAATCCACCTCCCTAATCTGGACATTTTGACTGTGGTATCCTTCATGCCTGAAACTCTGTTTCCACAATCATCTTTGCCTTTTACCTTCCCTGACCTCTTTCCTGTTCCATCTAAATTTTTACATTCTACAGAAAGCTCTTCATTGATCCCCTTTAACCTTAGCAAGTTCCTTCTAACACTATCCCTAGTTTATCCTGTATATATCTTGTTTGTACATAGTTGTTTGCATGTTGTCTCCTCCATTAAATGTGTATTCTCTCAGAGTAGGAACTGGTTTTTTTTGTTTTTGTGGGGTTTTGTTTTTTGGGGTTTTTTTTGTGCTTAGTAAATGTTTGTTGACTTTTGTACGTGATATTCCTTTCCCCTCTTTCATGCCTTTGATTTGAAAAAAAAAGTTATTCTGAAATTTATTAAACTTATGTTTGTGTATAAAGTAAGTTCTACTTCTTACTTTCAGAATTGTTCTGCACGTTTGTGTTTCTGCATTTTGTTTTGTTTTCTTCCATACATTTAAAAAAATCTGGTTGAAGCACTTTATTATCATTCAGTCCACAATTTTCCATCTTACCCTTTTGTATGTCATGAAGGGGAGGTCCTCCCAGACGGATTGCTAACTGCCTAGATTCCAGACATTTTCTACCATGCCATAGAAACCCCCTCATCCCAGAAACTCACTCTTCCCCTGGACTTTGCACATTAGAAGTACCCTTTGCCCCTGCAGCTTCTCCTTCTGATTGGCTGGTTAGTCCCAGACCAAGTGATGTCCTCCAGCCCACTCATCTCTTTATTGTTCTCCAGGCTTCCATCCTACTCCTTTACATACGTCTATGGGTTCCTTCTTGCTTTCCCCTTCATTCCTTTTTTAGATTCCTTTTATATGCTGTCTCTTCCCATTAGAATATAAACACCTTGAAACCAATGTTCTTTCTTCTTTTATTTCTGTTCTCATTGCTTAGCACTGTACCTGACACGTATTTGACTGAAAGTATAGTTCACTTATCCTTCTTCACTTATCCAGACTGTTTCTTAATGATCTAGGTGTTTTGGTCATTAATTTTTTCTCTTATTTTAGTTAAAAAATAAAGATATTTGAAAAAGACACAAAGAAGTATAATACTATGGTCGTTTTTTTTTTAATTGAAAGTATATGACTATTGAAGAAAACTATTAGATCTCTGGGTTTGTAGTGTAGAAAGTAGGATAACATTGGAGAGTTATAGTATAGCCAGAAAGATGTGAGAATTTTGTGCTTTTTTTTTTTAATGTGTTTATAAAGCTTTTTCATGTAACAAAGATGGAATTACTAAGGAGAAGCACAGTAAGGGAGGTCATCAAACAAATAAGATGGGCTAGTTACATGGCGAGTGCTTGAATAACCAGTAGTATTTGTGGAGGTTTTAGAGAAACTGATGAAAACCCCCTAACTTACTGTGTGAATTCATCCTGTAGTGAACTTAGGAAAAGAAGTCAACAAGAGTTCCCCAGAATGGATGAATTTTGATCTCTCTCTTTGAAGGGAATGCCTACATCTATCCAAACTCCATTTTATTTGAGTTTTAAGAATTTATGGAAATTAGTTTTCTTAATTTATGGTTATAACTTCCCAAGCTTCCCTTTAACTTCTTATTCTAGCACGTAAATGTATTTTTAGTTTTTGCTTTTCCTTCCTTTAAACAATAACTGAATTATCTCATCCTAAACCTAAAAATTTCAGCAGTCAAAATGTTTTGAATGTCTGTTAGGAAAATTTTAGTCTGTCACTTTTAACCAAATCAAGGACTGTGTTTTTAAATTACCTAGTATTTATATTTCTCAGTATTTTTATGTTTGTTTACCATATGGTGTAAGATTCTACAGCATAGAACAGATGTGTTCTTTGTCTCTGCCAGGACACTCTTAGGCCCTCCTTGTAAAGCCAGCAAATTGTTCTTATTTGTCATTGCTGTGTATATTATTCTTAATTTTTTTCAAATTAGGAAGCATTCATTAAATACCTTCTTTCTGTCAGATGCTATGTTAAGTACTGAATATACAGAGAAAGGCAGAAATAGTCCTTGTCCTCTAGCTCCCAATTTAATGGGTAGATACCATGAAAACAACTCTATACAAACCAAGTATAACCCATTGTAAATTGCTCATAATTTTGAAGGAACTAGCATTAAGGGATATTAGGCAGCCTTCTTGCAGAAGGTAGAGGTTTAGCTGAGACTTGATGAAGCAAGGAGGAAAAGTGTTCCAGTCATAGTGAAAATGCTAAGATTCAAGGGATATATTGTGTTCTTGAAAGATCCTGCATTGCTGGATCATATTATGTATAAAGGGTTGTAATGTGCAAACAACTGGACAGGTAGAATGTGTCCAGGTTATAAAGGGCTTTGAATGCCAAACAGATGCTTTTGTATTTGACCCTGGGTGCATTAGGGAACATGAGGTTACAGAAGAAAAAAATAGATATGTTCAAATACCTTTTTCTGCCAGGCACAAAACACCTACATAGTCTTGAATTTACCATCTTTGAAAATACTGCCATTCTTCAAACAAAACTTGTGTATGATGAGCTCCTTAAAGACAGACTTTTATACATGTTTTGTAGACTTTCAACTACCACAGTGATGTGTATATAATATTCATTTAAGTGAATAATTTTTACTTTGAATTTGGAGATTTTGAGACTATTAAATAAATTAAACAGATATATAAACAGATATAAAGTACAAAATGTTTAATGCGTTGAGCATTAGTGAAATCTTTCCAGTTGTTTTAACTTGTAGAATGTTGGAATTTTTTTTTTACATTTTCTCTTTGGGATTAAAAAAAACCTTTCTTTCTTTGCTTATTTTCTTATAAGTATAGGTCTTCTTAATTTGTAATTACTGAAATTTGTTGAGTAACAAATAGCCTGCCCCCAAAACTCTATGTGCATTCTTATATTCATTTATCCATTGCTGTCTTCAGCTTCCAGTCCTAAGCCATTTTTCCCTCTGGCATATGTCAGTCTAGCAGTTAAACTTGCACAAAAAATTAGACTCCTGAGACTTTAAAATACTTAGTTGTATTATTTGTCATACCTATAATATACATGTAACCACTTATTATTTTTTCTCATCCCAAGGAGATGGTGTTTTTTCTCGTATGCCACTTATGAATGGCCTTATTGGACCTAATCCTCATCTCCCTCATAATTCTTTGACTCCTGGAAATGGATTAGGAACCTTCTCTTCTATAACACAGTCCCCATATACTGATACCAGGTAATAATTCCACAGCTTCCTGCCAAAACTTAAATCATGGTGATTATACATGTGCATAGATTGGTCTTCTCTGAGTAGTGTAGCTAATCTATATGGTGGTAAGAAATTTTTACTTATTGCTAAAGTAAAAGAAAACTAAATCCTAGAGTTCTGTCCTGTGACTCCAAACTTAGATCTCAATAGACCATGTAGGAGTAGTTTATGTCATGCAACTGAGATGTATTTTTACAGGGATAAAAATCCTGCCTTGAGCTCAATGGGGAATGATCCTCATAGTTCTTGGCCCTCATCAGCCCCAGCTATGGAAGGAGAAGGTGATACTTTGTCTAACACCCAGAGAAGCACTCTCAAATGGGAGAAAGAAGAAGCTTTGGGCGAAATAGCAACCGTGGCACCTGTTCTCTATACCAACATCAACTTTCCGAACCTCAAGGAAGAATTCCCAGGTCAGTTGGTATATTAATTAGTTAAATTGGTATACATCTCTGTTCTCCTCCCCCCCTCCCTTCATGTTTATTAGGTCAGGTTCACGCACTCTGTTGGAGTGGAAAAGACTCTGGCCTTACCATCAAAAACCCCATACCAGAGAGTCCTCCCTCTGCCCCTTTACCTCTGTGCTTCAGTTTCTTCCTCTATATGGTGAAGATAGACAAGAGGATACATAAATCTTCTTTAAGCTTTCACCTTCTGTGATTGTGAAGTCATAGACTTCTTGACATTTTCTTCCCGTTACCTATCTACTTCTATATTGCAGTCTTTTAATTAGTAACCTCCCTAGTCCTAAAGATGTTGCCAGAAAACTGAAAGGCCTTTTAGATTAGGTAAATATCCGAACAACAACTACTTCATGTAGTCACATATTATACTAATAAACTCTATTGTTATTATCATCATCATCATCATCATCATCATCATTTTTTAATAATAGTAATTATTGTTGGTTTTGTTGTTAGTTACTGTTTTTACTATATTTTGGGAAAGTCACTTTGTTAGCTATTTGGAAAATATATTGGAATGGCCATAGACTTCAGGTTGGAAGACCAATTAAGAATCTATAATGTTAATTTAGTTAAGAAGTAATAAGTCCCTGAACACTATAAGGTGGCTGGCTTTATCAATGAAAAGAATGGACTTTATTGTGAGAAATGCTGTAGAATTAGAAAAGAAAACTGGTAACTGACTGGAGATGTGTAGTGAGGAGTTGAGAATGACATTGAGGTTTGAATACTGGCTTGCCTTTGAAGATCATGCTACTCTCGACAGAAATAGGGAAAGTTAAAAGAGTAGAGTGTCTCAGGCAAAAAATGTTTTTTTGCCATGTTCAATTTGAGAGTCTGCAAAATATCCAATTCAATATGTTCAATAGATAGTTCATGTTCTAGGATTAAAGTTGAGGAGTGAAATTGGACTAGATATGTAGATCTTTATGTAGTAGTCTTCAACAAAGGGATTATAATTATAGTTCTGGATGACAGGTTGGCGTGTGGCAGTTAACAGCACTAAACCCCGACGTGGCAGGTACAGAGAGTGTGTTGAAAAGAGAAGCCTGAGATGAAGATGTAAAGATCAGAAGGCATGACATTAAATGCAGAGTACCGAGAAAGCCCTGAAAATGTTTGAGCTGCTGATGTCTGTGAGGAAAACAAAGAATTTTTTGTGTGTGTGTGTGTGTGTGTGTGTGTGTGTGTGTGTGTGTGTGTGTAAAACAGCACAGAGAGATCAGGAATCATGCAGTGCTAGAATTATCACTCCACCGTCATAGAGGAGGAAACTGAGGTTAAATGACTTGTCTACAGATGCTCTGCAGCGATAATCTCTTGACTCCAAGTAGAACACTTATGCTAGAACACCACACAACCTCTCACTTTTCATGATGGGACTCTCACTTAATTGCTTGACAGTACAGTGTGTTTTGATATTGAAATATGAAGTAAGATTTACTTATTTTATTATAATATTGTTTACATTCTTTCTTCAAGTTAAAGATTAATGAATCAGAGTCTGAATTTCAATTTTGTCTCTTTTCCTTCTGTCTAAACTAAAACTGTTTTCCTTTACCTTTCCTCAATGTGTTACTTATAATAATAAAGAATATAATTATAACTGTTTGTAAAATAATTATAAGCTAAATAGAGAAATGGAGCTAGTATACATAATATGGGTGGATAGATAGACGAGTAGATAGATGGATAGGTGGATAGATGGATGGATGTAGCTAAATCAGTTTACATTGTTGGAATAGGTTTGACTCAGTTTAGTCACTATGAAAGACAAGTCATAAATCTTCTCTTGTTTCTGCCCCCTTATTTTTATTTGGCACAGTTGACTGTCTTTTTTGAATGTGTATTATGGTTCAACATCACATTACAAACTTTTCTTACTGTTTTTGCCATTCCTGTTTCCATAACCTTTAATTTTTTGAAAGCCTTCATTTAATATTTGGAGTAATTCTTTTTTTTTTTTTTTTTTTTGCAATATATACTTGATTTTTCTTCATCATATTTCGTTTTGTAAATAATTCATTGATGGAATCACTAGAATAACCCCTACCCCAACCAATGGAATTGTGAGCCTTTTTATGTGTTTGTTTATTGTTTCAAATGCTTAAAATTATTTCCTCCTAATGTGTATTTATATTGTGATGAATGATCATTATGATACTTGGTCACATAAACATTATTGTTTGATGTGGGTCCAATTAGAAGTAGTGTCATTCAGAATAGTTAACCTTTTAGTTTTAGAGCACACTTTATAGGTTTGAAAGGCTACATTCCTGACTTATATGCAGACATTACTAAATGTGCTTTGTATTCTCTCCATTTTATGAGCTAGGTTCCATGCCATCACATTTGAATGTGAGGTATAGTCTTCAAAATCTTGTCTATCCGAACTGTGTCTGTCCTGAACACCTCATACTTCCACATGGCTGCCAGTACAAAGGAACCCCTTCTCTGAACCTGTTCTTGTTTTGTTTTAGATTGGACCACAAGAGTGAAGCAGATTGCTAAATTGTGGAGAAAAGCAAGTTCTCAGGAAAGAGCTCCATATGTGGTATTTTAAAAATACTTATCCTGTTTGTGTGCTTTATGTCATAATGTCATCATGTCATTTTAAAGTCTTAGGATTACAAAAAATAAACATTTTAATACTTTTATAGCTTAACATGACTTTGCTTTAAAAGTTACTCTCTAGATCATTAGATCTTAATGTAGACTGCTGTTTTGATAAGCTAGTTTTTAAAAAAACTGTTGAAGCTTGAAAATGAGCTAATTTTTACACATTCACTTTATTTTAAAATTAAATATTCCATTTTCAAAAGGGCAGCATACTTGGAGGACAAATGTCAGATTTCTTTCTCAGTTTCTCTGATATTTACGGTGAACATAGTTTGATTTCTGTAATTTTTCTTTTTAATGAAATTATTTAGATATAACAGAAGGACCTTTTTATTTTGAGAAGTACATTTTCTTTCTTTTCTCTCCTCATTTCCACCCCCATCCCTCATCAAAGGGTTAGGACAGCCGTGTTTGTTTGGTTCTTATTATTGTCAGGGACAGAGTTAGAAAGGCTTTTGATGCTTTCCTGTAAGTTGTTTGGAAATTTTAATTTTGATCTTTTTCTTAAGACTTTAAAAAAACATTTAAGATATGCTCTTTACTAAGAAATACCTATTTTGGATTCATATCAAAGTTCAAAGACCATTTTTGCTCTTTGGCAGATGAAGTCTTTCTAACTCAGATGAAAATCCTTATTTGTAGATTATGCAGACTAAATGATAGCTAGTTCCGTTCTTTTTCCAGCTTGATATTCAGTTAGAGTGCTCTAAAAATAATATAGCTTGATTAACAAAGAGCTACCATGCTTGTTTTAGTGAAGGTAAAAAATACTTTTTTTTTTCACTCCAGTGCCAGAACTTTACTGGAATAGTAATCCGCTGGATTTATGTTTGTCAGTCACTTTGGTGCTTGTCTCCGCATCTTCAAGTGGAACACTAAATGTCTAAATCCTAATTTTGTCTCTTTTCCTTCTCTATAAACTAAAACTATTCTCCTTTATATTACCTAAATTTTATGTTCATCAAAATAGATGATATATAGATATGAATTCAGTGTTAATGGCTTTTTTTGGACTTTCTACCCATACTCACTAGTGGATAATCATAAAACTTTTAGAAAGCATCTTCAGATGTTTTGGAAAATGAAACAGAGCGTCAGCAGTTTAGAATACAATGTCTTGAAAAGAAAAGACCCAAGAAAAGTCGTAAGAAATAGTATTTTTCAATTTCAAGGAATTAATCTCAGTTTCCCCCCCTTTTTTTGTTAATTTAAATTTACCTTAAATTAACATTTTATTTTCACATGTAGAAAAGGAATTACTGTCATTTTTTTCTCTCAAAGCAAAAAGCCAGAGATAATAGAGCTGCTCAGCGTATTAATAAAGTACAGATGTCAAATGATTCCATGAAGAGGCAGCAACAGCAGGATAATATCGATCCTAGCTCTCGTATTGACTCAGATCTATTTAAAGATCCGTTAAAGCAGAGAGAATCCGAACATGAGCAGGAATGGAAATTCAGACAGGTATGTTTTATTAAATTTTTTTTAATGCTTTTTACATAGAGGCATTGATTACCGAGAAGATACATAGGAGAAAGAGGCATGGGCATGGAGTTAGGAGGCCTGGCTCATACAGTTGTTCACTTTGTAACATTGGAAAACTGAATTTTCCAGGCTGTTAAATAGGAATAATAATTTGTGGAATGTCCACCTCACAGATATACTGTGAGGAAAGTACTCATTAAATCGTAATGCACTGTGTAAATATAAGTAGATATTTCTTATTCTGAATTTAATTTCGACCATATATAAAAGCCAAGTGATGTGTTTACATGTAGATTTATAGCTCTGAGTACAGAACAACCAAGAATTTTCATGTTTCCAAAACTTTTTTCTTCCATTTGGTGTTTAATAGATATTTAAATTGTTCTTCATTCAACAGCTGTTACCTGTACTCCTACTCTATAAATTTTGTGTGCCAGGTGCTGTTCGGTATAAGTAATACATGATCCCTGTCCTTAAGGAGTTTAAGATGCAGTAAAGTGGGTTTTTAATCTAATAGTTGTTCTTATGCAACAGCCAAACAGGCCAGTTTTTCCTTTACTGATGTTGGCTGTTAAGTTTTTCATTTCTGTCTCTTCCTTCAATAGCAAATGCGTCAGAAAAGTAAACAGCAAGCAAAAATTGAAGCCACACAGAAACTTGAACAAGTGAAAAATGAACAGCAGCAACAGCAACAGCAGCAGCAACAGCAGTTTGGTCCCCAACCGCTCGTAAACCCGTCTGGGTCAGATACGCCTAGCAGTGGGATGCAAAGCCCTTTAACGCCTCAGCCTGGCAATGGAAGTATGTCTCCTGCACAGTCATTCCACAAAGACCTGTTTACAAAACCACAGCTTCCCGGACCCCCGACTACAGCAGCTTCAGATGATGTATTTCTAAAGCCCCAAGCACCACCTCCTCCCCCAGCCCCTGTCCGCGTCGCAGTTCAGGAAGCCCTTCCTCAGACTCAGACACCTCAGTCTCCATCACCGCACATATTTTCATCAGGTTCTTCAAGCGCACGGCCCCCGTCTCCAGTCGATCCTTATGCTAAAATGGTAGGAACCCCTAGACCACCTTCGGGTGCTCAGAACTTTCCTAGAAGGAATTCTGGTATATCAGCGGAAACCTGCACCACTCCCTTATCTCGAAACATTCAAGTAACTGAGACAACAGCAAGTAGGCTTTCTTCTGTCAGGGATGTATGTTCTTCTTCATCTGGTAGTGATCCCTATGCAAAACCCCCAGACACACCCAGGCCTGTAGTGACTGATCAGTTTTCTAAACCTTTGGGTATACCAAGGTCTCCCATTGTCATGGAACAAACTGGAAAAAGTCCTGTAGCAGCTGGAGCTAATGATCCTTTCGCTAAACCATCTCCTAGGACTGACAGGTTTCAAAGACAACGGATAGCTGATCCATATGCACGACCTCCACTGACACCTGCTCCTGTTGATAGCAGCACTGGACCTTTTAAGCCTCCAATGCACCCACCTCAATCCCCACAAGATCCGTTCGGATCAGTGCCACAAACACCGAGACGAATGTCTGTCGACCCCTATGAAAGGCCTGTTCTGACACCAAGGCCAGTAGACAGTTTTCCTCATAATCAGTCTAGTGATCCATATAGCCAGCCTCCCCATACTCCTCATCCTGTAATGAATGACTCTTTTGCCCACCCTTCAAGGTCTTTTTCTCAGTCTGGAGCTATGTCCAGGCAAACTTCTCAGGACCCTTATTCCCAGCCTCCAGGAACTCCTCACCCTCTTGCAGATACTTTTTCCCAATCCTCAGGAACACCTCGACCCATTAAGGACCCCTATTCCCAACCTCCTGCAACTGCACGGCCTACCACTGTTGATCCATATATTCAGCAGTCTTCTACACCCATAACATCTTCACAGACAGATTTATTTGTTCCATCGCCAGGTAATCAAAGGCATACTGATCCTTATGCTCACCCTCCTGGAACACCAAGACCTACCATCACTGGTCCTTATTCACAGGTATCAGCACCTCCAAGACCAGGCATTCCAGAAAGTTTTGCTAGATCCCCCTTGACAAGACCAGGTCTTGTGCCAAATCAAGATACTTTCCTTCAGGCAGCACAAAACAGAGGGCCAACTTTACCTGGAACTTTTGTAAGGCCATCAGATACATGTTCTCAAACACCGAGGCCACCAGGTCCTGCTTTGTCAGAAACCTTTAGCCATGTTCCACCTTCCCCAGCTCATGACCCTTACGATCAGCCTCCAATGACTCCAAGACCTCAGTCTGATTCTTTTGGAACTAGTCAAATTAGCCATGATGTTGTTGATCAACCAAGAACAGGATCAGAAGGGAATTTTAATGCATCTTCAAATTCTCCAATGAGTTCTCAAGGACAGCAATTTTCTGCTATGCCCCAAATTCCTGGTCCTACCCCAACTTTAGCCGGAACAGATACACAGAATACCATAAACATGTCTCCAGCAGATACAGAAAAGCTCAGACAGGTAAACTAATTGTACAGTCATGGTGTTTAAGTATGTTATCTAGAAAAAAATGTCTAGTGCTTTTTACCTAAACTTTATAATAGTACAAAAGTATTTAAAGCTTTCAAAGTCTTTGAAAAAAGGCATGATCTTATGGAAAGAATGAAGTTTTGAGTCTAAAGATCCACATTCAAATTTCTGCTCAGCTATTCAGTGTGTTGGGCAAGTCATTTTACTTCATTAAACCTCAGTTTCTTTATCTGTAAAGCAAGAGGGTTAGAATAAATTATTTCTGTGATCATATCCAACTTTAAATCTATGATGCCAAGATATGTGTCCATCATATTAAGTTATATCAGGTTCGTTGGAGAATGGGAAATAATATTAAATTTTAAATCTCAGTTTACTTGTGGTAACTTTCTTTAAAATTGGTTTTAAATCTTGTGAATCTTTGGGTGGGAGTAGTTTTTAAGTGGTTAGTGTGCTTCCTGATTAAGAGTAAGATTTAACTGTCATGTCCTGTAAGCCACTGCATAACTGTGACGTATCACTATTTGAAATTTTATGTCTTTTTAAAAAATCTGGATATTTAAAAACTTTATGTTGCTAAACTTACATGAAGTGTGCTGTCTTTTGAAAACTTTTTTAACATTATGTATCCATCAACTCTGTTGGTCTTTCTGGTCCTTTTTTCCGTAATCAGAGGCAGAAGTTGCGTGAAATCATTCTTCAACAGCAGCAACAGAAAAAAAATGCTATCCGGCAAGAAAAAGGATTACAGGACCCTGGGTCTCTGCCACATTGGCAACCAGAAAATCTCAACCCAATTTTTAATAGGCCACCACCTCCTTATCCTGGGAATATTCGAGCTCCTGTTCCACCCGGTGGACCTCGATTTCCTCTTTTCCCAAAAGAACAAAGAGGACCATTTCCTTCTGATGTTACTGGCATGGGAATGAGACATCATGGGCTGAGGTAATGCTTTATTTTGTAGCCAACTCCAGATTGTTACTTAGACAAGTAGAAATCCCAGCTAATGCAGAAGTTTGAGTCACTGGGGCTTCTACCTGCTTCACCATCTCGTCTTTATTCAATATGCAGACGGTAACTATTTTTTGATGCTACTGAGGATAGTTGCGAGCAAACAAGAATATTTTTTCCCAAAACTTGAGACATACCTTTCTTATTGAAATTTTATAGAACTCTGTTATACCTTATCAAATAAAAAGTTAACTTAATACAATTATCTATGACAGCATTCACCTATAATGTGACAGCAGTTCAGTGGTTCCACATTTTAAAATCAAGTTCTAAATAGATGAGTTAAAGCCTGAATATTTTAAGGAAATTTTCATAAAATAAGACAGATAAAATGCATATACATATTGTGTTTTACCTTCTAAATATCATCCTGTCTCTTCTCCCTGCTTCTGTGTCTTATTCAATCAATCATTCAAGTACCATGTTTCTGGGAAACATTTCCATGCCCTCACTTGCTTCAACTTCATGCCTTTGTTCAAGCAATTTCACAAATCCACCTGACAGGTAGTAAAATCTACCTGACCTTTAAAAAACAGTAAATTTTAACATTACTACATGTACTAACATAACTACAAATTTTAACCATATTCCTTAAGTCAAAAATATTAACTTCTTGAATTATGTATCTTTTTAGATTTGGATTCCCAGGTGGGGGCCATGGTCCACCATCAAGTCAGGAACGTTTCCTTGTGCCTCCTCAGCAAATTCAGGGCCCTGGAGTTCCTCCACAGCTTCGAAGATCCATGTCCGTAGATATGCCCAGGCCCGTGAGCAACTCACAGATTAATAATCCAGTTGGAATTGCTCAGCATTTTCCACCACAGAGTATGCAAGTTCAACAGCATAATATACTCGGTCAAGCATTTATTGAATTGCGGCACCGGGTCCCTGATGGAAGACCACGGCTTCCCTTCAACATTTCTGCTAGCAATGTCATCGAGCCAACTTCCCAACACCATAGGCATGGGAACCTTATACCAAGGCCAGACTTTCAAGGTCCAAGACACACAGATCCAGTCAGGCGGACACCCCAGTGTGTAACTAATCAGTTACCAATATCTACAAATTTGGACCACATACCACCATCTCAACAAGAGTCAGGCCAAACTGTCCATCCATCTTCTCTGGCCATGCGTTCTCTGAGTCATCCCCCAGGAAATGATTTTGTGGGGACTTCTCTGCCAACTCCAGTATCAGCTGATGAATCTAGTAATTTACAAATGTCCAGCCAGCCACCTGATAGCTTAGAAGAAAAGCTTGATCCTGATGATCCCTCTGTAAAAGATCTAGATGTCAAAGATCTCGAAGGGGTTGAAGTCAAAGACTTGGATGATGAAGATCTTGAAAATTTAAATCTGGATCCAGAGGATGGCAAAGGAGATGAATTAGATACCTTAGGTAATCTGGAAACAAACGATCCCAATCTTGATGATCTCTTAAGATCAGGAGAATTTGATATTATTGCATACACAGATCCTGAACTTGATCTGGGTGATAAGAAAAGTATGTTTAATGAGGAGTTGGATCTCAGTGTCCCAATTGATGATAAATTGGATATGCAGTGCAAAACTGATGAACCAAAAAAGAGTGAAAACATTGGCAAGACTGTAATCTCATCTGACAGACGTTCTCCAAAGAAAAAATCTACTATGATCAGTGAGATAAAAACAGAAGTACTCTCTCCAAATTCACAAGAGGAAGCAAAATCTGAAAAAGAGAAAAGTGAGAACAGTGCAAATACTGCCTGTACTCAGCTTTCTACAGAAACTGAGTTAAAGGGAGGAGAAAAGACTTCTTCAACATCTTGCAATCAAGATTTAATTGATAATAGGACTAATCAGGAAACTGTTGGGTCAAACACAAATGTACAAGGATCCACTCAGATGCCTACTCAAGATGTAATAAGTGCCTGTAGCATAACTGAATCAACTCCAGTCCTCTCGAGTTTACTTGCTAATGAGAAATCTGATAATTCTGACATACAACCATTGGCATCTCCTCCACCTTCTTTGCCAGCTACTCAATCTAATCATGTGTCAAGTTTGCCTACAACTTTAATGCCGCCTTCTGGACCAGTTTTAGACCACACGATGAATTCTAATATGACTGTGGTCTCCAGAATGAACCATACTTTTTCTCAAGGTATGACTGTAAATCCAGGATTTATCCACAGTCAGCCAGCAAATCACAGTTTTGGGACCGGACAACCCAACAATCAGGCTGTCCCTGTAGCAAATCCATCTGGTACCCAGCAATTACTCCTTCCTCAGGCATTAGCCCAGCAGAATAGAGAAAGACCTCTTCTTCTGGAGGAACAGCCACTTCTTCTCCAGGACCTTTTGGATCAAGAAAGGCAGGAACAGCAACAGCAGAGACAGATGCAAGCCATGATTCGCCAACGTTCTGAACCATTCTTCCCCAATATTGGTATGAATTCCATAGCATTTTATGTATAATATTTGATTCAAAAGGGCAACCATTAAGAATGAAAAGTTTCAAAGTTGATGCAAAACTTGCTTTTGATGTTGTATATTTCATTCTTTTAAAAATGTTATTGATATCATTGGCTTTTCTATCACCTTTAATAATAGATATCCTTATTCCTTCCTCTACCAAGCCATCAATTGGAACAAAGCATGGAAAAAAACCCCAGAACTTTCCTATATGTAAGCTGAGTCTGACAGAATATACAGTAGTCCACTCCCATAGTCCCCTCTATGCTTAAAGAAAAGAGACAATGCGTTTTCTCAGCTCTTCCTCATGGTCGTAATTACATAGGGTTTAGTTTCAAAGGTTTTTTTTTTAATTATTCTTTCCATTTGAGTTGTTATTTTAACTATATTGTATTCATTTGGTATATCAAGTTATGTACTTCTTCCCATGCTTCCCTGCATTCTTCATATCTATTGTAGTAATGGTCTACTATGTTTATATACATTATAAAAAATGAGGGAAAACTATTATATCTTTATGAAGTTGACTCACGTCATGAAGTTCAGAGCTTTGAGCTGCTTGGACATTATCCCTGTATCATCAACTTAAGAAACAAGAATAATCAAAAACAAGAGTGGTATTCCTTTTCCTCTTCTTTCCTCAAAGATTATTTTTCCTGTGTAGCACACAGAAATTGTTGAATTTAAGCAAATTAAGAAAAAATATTTTATTTTTTATTGTAGTTCTAAATGATGAATATGAAAATACTTTATAAACTTATTTCCATACTTCAGTAAATAATAAAATATTTTAACTTATTCTTCAGTGGTTTACCTGAATGAAAGGACAAGACTCAGACATGCACACATATGTGTGCGCACTCACACACGCAGAGAAATATAACATTCCAAGGAAATTTTAAAAGGCACTCAATTTGTTGGGGAAGTTTGGAGTTAGGAATCAGAGCTTTCTCGCTGAGGCATATTTCTTTTCAGGATAGCTACATATCTTGTTCTTAGAGAAGCAGCATGGATTATTGGATAGAGGGCCCTTCTCAAAGGTAGGAATACCCAGTTCAGGTCCTACTTTTGACATATACTATCTGTGTGACACTGGAGAAGTAACTTAACCTCTCAGTGCTCTAGGCAACTCTCTAAGGCTACAGATTGCCAAAACGTTCCACCCTGCATTGAAGAAGGAAGTTTCCTTACCCAAGAGTTTCTTATCTAAAAAAAATTATATATCCAATTTCATTTCAGTGATTCTTGAATCCTTTCTTTTTCATTAATAGAATGGTACCTTCTAATTCATGTTTTTTTCCCCTGTTACTTGTTTTAATTTATTGGCAACTGTCCTAGAAATCAAAAAGATATGGGAGTAGTTAGATGAATTGATATTTTGGATAAAGTGTTAAATTTTGATTGAAGTTAAAAATCTGCATTAACATCTTACCTTAATTTTTATAAGCTGTGGTATTAAAGTACATTTCCAAATATAGGTTCATTAAATAGGAATAAATCTAATGTAGATCCTCTTAATAAATAAGATTTTTTAGCCAGCATCGTAAGAATAATTCATACAATATTAAGAATAAAGTAACATTTAATGTCATAAGAAATTATTTACTTACGCTGTATATTCTGCTGTGAGACTGTACAAATAACTATGATAATTTCTTTCTTTAGATTTTGATGCAATCACAGATCCTATAATGAAAGCAAAAATGGTAGCTCTTAAAGGGATTAATAAAGTAATGGCTCAAAACAATATGGGGATGCCACCAATGGTTATGAACAGGTAAGGTAATCTTTTGAGACTAGAAGTTACTGAAGTCATTGATTTAACTTGAATGTGCCTAGTATTTGGAGAAAACATATCAGAAATTTAGGGATTTACATTTTAGGAAAGAATAAATACCAAGTTTAGTTAAAGTAGGATTTGAGATTGAAAGGAAGTTTCTTTTCATACGTGAGGAAAAGGTTTGGAAAGTACCGATTTGACTGACATGATGGTAGAGAAATACAAGTTTTTGCTTTTAATAAATGATAACTTTTCATGCTAGTTATGTTGTAGATTATTAGAAGTCATAAATGTATAGACCTTTTTAATTGTGAAAGGCAGAAGGAAAAATAGATTTGAATTGAAGGAAAGATTCTTATTCTATCAACAAAATAAATATTATCTTCTCTAAAAGGATACTGAGAGGAAAAAGGAGGTCGGGAGCTGAGGGGGTAAAAAGGTAGAATTTTTACTGGTCATTGGGGCAAATTGAAAGATTTTTCTTTACTGAAATTTAAAAAATTAGAAAAGAGAAGAAAATTGTAAATAATAAAGTCGAAACATACTTCTTTGGATCCTGGAAACTAGATATTACTTATTTAAAAGAAGGCAGAATGGGGCAGGTAGGTGGCACAGTGGATAGAGCACCGGTCCTGAAGTCAGGAGACCTGAGTTCAAATCCGGCCTCAGACGAAGTGCTTGACACTTACTAGCTGTGTGACCCTGGGCACGTCACTTAACCCCAGTTGCCTAAAAAAAAAGAAGGCAGAAGACCAGGTAGCAGTTCAAATGGGAAAGGTAGAATTAAGTGGAAACTGATATGATTTTATTTGGGAACCATTTTGGTGTTAGCACAGAAATAGAAATGAACCAATTATTTCGGTGTTGAGGATTTATGTAAGAGCATTAGGGAACAGTTCCCTTTCATTTTTGCTAGCTTCAAATTGTCTATTAACACCATAAATTAATAGGCATTCATTAAATATCTTCTATGGTTCCAGGCACTATTTTAAGCTCTGAACAGCTTATCTAAACCAGTATTTCAGTTTAATAAATATTTTTTGATCATGGTGATTATATTGACCATCTTCAAGGTACTCTTCTAGGTATTATGTACATGACATAATCCTTGTACTTGCATAGTTGAACTGGGAAAGCAAGATGTATATATGTGCTTTATATTTTATTAGTTACTTCTGTAAGTGCCCCCCAAAAAGTGACGTATTATTATAGGAGACACCACCACGCACACTTGATTGGTTAATGGAGACCCTTGTACGAGTAAGATGTGAATCAGTCAATTAAAAATAATAATTTTAATAATATTGTGCTTTAATGTTTGCAAAGCATTGCACAAATATCATGTCATTTATTGCTCACAATCACCTGGTTGTGCTATCATGTGCTATTATGATCCTCTTCTTACATATAAGAAATTAAGTCTGAGAGAGGTTAAGTGACTTGTCCCGGGTCACACAGCTTAGAAAATGCCCGAGACAGAATTTAAAGTAGATGGGGCAGGAGGGAACAAGCATTTATTAAGTGGCCTAATTTGTGTCAGGCTCTGTGCTTTGTACCTTAAAAATATTATTTCATTTAATCACTAAGACCCTAATAAGCAGGTGTGGTCCCTTTTTACAGCTGAGGAAACTGAGTCAGAAAGAAGTCTTCCTGACTTCAGGTTTAGTGCTCTGTCCACTAACTTCCTGTTGTTGAATTCATTTCAACATAGATTAAATAGTGCCCATTTTGTGTCTTGGCACTGTGCCTTGAGTACAGCAAACACAGTTAATGCAAACTTTACTTAACCTGACGTATAAAACAATACGTTAAAAATTAATATCCGATATTTGAAATATCTTTCAAAAACTTCACGTTTATTTGAGTTATGTTTTGACTTTCAGGAGTTTGTGAACGTTTTAGTTTATCATTACATATTTAATTTGAATTAGTTCATCTTTTGAACTATATTGCACTTGGAATTTTTATTGGCAATTAAAATAACATACAGACCTTTAAAAAAAAACAGAATTACTGCTGTCTTCTTTAATCAGGTTGATAGCCATGAATGTTTTAGAACTTATTTTATTAAACTTATTTTATTAGTTATAGTTATTATTTTATGCCTCACAGGTTTTAGTTTGATTTTAAAATGTGTTGCTAATTTTACCTCATTGGTATAGAAAATGACTAAGCATTTAAAATTTTTTATCCTACTTTAAATCATTTCACAAATTGCTGCTATTAAATGCTTATTCTTTTTTTAAGAAAGTTGCATCCTTTTTTACAGGTTCCCTTTTATGCCTGGGACACAGAGTGGTGAAGGCCAGAATCTTCCCCAGCAGGCAATTGCTCAGGTAATGCCACTTGTAATTGGAATTTTGTTTCTTCGTCTGATTTTCCTGTTGGGTTCCTTGTTTGTTTTGTTTTTAAGTAAAGCCACTGATATAGTGAGGGCAAACAAATAATTCATTATCTATCATTTGAACCTGGTATATAGTATCATAACTTATGACACTAGAACTACTTACACATGAGAGATTATTCTGAATAATTAATTTAAGCTCTTATAATTCAAACATACATTTATAAGCATAACAGAAGTTTAAAAAGATGGATATTTTCATTTTGTTACTCTGATATGCTGTGATTTTGATGTAGTAAAGAAATACTTTCTTGTAAACCACTCATTTCTACTGTTTATTTTTGTACATACAAATTTTATACTGTGTTTTTAGAAATGATCAGACAATGATTAGAGAAAGTGATAGGGTTTCTTTTTCTGAATCGGTCTGGTATTTTAAATTTGCTTTTACTTGTTTTTTTGCTATATCTAAAGAGTTTCCAGTAGCTTCTTTAACTTGTATAGTAGTATTACAAATATTAGCTTAGGCTTGACAGGAAATACTTCATTATTAATAAATTTGCTTACTCCTTTTTTTCTCTTGTCAGACTATGTAACTTGTAAGCATAATAAAAAATAAAGTAATATGGAATATAATGTAAATTATTTCAGCTTTCTGTATTTGCTATTTAGTGTACAACTTTAAGAAAAATGAATCAGTTAATTGCAATTAATACTAAACTCCCGACAATTTTATGTGGTTTTTTTTTTGTTTTTAATTTGGAAAAAACTAATACAGTGTATTATCTCTAAATCATTTCCTATAAAGTATATCCAATCCAAGAAAATTTAGTTGCTAAAGTAACTTGAAGATAAGATTAATCTGTGTTGTAGTCTTTGACTACAGTACTGTAGTAAAGTGTACTATAGTGAGGTGAAGATGTGGGGCAGTCCCACTGTGACTTTACTATTAATCCTTAAGACTACTTTAGTTTCCAGCCTAAGTGAATATATACACTACTAAATATTGAAAAGAGTGAAGTAATTCTGATCTGATTACAAATGCTCAAATATGACCCCTAAATTCATTCTACCTTGTAAAAGTGAAAGATTCTAATTCCTTTGTAGTATGTTTAAAAATATTTTACCAATTCTATTTGGTTTTTCTTTTTGTCTAATGTTTGATTATAAAAAAATTCTTATGCATTTTACTTATTTTAGGATGGCAGTTTAACACCTCAGATTTCTAGGCCTAATCCTCCAAATTTTGGTCCAGGATTTGTCAGTAAGTATAAATCTTTTAATTAGTTACATGCATTCTGGGGATTTTTTTTTGTCTTTACTATAAATATATTCTCTTTCAATTATCGTCATACAATTGAGCTTGCTTTTTTAGTTATTTCTGAACCATTAATGTGTGTGAAGAATTGGTTAGATTTGAGCATTTGCATTAGAAAAATCATATCTCCCATTATCTTTTCCTGCTTGTACCTATATTAAACACAGTACATATATGAATACAGTGTAAGAATTTATAAATTATTGAATTAAATCATTCCTGTTTTTCTCTGAAGGCTTTCTTTCTAAAATGTACACATTCAAAAAAAGATATACCATGGGAGAAATAATGGGAATATGCTTAAGAAACAAACTGGGTTACAGCTGGTTTGCAGATCAGAAATGCAGCAATACCCTTTTGTATGTTACAGAATTACCTTCAGGGAACTCATTAGAGGCGCAGGATAGGTTCTTAAAGTTCAATCTCAGTTGAACTTTTCTGAAATTTCCAGACTGTTTAGCTAACTTTTTTTCACCATTATTTTTCATTTTGCGCACCTCTGCTCTCCTGGTTCCAGAAACCAGAAAGGCTTTCTTTGCGGTAGGTCTTATTCCACCAGAAGGAGAACTTCTGAAACCTTGTGAAAAAGCCTGTTCTTGAAAATTCCTTCCAAATTTGGTCAACTGGACACAACAGTCACATGCACTAGATTTTCTACATTTAATAATGAACCCCAAAATCTGACCTTTTGAATTCCTGGTATGCCATAATTATATTTTGAATATATTTTTATATTTTTTAAAACATACCAAACTTCTCTAACTGGCTTTTTCTGATGTTACTGTGCCCATTTACTTTTGTTGAATTCTTAATGTATAATGATATTCTGTAACATTGATATTTTTTTAGCTAGGATCCTTCTAGAGTTACATTCATTCATTTCTGTGTATTACCATAAGATAAGAAGATGGCATGTGAAGAATTTATACTGTCATAAAATTACCATTATTGATTTGTTATCAATGCATAGGCATGAAATGCCCTTTCAGAATAAAGACATTAAAAGATGAAGAAAAGCTATATTTTTACGGGGAGAGGGGCAGATAGGAACAGCAAGAATGTCATTAACTGCTAACTTTTTTGAGAATTTAATCCTTCACTATTTTTGCTTGTTTATAGATTTGTCATTATGAAATTGACAGATGTTATTGTTAAATTTATTTTATACCTACCATTAATTATCTCTCCATAGAACACCAAATTCTAAATTAAAAGTCTGTTTTTTAAGACCTTCTAGAGTATTTACCGCTTTAGAACAATGTCTACATTTATAAGTAGAGCAAGCTTGTAAACTGAAGCAAACGTGAGGGGATTATTCATGTTAGGATCTGTGAAAAATAATCTAGATACCATGCTATGATTACTTTTATGGAATATTTGAGAAAGTTTTATCCATTTTATGAATATAAATTCCATCTATTTCAGTATATTTTTGTTGATGTTTTCCAATATGTTTCCAAGTAGACATACTTTGCCATTTGAAACAAAATATTATCCTAAAATTTGGTAATTCCTTCATTATAGCTCAAACTTTTCATGTTATATATACAGTGAAAATTTTTTGGATAGGTTTTTTTTTAAGTTATCATATACCAGCATTTGAAAAAAAAGAATGGCTTCATGGAGTTTATATCGATCATCCACTAATAATATTAATAAATGTGCAATTTTGATGTTTTTCCCAGATGATTCACAAAGAAAGCAGTATGAAGAGTGGCTTCAAGAGACCCAACAGCTTCTCCAGATGCAGCAGAAATATCTTGAAGAACAAATTGGACTGCACAGAAAATCTAAGAAGGCTCTCTCTGCTAAGCAACGCACGGCCAAAAAAGCTGGCCGAGAATTCCCAGAAGAAGATGCAGAACAACTGAAGCATGTTACAGAGCAGCAGAGTATGGTTCAGAAACGGCTAGAACAGGTAATAGACTTGCAGAAAGGAAATAATTACTCAATAATCCATTATTGGTACTCTATTTAAAATTTTTCTTCTGGTTGTGTTGATGAATATATTCATTATCAGTAGTGTTTAGTAGTAAGAAAGTCAGAATACGTAGCCCCTGAGAAACTTGCTGATTTATGATGGGGCAGTCAGTCAGGATACTTCTAGTTCATCACTCCCACTACTAGACTAACGGTCTACCTCTGTCGCTCAATAATCTTTCTTCTTTTGAGGTGTATTCTATCTAAATTTATCACCCAGGCCAGATTTTGTTAACTGTTATTAATTGACACTTCTCCTGCATCTCACCTACCCCCACCCCCAAACCCCAAGACATTTTCCTTCCTCCTAACAAACTTCAGCTCTGGTCTTTTCTTAGGAATACTTGAAAGCTTTATTTCATTAAATGTCCATTCTTTGTACCTCTTTTTGCATTTGGCTAACCCTGCTTTTTAAGGAGTTTTTCAATTACTTTTGTGCTTCTTAAAGTTGTTAAATCTCATATCATAATTTTCTTGCATGGCTCACATTTCTTTTCCCAATTTTTCCTTTACTACTATGATTTGAAAATCTTTTTTTTTCCTCTTTTTTTAAATCTCTTTCTTTAGCTCTTCTAGGAAATCTTGTTGGACTTCTGTCTAGCTTGTGTTTTTCTCTGAGGCTTTGCTTGTGTTATATTTTCATGTCATTGTCTTCTGAGTTTGTGTCTTGAGCTTCCTTGTCACCATAGTAGTTTTTTATAGTTGGGTTCTTTTTCTGTTTGCTCATTTTTGCAGCCTGTTTCTTGACTTTGAATTGAACTTTGTTAACGTTGGGCTGTGTCCCGTGGGGAAAGTGGAGTATCACTGCTAAGCTTCCAGCTTTTTCAACCTATAGTTTTGAGAGCTAGTTCTAGGGGTCTGTAAGTTTTCAGTGTTTCCAAGATGGTGCAGTCCTGGGAGAGGTGTGATCACTGATCTCCTGGTCTGTGCTCTAGTCTTTACCCTGAAAGCAAGATGGAGTATTATATATGAGATACCTCAGGTAGGGTCAGGCTAGGTGGATTGTAGAGTAGGTAAAGGAAGGTTAAGTAAATAATGGTGATAAGAATACTATTTATCTATAACTGCTATTGTTAAAAATTTGTTTTCTAATCCTGCTGTTGTCCAATAAAAATTTTTTCTGGTCTCAGCTTCTAAACCCTTTCCATCAGTTTAGTCCCTTGAGACCTTACTGCCTGCTTTGCTATTACCTACGTGACCAGCCAAGATATATTGACTGATCTAGCTTTTTACTGAGCCTTTCATGTAATAAGTGTTCAATTAATGTATATTGAATGAATTAATTTACTATGAATATTGCATACAAATAAATTATGTTTCTTGTGTTTCAGATTCGAAAACAGCAAAAAGAACATGCTGAACTCATTGAGGATTACCGAATCAAGCAGCAACAGCAGTGTGCAATGGCTCCACCTGTCTTGATGCCAGGAGTCCAGCCTCAGCCCACAATGGTTCCTGGAGGGTCACCAGCAGCAATAAGTCAGCCAAATTTTCCCATAGCATCACAGCAACTTCAACACCAACAGCATACACCTATTATACCTGGTCAGGCCAATCCTGCGAGAATGCCAAATTTACCAGGTTGGCAGCCTACAAGTACCCCTCCTCGCCTCCCTCTAAATGCTTCAAGGATGCAGCCTCCGATGCCTCCAATACCAATAAAGACTAATGCTCCGGCCCCAGGGTCTACTTCAAATTCAAATTCACAGAGTGGCCCACCTCCCAGAGTAGAATTTGATGACAATAACCCCTTTAGTGAAAGTTTTCAAGAGCGAGAACGTAAGGAACGTTTACGAGAGCAGCAGGAAAGGCAACGAATTCAACTCATGCAAGAAGTGGACAGGCAGAGAGTTTTGCAGCAGAGAATAGAAATGGAACAACATGGCATGATTGGATCAGAATTGAATAATAGGTCTTTGTCCCAGATTCCATTTTTCAATTCTGACTTACCCTGTGATTTCATACCACACTCTAGACCTCTTCAGCAGTCTCCACAACATCAACAGCAAATAGGACTACAACAGCAAAATATGCAACAGGGATCTGTTAATTCACCCCCCAATCAAACTTTTATGCAGACCAATGAACGGCGGCATATTGGCCCTGCCCCTTTTGGACCTGATCCACCAGTTCTTAGTGGTGGTCCAAGTTTCCATTCTGTCAAACAACCACATGGAAATCTTTCTGGCAACAATTTTCCACAAGGCCAAATAAGGCCTTCCTTTACTCCTGGGATGCCCACAGCACTGCAGACAGCTAATACTGGTCCTCCATGTGGTCAAGAGACTACTGTGCCTCATGTACAAAACTATCCAGGATCAAGCCAGTCTCTTATTCAGTTGTATTCTGATATAATTCCAGAAGAAAAAGGGAAAAAGAAAAGAATAAGAAAAAAAAAGAAAGATGATGATGCAGAGTCAACAAAGGCACCGTCAACTCCACATTCAGATATAACTGCCCCACCAACTCCAAGTATTTCAGAACCTACCTCAACCCCAACAGTGGTCACACCCAGTGAGCTTACTCCTCATCTGGTAGAGCAAGAGTCAGCAGAACCCTTGGGCTCATCAACTACTAATGAGGAGATAAATCAGCCATCTTCAGAACTGGAAGATAATCTCTCCAGTAGTGGTTTTTCACAAAGGAATCCACATCATCAGTCCACTGCAGACTCAGAACCTGTAAAGTTCACCTCGGAAATCCCTAAAAATATTCAAGAAATTAAACTGGAAAAGGCTGAGGCAGAACAGTGCCCTGGCCAAACTGAGCCCAAACTGGAGGATCAAACTGGCATTAAAACAGAAGAAAAGACTGTCTCATCAGCCCAGAGTCCAACCCAGTTAGTGAGTGTCCCTCCCTCAAAAGGAGATTCAGGGAATGAACTTTTGAAACATTTATTGAAAAATAAAAAGACATCTTCCCTTTTAAATAAAAAATCTGAAGATAGCTTGAGATTAGAAGAAGAAGGTTCTGGGAATAACAAATTAATAGAAAAGCACAAATCAGCTGAAGGCCTGGTAAGTTTCAACAATTCTTAAAAAACCACCAGGAATTTTTCTTCCCAACATCTTTTTTGTTTTCATGATTTTTATTTTGTAGATGGTACTATTCCCATTCCTCTCTCCTCCCTTCCCCATGTTGTCACATAGGAATCTGTAAATTAAATTAACTTAATCTTATGTTAATCTTGCTGTTCACTACCTTATGGCTTTATTTAATGAAGAGCTGTCTGCCTTCATTAGTGGGCATTTAGTATGTTAAAACTCTTATTGATTAGTTTCTTGCTGTGTATTTATAAGGCTTTCTTACAGGTAACAGGAACAGTTTAATGCTAGTCCCTAATTCAGATCTCCACATCTAAATGTTTTCTTCTTCCCTTTAGTCCCATAACCGTTTTTGCTTCAGTGGAACAAACACCTTTCTGGCTTTTGTTATTCTACATACATGACTTTATATTTATTTTCTTGATTAGAGCAAAAGCTTCGCCAGAAAATGGACGATATTTTATTCTGTTTTGTATCCCCTACGTGTGTTATACTTAATAGTTGCTTTATACATATTAGCTCATTATTATATCTGATGTTTAATTGTTCAATTTTGTATCCTTCAGTCCCTTGTATATAGGATATATTTAATAAGTACTTTTGGAGTTAAAGTTAATTAATAGATACTCATCAGCACATATTAATGAAAAGTCAACTTCATTGGTGTGGTGTGATCATGGTTTTGTTGACTTTAGGGTTTATTCCAGAAATCTCTGTTATGACCAATAATACTAAAAATGGGTTTTAGTTTAGCTTATTTAAGATTTATTTATTCCTTCATTTAAATATCAAACTCTTTCCAAATGAATATTAATACTTTATTTTTCTTCTTTAGATACATTTTTACACTTTCTCCTTGGGTTCTGAAATAGTATCATTGAGGGCGAAGTTCTTAGTTCTTTACTATGTTGTTAAAGATTTCATGTATGCTGAATTTAATATTTTTTCCCTCGATATCAGGCAACTGTTCTCTTGATAAGAATGTGTATTTGTTTCTATGTCTTAAAAATCTGGTATTCTATTATTGTGGGGAAGGAAGCAGTAAAGTATATAGGACCCAGGATTTGGAGTTAAAACATTTAGATTTGAATCCCATAGATAGAAGAGTTATCTAATTTATCTAAGTAATTGAAGGGTATTATACATTAAAATGCCTTATGAAAACTCATTGTTAAATTTGATGCCAACTATTCTTTTTTAAAGTAAAGTATTGATATCTTTTGTTATTATATTACTTACATTTTCCAAAGTATATCTCTTCTTCCCCCTCCCAGAGAGCCAGTTCTTGTAACAAAGAAAAAAAGAACTCAGTAAAACTGAGCTGAAACATACTGAAAGTCTGATATTATCCAGTCATTCACATCTGTATTCCCCAACCTCAGCAAAAAAGGGAAGGAGATGTCTTCTAATACTACTTCTTTGGGACCACACTTGATACTATAATTTGTCAGCATTCAGTTTCAGTTGTTAGTCATTGTATATATAATTTTTTGTGGTTCTCCTTGCTTCATTTTACATTAATTCAGATAAGTCTTTAAATGCTTCTCTATGTTTATCATAATTACTGTTTCTTACAGAATAATTATATTCTAATATATGGGTATCAATGGTACTTTGAGTTCTTTGCAGCTATAAACTGTATTGCTGTGAATATTTTGGAATATATGGAACTGACCTCTTTGGAGCATATGCCTAACAGTAATGATCTCTGTGTGTTAGAGACTGTAGAGATTTTAGTCACTTTATCTGCATCTCATAGTTACCCACAATACGATAGTACTCCATCGCAGTTATGCGCCATAACTTGTTTAGCCATTCCCTGATGATGTGCATCCCCTCAATTTCCAGTTCTTTGCCACAACAAAAACAGCTGCTATGAACGTTTTTTATGTATAGGCTCTTTTCCTTTTTCTTTGATCCCTTTGTGATACAGACCTAGTAGTGGTATTGCTAGGTCAAAGGATATACAGTTTTATAGCCTTTGGATCTAGTTCCATGTTGCCCTCCAGACTAGTCCCCTACTCCACCAGCCCTTCATTAGTGTACCTTTTTCCCCTCATTCCTTCCAGCATTTGTCATTTCTGATAGGTGTGAGGTGGTATCTCAGACTTGTTTTAATTTTCCTTTCTCTAATCAACAGTGATTCAGAGTACTTCTTCATATTTCTTCAGATAGCTTTGATTTTTTATTCTGAAAGCTGCCTGTTCCTATCCTTTGACCATTTATCAATTGGGGAATGACTTGTATTCTTATAAATTTCAATCAGTTCTCTATGCATTTGAGAAATGAGGCTTTTTTTCAGAGACACTTGGCTGTAAAAATTTTTTCCCAGCTTTCTGCTTTCATTTTGATTTTGGTTGCATTGGTTTTGTTTGTGTAAAACCTTTTTAATTTAACGTAATCAAAATTATCCATTTTACATCTTATAATGCATTCTGTCTCGTTTGGTCATAAATTCTTCACTTCTCCATACATCTGACAGGTAAACTAATCCTTGCTTTCTTAATTTGCTTATGGTATCTAAATCATGTACCTATTTTGACTTTTATCTTGATATACAGTGTAAGATGTTGGTTTATAACTTAATTTCTGCCATACAATTTTTCAGTTTTCCTAACAGTTTTTTGTCAAATACAGAGTTCTTATCCCAGAACCTAGGATCTTTGAGTTTATGAAATGCTCAATTACAATGGTCATTTCCTACTGTGTCTTGTGTACCTAATCTATTTCACTGATCCACCATTTTGTTTCTTAACCAGTACCAGATAGTTTTGATGATTGCTACTTTATAGTATAGTTTGAAATCTGGTATGGCTAGGCCACTTTTCCTTTGCATTTTTTTTTTTATCAATTCCATTGATACTCTTGACCTTTTGTTCTTCCAGATTTTGTTATGATATTTTCTAGTTCTATAAAATAATTTTTGGTAGTTTGATTGGCATGGCACTGAATAAGTAAATTAAGTAGAATTGTTATTTTTATCGTATTAGCTTGGACTACCCTGAGTGATTGATATTTTCCAGTTGTTTAGATCTGGTTTTGTTTGAATGACAAGTATTTTATAATTGTGTTCATATAGTTCCTCGGTTTGTCTTGGTAGGTAGACTCCCAAGTATTTTATATTGTCTACAGTTTTTTAAATGGAATTTATCTTTCTATCTCTTGCTAGTTGATTCTCTAGGATTCTCTTAAGTATACCATCATAGCATCTCCAAAGAGTGATAGATTTGTTTCCTCATGGCCTACTCTAATTCCATTTCTTTTTCTTTTATTGCTAAAGTTAACATTTCTAGTACAATAATGAATGATAGTGGTGATAATGGGTACCCTTGCTTTACTCTTGATCTTACTGGGAGGGCTTCTAGATTATTACCATTACAAATAATGCTTTCTGATGGTTTCACATAGGTAACACTTTTGTACTTGCAACCTACAGCTTAAGAAGCTCTAGTCTGTGGTACCTTTTAGCAAGATATAGTTTCCCTGCTTATCTCTTCCAATTAGATCTATATTTGCTTTGTCTAAGATCATGATTGCTACCCCCTGCTTTTTTTTACTTTAACCAAAACATAATAGATTCTGTTCCATCCCCTTACTTTTACTCTTCGTGTGTGTCTCTGCTTCAAATGTATTTCTTGTAAACAACATATTATAGGATTCTTATTTTAAATCCATTCTGATATCTGCTTTGTTTTATGAGACATATCAGCCCATTCACATTCACAGTTATGATTACTGTTTATTTCCCTCCATCCTATTTTTCCCCTATTTATACTTCTCTCTCTCTCTCCCTCTCTCCCTCTCCCCTTTTTCCCTGTCCCTTCTCACCAGTGTTTTGTTTCAGACCACCACCTCCTTCTCTCTTCCTTTCTCTCAGCCTCCTCCCTGGCTGCCTTTTCTTGTCCCCCTCCCTTCCAACTTCCCTATGGGCCAGAGTAAGATAGGTTTCTATACTCAACTAAGTGTGTATGTTATTCCCTCTTTGAGCCAAATCAGATGGAAGTAAGATTCAAACAATACTCGTACCCCTCCCCCCTTTCTTTCCCTCTGCTGTAATGGATCTTTCACACCTTTTCATGTGATCTAATTTACCCTATTCTGCCTCTCCCTTCCTTTTTCTTCTAGTGCAATCTTCTTTCTTACCCCTTAATTTGTTTTTTATATCATCCTATCAAAGTCAACTTATACATACACCTGCTGTCTATGTATACTCCATCTAAATGTAGAGATACTGTTCTTAAGAGTTACAAATGGGGGTAGCTAGGTGGCACGGTGGATAGAGCACTGGCCCTGGAGTCAGGAGGACCTGAGTTCAAATCTGGCCCCAGACACATGATATTCACTAGCTGTGTGACCCCGGGCAAGTCAATTACCCCTGATTGCCTCCCTCCATGCTCCCCCCCCCCCCCAAAAAGAGTTACAAATGTCATCTTCCCATGTAAGGATGTTAAAGACTTTAACCTTTTTGAATAACTTATGGGTTTTTTTCCCCCTGTTTATCTTTTTATGGTCCTGTTGAGTCTTGTATTTGAAAACTGAATTTTTTATTCAGCTCTGGTCTTTTCATCAAGAATGTCTGAAAGTCTCCTATATCATTGAATGTCCATCTTTTCCCCTGAAAGATCATATTTAGTTTTCTAGATAGCTGATTCTTGGTTGTAATCTAAGCTCCTTTGCCTTCTGGAGTATTATATTCCAAGCCCTCTTATCCTTTAATGTAGAAGATACTAAATCCTGTGTAATCTTGCCTGTGACTTCTCGATATTTGAATTCTTTCTTTCTGACTGCTTGCAGTATTTTTTCCTTGACATGAGAGTTTTGAAATTTGGCTATAATATTCCTGGGAGTTTTCATTTTGGGATCTCTTTCAGATGATCAGTAGATTCTTTTAATTACTACTTTACCCTCTGGTTCTAGGATATCAGAGCAGTTTTCCTTGATAATTTCTTGAAAGATGCTATCCAGGCTCTTTTTTTTTGTCCATGGCTTTCAAGTAGTCCAATAATTCTTAAATTATCTCTCCTGGATCTTTTTCTAGGTCAATTGTTTTTCCAAGGAGGTATCTTATATTTTCTTCTGTTTTTTCATTCTTTTGTTTTTTGTTTTACTGATTCTTATAGTCGTTAGCTTCCACTTGCCCAGTTTTAATTTTTAAGGAATTTTTTTTTCCATTAGCTTTTGTAACTCTTTTTCCTTTCAGCACATTCTCCTTCTTTTCTTCAGTACATTTTTGTACATCTTTTTCTGTTGTGAGTGTGTGTGTGCGTGCGCGCGCGCACGTGCGTGAGTGCTTCCTTTACCAACCAGTGGACTCTTTTTTCATGATTCTCTTGCATAACTGTCATCATTACTTCCCTTCCTTGATTTTTAAAATCTTTTTTGAGCTCTTCCAGGAGGACTTTTTATGCCTAATACCAATTCATATTTCTATTTGAGACTTCACGTGTAGGTGCTTTGATATTGTTGTCCTCTTCTGAGTTTGTGTTTCGATCTTCCCGGTCACCATAATGGCTTTCTTGGGTCAGGGCTTTTTTTGGTTTGTTTTGTTTTTTGCTCATTTTCCAACCTATTTCATGACTTTTAAAATTGACCTCTTTCCTGGGGTACTGGAGGCATTGTCCCAAGCTTTTATGCAGGGGGCTAGGGCCTGGTCGTTGGCTTACAGGCGGCAACTCACCTGTGGCAGCAAGGGCTTCGTTCCATGGCTGGCAGTTGACCTGCTGTGCTGGGGCTGGGGGCCTCCTACTGGCTTGCTGGACACTGCCTGTGCTGGACTACACTCCCCTTTTACCTGAATGAGACTGATCTTTCCTGCAGTCCTTCTAAGTTAACTCCATCCTTTTGTGGGTTCTGTCACTTGATTTAAAGTTGTTTTGGAGGGAAATTGGAGAGAGCTAAAGCAACTTCTTGCCTTTTCTATGCCATCTTGGCTTTGCCCACCCCAGGAAATTTGTGAACAAAAACATGACAATGAGAAGGTTTAGGGCATGCAAAGGGAACAAATAGTTCACTTTAGCTGTAGTGCAGAGTGTTTTGGAAGGGAATCTTGTGAAAAGAGGCTATAAGGTAGAGTAGTGCCATATTTTTAGAAAACCAATACTAGACTAAGGAATTTGAGTTTTATGTAGTTGGCAATATTGAGCTACCTGAAGCACCTTGAATGGAGGAATGAGCCAGCCCTGTTATGCATAAGGAGAAACACCAGGAACATGAATGATTGATTCATGAGAACACAGACTAATAGTTGGCAAGCCTGTTTAGTAAGGTATTCCAATAGTCCAAATGGGTGACCAAAAGACCTGTTCTAGGGTTGTAGTAGAATGAGAGACCAGAAATTGGATGCAAGAGAAAACATAAAGGTATAAAGTCAATAAAACCTGGTAACTGAGAGGTGAATGAGAAGGAAGAGTAACACTTAGGTTTTCTCTTATGGGAGAATGAGAATGGTAGTGCCATTGATAGAAACTGTGAATGAAGAGGTGTGGTGGAAAGAAAAGCTCAATTTTAAACAAGTGGAGGTTGTGGCACCAATATAATATTAAACTAAGAGGTAGAGATAAATTCCTGGAGCTGTCTATTTGGGAATTATCTGTTAATATTAAGTTGAAGATGTTCAGTTGTTGGGGAGAGGGAGAAAAACAATGTTATTATTATTTTTGTAACTGAAAAAAAGTCTGTGAACCTGTGTGCCACTTTGTTTTGCTTATGTTGTGATTGTTTTTAAAAGCTGACACTTGTGTAACAGAGTTAAATTCTTAATAATAATAACTGACATTTATATGGCACTTTAAAGTTTGCAAATAGGTTTTATATTTATATATATGTGTATGTGTGTCTATATATATGTGTGTGTATACATATATATATATATTTATATATATTAGCTCATTTGTTTCTCACTACATCTCTGTGAGGCAGGCACAGGTACTATATCCATTTTGCAGATGAGCAAACCAGAATTCAGCAAAATAGAGTGTCTTGGCCATGGCTTCTTTTGCTTATAAGATCAGATGGTGAGTTTTGGGTCTTTCTGAACAAAGAGTAGCATTTCTAGCCACCATGACACATTAAGAGACATAGTTATAGTTTGCTTACAAATTAAGCCCAGTTTAAAAATATATTGTACTAGTAATGTTTGACTTAGTGAACTATTAATATTAATTTTCTTAAAAAGATGACTAGCCTCTGTAATTAGAGACTATACTTCCAACTCAACAAACATGTGGGAAGTACACTTATAATTTTTATTGCATGCAGGTTGTGGAAGGTTCAGATAACAGTAAGGCTTGAAAATGTTATGTTTATGGTTTCTCTAGTTTATGATTGTCTCTTTTACTGACATTCTCCTCTAATATTTTAAAACATTATACTGGTGATCATGAGTTCTTAAAAATCATGCTACAACCTCTAATAGAACCTACTAATTAGGAAGGGTTCTTTGATACTCTTCTCGCCCAAGTTGCCAATGATCTTCCCCCAACTCCCCCTCATGCCCAACATTCCCCAGACCTTCTAGAAGACTTTGCTTCATACCTCTCTAATGCCATAATCATATATTGTTTTTATTAAGACTATCTTTATATCAAACACCCTCAGTAAAATTGGCAAATACTGTACCTTACCTAAATGTTGTGTACACACACACACACACACACACACACACACACACACACCCCATCACCACTACCACTACCACCACTACTTTTATTCCATTTCTCATTCCAGTGGAATGGAGAATCGAATTGAGCATGGTACCAGTAATAGAATGTATGGTTTTTGCTGAGAAGCAGCTTAGCCAAATTCAGTTCCCAGTAAGTTAACTACTAGATTATGTTTTGTTTTGTTGGCCACAACCATTCAAGAAGACCTTTACCCAAAACATAAAGGGGTTATTATATGTTTTGGTGAAAGGAATAGCAAAGTCAATAAAATCACAAATCTTTAAAATACCCAAATGATATTAACTTATAGTTTATTCCGGTTAACATTTCTGTTAAATAAATGGAAACATATTAAGCTTTATTGCTGGTCCATGGAATAGAGAAGCTGGCTGAAAGGTAAAAGTAGTGGAGGAAGTTAAAAATGGTATGTATATAAAAATACTGTAGTGTAGGGGTGGGAAACGTGTGGTCTCCAGGCCACATATGGCCTTCTAGGTCTTCAGGTGTGGCCCTTTGACTGAATCCAAGCTTCACAGAACAAATCCCCTTAAATAAAAGGATTTGTTCTGTAAAACTTGGACTCATTCAAAAGACTGTACCCAAGGGCCTAGAAGGCTGCAGGTTCCCCACCCCTGCTCTAGTATTTTATGCTGTCCCCCATTCATAAATCTGTATTAATACTATTTTTTTTCCTCATCACAAATCAGGGAGCCAGCTTTAATAACTTAACACAGTGATTTTGGCTGTAATTAACTAAAGTTAGAATTTCCATTTCTTTTCTTTTTACTGACCTAAGAAATCCTGATCATTAAACCTGATATTTTCAAGCCTTCAGAATAAACAAAATATGTTTTACCTTTACTACTTCATTAGATTTGCATGTATTGTGTATTTTGTTCAATTTTGTTTGTTTGGCCTAAAGAAATGGCGGACCATTTCCGAGCATACATTATTAACTTCTACTTTAAAAGTTACTTTTGGGGCAGCTAGGTGGTGTAGTGGATAGAGCACTGGCCCTGGAGTCAGGAGGACCTGAATTCACATGCAGCCTCAGACACTTGACACTTACTAGCTATGTGACCCTGGGCAAGTCACTTAACCCTGTTTGCCTCACCAAAAAATGGAAAGAAAAAAAAAGTTACTTTTACTGGTCCTTGACTTTCTTGTCTTTTTGTAGTAATAACAGCAAGCACCTAAGTAAAATTATAGTTACAAAGTACCTTTAAAGGCATTACTTAATTTGTGTCTCCTAAGTACCAAACACACTACTTTTACACAGTTAATCAGCAAGTGTCCTTCAAATTCATCTGTAGTTGTTACCAAATAGCATATACTTCTGCACACATAACTGCCATGTTCAAGTCTTACACATTTCTTTGGATAATTTCTCCAGTCCCTAACTTGAGAAAAGAGTAGCGTCTGTATTCCAAAAAGAAATAACAGGTTTTCCCTCAAAAAGAAATACTTCTGAATACTTAGCCACAAGGTAATGAAAAGGAGAAGCAAAGTTTATATGAATTACCTAGTCTGATTTAATATAGTCCAATACATATTTTGTCAGGATTTATAAGTGTTATAATTTGAATGATCAATATAATACATTTGTGTTATATGTGTTCATCTCTTTCACTGGAGAATACTAGTTGTCTCGCAAAGCTTCTTGAAACTGGCAAAGGTATTTCCCAGGTGCCCTTATTCTCAGATTTCCCCCTGTAGATCAACACTGCCAGGGAAGAATAAAAGATTTACATGAGTGGGTTAAGATGTCTTGGCTGTCATAACCCTCAGGCCCTAAAGCACAGTACTTCTGCAATTTAAAGAGTGTGAATTATGTTTTTCTTTCTTGTTGGCAATAGCAAAAAGCATGGTCAGACTCAGAGGGTGATGTCTGTTTCCTGTTTTGATCTCATTTGAAAAGTACTTGTTTTCTATTTCGTTTTGTCCTTTGATGTATTGAGCTGAAAACAATGTCCCCAAATGTAAATAGCATCTTTAAAATGATTCCCATTTGCAGCCATTGGCCATCTTCTTATCACCATATATCATCAAATGAATTGAATTATGGTTTGGAGTAGGACTAGCATGAAATAAATATTAAATGCATGGTTGGTCCATTCTGATTTCTTGATTTTCATATTTCTGCTAGCCAACTCCAGGAAATCAGATACATGGTGGCCTTGAATGTGGAAATAACGTGCAGACCAAAACCGATGTACTAAGCGAAACCAAGAAACAACGGAGCAAACGAACTCAGAGGACTGGAGAAAAGGCAGCACCTCGTTCTAAAAAAAGAAAGAAGGATGAAGAGGAAAAACAATCTATTTATTCTAACACTGACACATTTGCCCACTTGAAACAGGTGAATTATTAGGAACAGTTCCTTGAGGGTTGGGAAAAAATTTTAACTATTTAAAAAAAAACATTTGACTTCACTCTTAGAATGAGAATTTTTCCCATAAAGTACACATAAACCAGCCTCCTAATTGATCATTTCCCTATCTATTGTGGTTGTGATCCTATTATGCTACAACCACAGTCTGATTAAAAAGCCTTTTTATTAGGAGGCTTCCCTCACACTCTTTCCCTTTTCCTTATAAATTTCCCTTATATAGATGGATGAAATCAGTGGTTATTGGGTATTCTTCACAACCAAGGCATATACTCTCAGTCTTAGAAAGTCATTTATCCTTTTTTTTTGCCTTAGAAACCAAAAAAAAATGGAGCTGAGTGACTCTTTGCCACAACAGAGAGCTATAGGTCCTCCCCATAATTGTTAAATCATTGACACACAGCCATTATTGACTTCTTAAGCATTGTATCTCCCCTAGAATAGTTTTTCACATGCATTACATTCTTTAATATGATTTTTAAAGAATAAAAATAATAATGTCTAGAATTTATATAGAGCTTTCAGTTTTGCAAAGTACTTTACTGTGTCGTTTGATTTCTCACAACAACCCTAGGAAATACTTGCTAATATTATTCCCAATTTTACAGATGAGGGAACAGAGGCAGACAGAAAATAAGCGATTCATCCCAAGTCACACAACTATTAAATGAGCTAGCTTCAAACTAAAGTCTGACTGACTCTAGATCCATTGACTGGTGTATCTACTGCTTCACTTAGTTACCTTATCAAACATGTTGATTGAATTTAAAGTAACATCAGTCGTACTACCCTTCAGCTTGTCCCTTTTCCTGATGTGGAAGAAAAAAAATAAGGCCCAGAGATTTGCAGAAGACACAATTTGTTTTTCTTGTTATTAACCTGGTTTGGTCATCCTAAAAAGATGAATTTCTATCTTATTTTTAAAACATGTCAAATTAATATGCTTTACTCTCCCTTAATGTAATCCAGTGTCTTGATAATTTGGTTTAGGGGGAAGGGGCCTTAAGCATTTTACCTGACATTCAAAATTTTTTGAGTCTTTACTTGCTGTCTTGCTTAAAGAAGATAATTGATACTGTAATATTGTTTGCTTCTTGTCTATCATCTATATCACTTTTATATATTTTTTCAATAGCAGCTCTCTCTGCTTCCTCTAATGGAACCAATCATTGGAGTGAATTTTGCCCACTTTCTTCCTTATGGCAGTGGCCAATGTAATAGTGGAAATCGCCTTCTAGGAACTTTTGGCAGTGCCACCCTTGAAGGGGTCTCAGACTATTATTCTCAATTGATCTACAAGGTATGGATTTTTTTTTCCATCTATTTTTGCCTTGTCCAAACTGAGATAGTTTTATCTATGTATTAAATTACTTCTTCTTGGGTTTATATTCTGAACCTTAGCTAAGAGATAGATTTAAAACAAACAAACAAAACAAGTCCCTTGAAGCATCTGATATGTTAAGGTTGTTCTTTTTTGGATTTTTGACTTTTGTTTGTCTCCAAGTTCACATTCATGACATAGCTACAGAACATTTGCAGTTACCCAAGGAAATGAGTTGTAATTACAGTTTCATGAAACACTAATTTCCAATTCCTTATCAAGACTTTTAGATCAGCAAAGCATTTCTTAATGAGAATTTGATGAGGACATTTCTTGGTTTAGGATTCCAGCTTTTTTTTTTTTTTTTTTTTGGTCTAAACTTAGAGGTTTTTTGAGAAAACAAAAATCAGATATTAGAGGGCTTTATGTCTAAGGATCCATCCTATAGAAAAGCTAAATGTATTCCATAAAAACATCTATTTCAGGCTTAGTAAAAGAATTATGGACCCATTTTTGCTTTTATTTAATCATCTGTCCATTTAGAAGTGAAGATCCTAGTTACTAAAAGCACTAAGTCATTGCCTCCATGTTCAGGGAGCTAAGTTTTGTTGTCATTGTTGGAAAAATACAATTTCAGTCTATTTATTTTATATCTTTTGATCTCCAACAGAATAACTTAAGTAACCCTCCTACACCTCCGGCTTCTCTCCCTCCTACTCCTCCTCCTGTGACCTGTCAAAAGATGGCAAATGGCTTTGCAACCACTGAGGAACTTGCTGGCAGAGCTGGAATGTTAGTGGCCCATGATGGTATGATGAACCTAACACTTTCATCATGTCAAATTGTCATTTCCCAAAGTATAAAATATATAATATTATTTAACTTCAGCACATGAATATACATATATACATGAGATTATTTTCTTTAGTTGCCTCTGATTTTGTCAAGTTTCACATACACATGAAATACCAATTTTAATATTTGTTGTGCTTTTGTGTTTTCAGTTACTAAAGCTCTTGGGCCTAAACAGTTTCCACTGCCCTTCAAACCACAGGATGACCTCCTGGTCAGAGCTATGGCCCAAGGCCCCAAAACTGTGGATGTTCCTGCTTCACTTCCAACGCCTCCTCACAACAATCAAGAAGAGTTAAGGTAAAAGTTTCTTTTTCCCAGAAGTATTCTTAATATTGTTTTATCATAAAATTTTATAGGAAGATGTATATGTAAAGCTGTTTTAACTTTACAATAGATTTTACAAATAATCATATGACCCATTTGTCAAGCTTGGTTGTCTTACGGAGAGCTTTTATAGAAAGTCAGTTTGAGAGCCTAGGCTGGGATAAGACCTGTGGTTTCATTGGGATAGGAAGCTCCTGATGAGGCACCTTCTCTACCAGACTGTCAAATACACTTAGGAAAATCATCTTTATGTTTAAAATAAAATTTATTTATTGATTTGTTGTGATTCCTACTTATGTTATATACATAGCTAAAATGACTGATGTGATCAGCCCTATCTTCAGTAGTTCATACAAAGTTGCTAAAGCTTACTGATTCATCATATTTCTCATGGTTTCAAAAATACTTTTAAGTCAGTTAATTTTGTTATTTTCTGTGTTTTTCCTTTCTTTGTATACATGGTGTTTATTAGCATAATTTCTGGTACAAAGTGAGCACCTACTAAATGCTTACTGACCATTTACCATCCTTAGCACTGTCTAGTATGCTGTAGGAAAATCATTTTTCTATATCATTTTAAAAGTGATTTTCCTTAGGCACAGTTCTGACTGTATCATTCTCCTCAGTAAACTCCTGTGGTTCTCCCTAGCCTTGAGGACCAAATTGAAACTCTTTTTAGCTTTTAACATTCCTCAAAACCTGGTTCTAACCTTTCTTTCCTACCTTACATGATACTTCTCCCACCTTCTGCACTCCAGCTAAACTGACCATCTTGATATTTCTCCTGCACAACATTAGCTCTTCGTTTGAGTACACTCCTTGGTCCTCCTGAAGTCATGGAATCCCTCTCTTCCTTCAAGAAGTAGCTCTAGCAGTGCCTTCAATAGGAAGCCTTTTCTTATTCCCCTTACTGCTACTACCTGCCTTGGCTGACTGCCTTATATGTTTATTTGTTGCTATTTATTCTGAATCTACACCTAGAAGTACTTGCCATCCATCCCCTCTCCCCATTGCTAATAAAAGGTAACCTTCCTTGTGAGCAAGGATTCTTTAATTCTTTGTACTTGTATCCTCAGTGCCTGCCACATAGTAGGTGCTTTATAGATACTTATTCATTGATTTTTGCCATATTGAAGTATTTATTTCTGAGAAACATACCCTATGGCATCTTCAAGAAATATTTCAAGATATTTTATAAATGACTACATCTTGTTTTGCAAAACATGAATAAGTACTGTGTTCATTTTTTTGGTGAGTAAAGTTAAACATCTTATATGTGGTTATATCAGAGAGTATTGACTTATCAAAGCTCAGAGCTGCAACATTTATAGCATGATTCTCATTTTTTCTTTGTTCAGATTTAAGGACATAAGTAGTGACACCCTATATCAGACCAAAAGTTAAGGACAGGGACTCTTTATTTTTGCTTTATATCCTCAACATTTAACTTATAACAGTATCAGCACTTAATGAATACCTAATAAATGGTTTTTGATTGATTTTTCTATCCATCAGGCAGGAACCTACAATGTGCCAGGCACTATGATAAGTATTGGGGATACAAAAAAGAGGCAAAAGATAGTTCCTGTCCTCCAGGATCTGACAGTTTGACGGGGGAGACAACACACAAAATACAAAGCAGGTTATTTAAAGGATAACTAAAAAATAATTGAAATCGAGAAAACACTGAAATTAAGAGGGGTTGGAGAAGGCTTCTAGTAAAAGAAGGGATTTTAGTTGGGACTTAAAGGAAGCCAGGAAGGTCAGAGGGCACGGATGAGGGAGGAAAGTGTCCCAGACATGGGAGAAAGCCAGAATCAAGGGATGGAGTGTCTTGTCCATGGAACACCTAGGAGGCTAGTGTCGCTGGATTGAAGAATAGTTGTCAGAGAGTAAGGTGTAAGAAGACAAAAGATAGAAGGGGGCTAGGTTTTGTCCCAGATAAAGGATTTTCGCTTTGATCCTGGAGGTGATAGGGAGAGGAGTGACATGGTTCTGCCTGTGCTTTAGGAAAATCCCTCTTGTGACTGAATGGTGGATGGGTTGGGTTGGGCAAGACAGGGCTATTTCAGTAACCCAAGCATGAGGTGATCAGAGCCTACGCTGGAAAGGTGGGCAGTGTCAGAGGAGAGGAGCCGTGTCTGAATGACGCTGCAGAGGCAAAATCAACAGACCTGGGCAACAGTTTGTTTCTGGGTGGTGGGATAGAGTAAGAAGTTGAGAGTGACCCCTAGGTTTAGAGTGTGAGGGATGAGAAGGATGGTGTTGTCCTTATAGTAATTGGGAAGGTCAGGAGCAGGCAAGGGGGTTAGGGGGAAAGATAATGAGTTCTGTTTTGGACGGTTGGAGATGTGGGATTGGTGGTCAGCAGAGAGTTTTGGGGCCAAATAGGTAAAAGAGAGCCCCTAGCACAGAGATTGTCATTAAAATCATAGGAGCAGTGAGGTGATAGAGAAGGAGTATCCAGGCCAGAATCCCGTGAGGCAGTTAATCCCGTGGTTAGAGGTTATGAACTAGAAGAGGACCCAGAAAAGGAGACAGAAAGGAGGGTTCTAATAAGAGAACCATTCATTCAATAAACATTGTTTAGGTGCAGCTATATGCCAGCCACTGTGTGCTGAACCCTGGGGATACAAAAAGAGGCACAAGACAGACCTTGCCCTCAGGAGCTTGTAATGTAGTGGGGAACAACATGCAAACAGATGTACACAGATCAAGCTGTATGTAGGATAAATATGAAATAATTACAGGAGGGGAAGTATTGGAATTAAGGGGAGTTAGGAAGGTTTCCTAATGGTGTGATTTTAGTTCATGTTTAAAAGAAGCCAGGGAGATCAGTAGTCAGAGCAGAGGAGAAAAAGTATTCCAGGCTCAGGGACAGCCAGAGAAAATACCTGGAGCCTCGAGATGGAGGGTCTTATTCCTGGAGCAGCCAGGAGGCCAGTGTCACTGGATCAAAGGGTACTTGGTGGGGAATGAGGTGTAAGGAGACTGCGAAGATAAGAAGGGTTTGGGTTATAAAGGGCTTTGAAAGCCAAACAGAGCATTTTGTATTTGAGCCTGGAAGCTATTGAAATCACTGGAGTTTATTAATTAGGGGGAGTTGATGGAGGTGAAATGGTCAGACCCAGCTTTTAAGAAAATCATTTTGATGGATGAATGTGAGTGGGTAGAGACTTGAGGCAGGCAGACCCACCAGCAGTCTATTGCTATAATCCAAGCATGAGGTGATGAGGGCCTATCCAGGGGTGCAGAACCTGTGACCTTGAGGCCACATGTGGCCTTCTAGGTCCTTGAGTGTGGCCTTTTGACTGAGTCTGAGTTTTACAGAACAAGTCTTTTATTAAGGGGATTTGTTCTATGAAGTTTGGATTCAGTCAAAAGGCCACACTTGAGGACCTAGAGGGCCATGTGGTCTCCAGGCTACAGGTTCTCCACTCCTGAGAGGAGAGAAGGGGCCCTATTTGAGAGATGTTTTGTAGGTGAAAATCAACAGGTTGGATATGGTGGGGTGTGAGATAAGAAGGAATCCAGGGTGACTCCCAGGTTCCTAGCCTGAGGGACTAGAAGGATGGTGTTGCCCTCTGCAGTAATACGGGAGGTAGGGGGAGGACTTAGGGGGAAAGGTAATGACTTCTGTTTTGGACATATTAAGTTTAATGTCCACTGAACTTCCAGTTCTAGATGTTTGAAAGGTAGGTTAAGATACTAAATTAGAGGACTGGAGAGATATTAGGGCAGGAAAGGTAGATTTGAGAATCATAGGCTGAAAAACGGTAATTAAATCCATGGAAGCCAATAAGATCATCAAGTGAAGTAGTATAGAAAGACAAAACTACTCGGGATAGAACCCTGAGGGACACCTATGGTGAGAGGGCATGATCTAAAAGAGGATCCAGCAAAAGAGACAGAAAAGGAGCAACCAGATAAGTAGAAAGAGAACCAGGATAGAGTGGTGCCCTAAAAACCTAGAGAGGGGAAAGTGTCAAGGAAAAGAGACTGTTAACAGTGTCAGAGGCTGCAGAGAAGTCGAGGATAATGAGAATTTAGTAAAGATCATTAGATTTGATAATTAAGATCATTAGTAACTATGGATAGAGCAGTGTAGGTAGATTGATAAGGTTGGAATTTGGATTTTAAGGGATTAGGGAAGAGAGTGAAAGGAAAGAAAGTGGGAACACCTGTTGTAGACAGCCCTTTCAAGGAGTTTAGCTACAAAGGGCAGAAGAGATGCAGGACAGTGGGAGTGAGTGTGGGGACTTAGGTATGTTTGTAGGGAATAATCCAGTAGCAGAGAGAGAATGAAAATGAGCAAAAGAGTGGGGATGACAAAGGAGTTGATTTTTTGGAAGAGGTGAGATGGAATGTGATCTCTTAAATAGGTTAGAGGGGTTAGCCTTAAAAGGAATAACGCTGCCTTTTCATGTAAGACAGGGGTGAAAAATGGAGTAGTGGTAAAAGGCATCTAAGTGATGGAACATAAGAAATAGGGGAGAAAAGGGAAGCCATCTGTCATTTCTCTTAATTTTCCCTCATAGAATTGTCATCCATGCCTCTTCCTAAGCTCTTCTTAAAATTTCTACATTTTTAAACTCTACCTTCTATTAGGCTAATGAATTTCATTTGTTTATTGATAGTATAGTATTTATACCTAAACCCTGTCTCTTCCTGTTGTTAGATATGACATTAAGAAATTATTCATTTCTTAGTTTTTAATTTCCTCATATATAAGAGAAGTCCAGAATCACCCTGTTGTTGATGATGTGATCAGTACTTTTTATTTCCATAAACTTTCAGGCCCAGCTTTTGGTCTGAATGTCTAGTAAAGTACTAAAGTCTCCTTGTAGTTACTCAGTAGTTGAAGGATCTTAATTTTTCAGAGACAGTTTGCCAGTTTGAATAGAAGTTGATTCATTTGTTAGTCAAATACATATAAAATCTAAAGTTTTCTTATTTCTGTCACAATAGTACACTATTTCATAGTAAAAAGAAATAGAGAATTAATGGAAACTCTGAGAAATATAAGAAGTCCCTTACTAGTGAAACTCCAAATTTTGATTGCTCCTTTTCTTTCAGGGTCCAGGATCCCTGTAGTGATAGGGACACTCCTGAGAGTTTTGTTCCCTCCTCTTCTCCTGAAAGTGTGGTAGGAATGGAAATAAGCAGGTATCCAGACCTGTCATTGGTCAAAGAAGAACCTCCAGAACCTGTCCCATCCCCTGTCATTCCAATTTTGCCAAGCAGCAGTGGAAAAGGTAAAATTGATATACATCACCATTTTTTTTTCCTGAACAATGTAGTGTTAATGTACTTTGGACAAACAATCCACTTTCACTATTTTTTTTTTTAAGGTTCAGAAGCTAGACAGAATGATGTAAAAGCTGAGCCTAGTTCAGGCACCCTATTTTTCACGTCTCCATTTGGCCCATCCCAGAATGGCCCTAAATCTGGCCTTATATCTGTGGCAATCACTCTACATCCCACGGCTGCCGAGGTAAGGGATAAAATGTCATACCATTTACACATATACTTATATGCATAGACTATATCTCCTGACTTTCAGATATCAAAATAAAGATTTTTTGATAACATTTAAAATTTGAGTGTTATCTTTTGTAGTTTTTTAAAAATCTGGATATTAATATTTAATGCACAGTGGGCCTACTCTGAACACAGATTGAAGCATACCTTATTTTTTACTATATTTTTCTTGTACTTCTTTTGTCTCTGTGTTTTGTTTTGCAGCATGGCTAATGTGGACGTGTTTTACATGACTTTACATGTATAATATGAAATTGCTTTGCTTTCTCAAGAAGAGGAGAGAGAGAAATTGAAACTCAGTTTTTAAAAATGATTGTTATGTTTTACTTGTAATTGGGAGATATTTAATGAAAAAAATAAAATTTTTTTAAAAAAATTTACATCCTTTTTAATCTATAAAAATTATTTAAAAGTATTTATTATATGTTTTATATATAATATATATTATGTATATTATATATTTTCCTTCCATGGCCCTGTCATTGAACATTTAAAAATAAATAAATGTCTCATCAATATGCATAATTGAGTAAAACCCATGTATGTTTCATTCTGCATTGGACAATATCTCATTAGTTTTGTATCCCCTGCAGTATGTTCATAATAAGTGCTCTATGAATGTTAGATGATTTTTATATCTGCCAATTTTGATGTTGTCTTGTTCAGTTTTATTTCCTTCCTTTAGTTCTTTGCATATAATATTTAATAAAGGCTTTTTGAATTGAAGTTAATTAATGGACATTCATCAAGGCATGTTAGCAAACAGTCAATTTCATTGGTGTGATATGATCACTATTATGCTGACTTGCGTTTATTCCAGAATGTCTGTTATGATCAATGGTACTGGGAATGTATTTTAGTTTAGCTTCTTTAAGATTTATTTATTCTTTCATTTAAATATCAAACTTCTTCCAAATGAATATTAATACTTTATTTTTCTTCTTTGGATATGTTTTTAGACTTTTTCTCTGGGTTCTGAGAAGGATCGTTGAATAGGAGTTCTTGATTCTTTATGATATTGTTAATGGTTTCATGATCATTCTGCATTTTAAGTCCATTACCTCTCTTTTAGGAGGTGGGTGGCATGTCATATTCAGTCCTCCATACTTGTGGTTTCTCATTGCATTGATCAGATTTCAGAAGCCATTCAAAGTTGTTTTTCTTTGTAATAATACTATCATTTTGTAAAATGTTCTCTACTTTATTTATTTCACTTTTCATTAATTCATATAGATTTCACTTTCTTCTGAAACTGTTTCACCATTACTTATGGCATAATATTCCATTAAATACAGATATAATTTTCTTAGCCAATAGGTAGCAAATTTATTTCCAGTTTTGATCTTTTTTATTTCTTTCTTTGATCTCTGTAGGGTATAGGTTTAGTAGCTGAAGTTGTGTCAGGTGATACCTCAGAATTGTTTTAATTTGCATGTCTATAATCAATAGTGATTCAGAGCATTTTTTCATGTAACTTTTGATAGCTGTGATTTCTTCTTCTGAAAACTGCTTGTTCATATCATTTGAACATTTATCAGGCTCTTATTTTTATAAATTTGGTTCATTTCTCTATGTATTTGTGAAAGGAGGCCTATATTTGAGACACTTGCTGTAAAATTTTTTCCCATTTTACTTTCTTCTGCCTAATTTTGTCTGTATTTTGTTTGTGCAAAAGCTTTCAAATTTCATGTAATCAAAATTATATATTTTACTTCCCATGATCCTCTCTATTATTTGATCATAAATTCTCCCTAATCCATAGATTTTTCAGGTACATTTCCCTCTAATTTGTGATATCACTCTTTCTGTTTAAATCATTTATTCATTTTAACGTTATCTTGGTATATATACAGTGTGAGATTTTGGTCCATGCCTAGGTTCTGCCAAATTACTTTCCAATTTGCCAAGCAATTTTTATTAAATAGTAAATTCTCATCCACAGAGCTTGGACCTTTACATTTATCAAACACTAGCATACTCTGGTCATTTACCAGTGTGTTGTGTACCTAATCTATTCCAGTGATCCACCACTCTATTTCTTATGCAGTACCAGATTGTTTTGATGATTCTTGCTTAAATCTAGAATTGCTAAGCCGTCTTCCTTAACATTTTTTTTCTTTGATTCCCTTGATATTTTTGACCCTTCGTTCTTCCAGATGGATTTTTGTTATTTTGTTTTCTAGCTCTATAAAATAATTTTTTGGTTGTTTGATTGGTGTGGCACTTAATGAGTAAATTAACTTAGGTAGAATTGTAGTTTTTATTATATTGGCTCAGCCTACCCATGAGCAATTGATATTTCTCCAGTTGTTTCGATCTCACTCTATTTGTGTGAAAAGTGTTTTACAGTTGTGTTCATGTGGTTTGTCTTAGTAGGTAGACTCCCAAGTATTTTATATTGTCTACATTTATTTTAAGTGGAATTTCTTTTTCTGTCTCTTGCTCCTGGACTTTGTTGGTAATATGTAGAAATGCTGATGATTTATATGGGTTTATTTTATATTCTGCAACTTTGCTGAAGTTGTTAATTGTTTCAAATAGTTTTTAGTTGATTCTCTAGGGTTCTCTAAGAATACCATTGTATCATCTGCAAAGTGATAGTTTTTTTCCCTCATTGCCTATTTTTATTTCTTCTGTTTCTTGTCTTGTTACAACTAGTATTTCTATTGAGTGATAGTGGTAATTATGTACATCCTTGCTTCACATCTTATCTTATTGGGAAGGGTTCAAGTTTATCTTCATTACAGATAATGCTTATTGTTTTAGATAGACACTTCAGAAGAAAGGCTCCATTTATTCCTATGGCTTCTAGTATTTTTAATAGAAATGGGTATTGTATTTTGTCAAAGGCTTTTTCTGCATCCGTGGATATATAATCATGTGATGAGGGATTGGGGTGTTTTGTTGTTATTGTTTTGTTTTTTTGCTTTTGTTGTTGATATGGTTAATTATGGTGATAGTTTTCCTGGTATTGAATTTCCTGATATTGAATCAGCCCTGCATTCCTAGTAAAAATTCCACCTGGTTATAATATGTGATCTTTGTGATATATTGCTATGATCTCCTTGCTAATATTTTATTTTAAATTTTTGCAACAATATTCATTAAGGAAGTTGGTCTGTAGTTTTCTTTCTCTGTTTGCTCTCCCTTATTTAGTTATTAGCACCATATTTGTGTTGTAGAAGGAATTTGGTGGAACTCCTACTTTATTTTTTTTTTTCAGATAGGTTTTGTAGTATTGGGATTAATTGTTAATTAATTAACATTTGGTAGAATTAACTTCTGACTCTATCTGGTACTGGGGATATTTTCTTAGGGATCCCGTTGATGACTTGTTCAATTTCTTTTTCTAAGATAGGGTTATTTAAATATTCTGTTTCCTCTTCTGTTAATCTGGGCAGTTTTTATTTTTTGGAATAGTCATCCATTTCACTTAGATTGTCAGTTTTACTGATATGTAATTGGGCAAAGTAACTCTTAATAATAGCTTTAATTTTATCTTTATTGGTGGTGATTTTCCCTTTCTCGTATTTGATTCTAGTAATTTGGTTTTCTTCTTTCTTTTTATAATCGAATTAACCAGTGGTTGATCTGTTATGTTGGTTTTGTTTGTTTGTTTTTTTCCATAAAAGCCAGCTCCTAGTTTTTTTGTTCTCTGTCTTTTTTTAAAATTTTACATTTTATTAATCTCCTTTGATTTTCAGTATTTCCATTTCAGCATTTAGTTGGGGAGGATTAATTTGGTCTCTTTCTAGTATTTTTAATTGCACACCCGATTCATTGGTCTGCTCCTTCTCTCTTTTACTGATATGTATGTTTGGAGATATACATTTTCCCCTAAGTATTACTTTGGCTGCATCCCACAAATTTTGGAGTGTTGTCTCATTGTTGTCATTCTCTTCAGTGAAATTAGTGATTGTTTCTATGATCTCTTCTTTGACCCACTCATTCTTAGTGTCTAATTAATTTTTAATCTCTGTTTCCATAACCCTTTATTGAAATATATCTTACTCAACAGGAAAGTAGGAGAATTAGGAGGAAAAAAAATAAAAAGCAGTACCCAAAAAAGGCAAGCAAGAATATATCATCACTTATCAGTTCATAGGCTTCCTATCTCCTATAATCCTAAATTGGAAAGGTCTTTGTAGGCATGGAGGTTGTCTGTAGAAACATGTAGATTTTTGCAGGTGACTCGAATCACACAATTCCCGAGTTATAGGAAGCAAGATTTCTCTTTATCTTTTATTTGATGGTGTGCATCTTAGAAGGAAACTGCAGATGGATAATAAGATGGAGCCAGTATTTAGGAGGAGGAGGAAATTGGACTGAACCATATCTGAGTTGTGCAGAATTTCAGTTTTTCAAAACTGTTTACTCCTGCCACTGCCTTCCTTTTTAATAGCAATTAATGATACCAGTTTGGCTGTGAATTTTTGTGCAACTACAATTGGAGGTACAAAATGGAAAGATAAATGATGGAAGTAAGTAGGCTATTTGTTGAAAGGAGTGACAAGTAAAAAGTAGTGTCACTGACATGAAGGATATGTATGACTGGGTAAGGGAGTGAGTTACATAGACTCGGCAGCACTTCTTCAGCTGTAGGACTCTATATGGGGTTGTGATCCACAGTTTAATAAGTGCAGAAGGGGTCACAAGTAGAAAAAGTTTAATAAGCCCTGATATAGAGTGAAGAATGATAATAGACAGATGGCTCAAAAGCTGCTACAGAAGAGACCAAGATAAGGTTTTGAGTATGTTGGGTAGAGTTCTGGAATATTTTTAGAATGATACACGGAAGAATTGCACAGAAAAGCACTAATAGATTTCTGTTTTACCCTGGTGCAGGGAGTACTCATAACTATGTGTTTTTACCTCTATTATAGTGCAGTTAATATTGCTATTTGTCAAATATTAAAATTTTTTTTTGAGAAATCATTAAGTTCCAAATAATGTAACAGGAAGATTTCTTAAAACAATGCTATTATGATATCCTCTTGTTCATTGTTACCTTTGGATAACATCCAAATATTTACTTGTTTTTAGAATATTAGTAGTGTTGTGGCTGCATTTTCCGACCTTCTTCACGTACGAATTCCTAACAGTTACGAGGTCAGTAATGCTCCAGATATTCCTTCCCACGTGGGCTTGATAAACGGCTCTCGCGTAAGTTCTGGCTTAGAATATCGGCAACAGTTACTCCCACATGCTCCTCCACCAGTATCCATGAGCCATGGAAGACTAGTAGCCTCTTACAAACTCAAACAACCAAATATGCCATTTCCTCCAACAAGCAATGGTGAGTTAGTTTATGACATTCTCATTTGTAATTCTTAATCCTTAAGATAAGATTGCTCAGTTTGTTTTTTAGGAGTTTATAACTAATATTTGTATACTGTACCAGCCAAGAGGGGATAATATGCATTATATTTTTTATTCAGACATTTCCTGAATCCTTAGGACTTCGTTAGGTGTCCTTTTCTATTCTCTACAAGTATGTGGAATTGCAGTATAAAACAAAATATACTTGTAAGTCTAGTTGGTATAGCTAGGTGGTACAGTGGATAGAGTACTAGGCCTGGAGTCAGGAAAACTCATTTTCCTGACTTCATATCTGACCTCATACACATACTAGCTGTGTGACCCTGAGCAAATCATTTTAACCCTGTTTGCCTTAGTTTCCTCGTCTGTCAAATGAGCTGGAGAAGGAAATGGAAAACACTCCAGTATAAATGCCAAGAAAACTTCAAATGGGAACATGAAGAATAATAATAATAGATGAAATGACTGAACAACAAAATGGTCTATTTGGGGAGGAATAATTTAAATAGGCTAATTGACAATTGATTTTTTTTTAAAATCAGCTCTTTCATATGAGGTTCTGCTAGAAGCACTATTTCACAACAATGAATCTTTTTTATTAATGCATAAGCATTTTTTGTAAATCTTTGTCATTTTATTTCATTTTTGCTTGCATAAAATCTATTATGTATGCTGTGTGAATTAAAAATAATAACTTTTGTTGAATAATAATTGTATTTAGTTCATGTCTATAATAGAAAGTGCTGCTTAGTCTATGTCTGAATTTTCTTTGTATTAATAAAATTATGCAACTTTTACCTGATTCTCTATATCTTCCTAAATTAAGTCTTAGCCCTCTGTTATTCTCTTAAACTCTTTCCTCAAATAAGGCTTGTCATTGTGAATTCAATTGTAAATATTTCCTTATTGTTTATTTGCAATTCCATAGTATATCATTTCACTTGAAGTGCATTCATGTCTCCAGGTGTTTATAATCTCTTAACAAATTTTTATTTTTCAGGTCTAGCTGGTTATAAGGATCATAATCAAAATATTACTGATAACTCTGCACTCAGACCACAATGGTGTTGTCATTGTAAAGTGGTCATTCTTGGTAGTGGTGTTCGGAAATCTTTTAAAGCTCCAGGCTTTCTGAAACAGGTATCTAAAAGCTATATTGCCTTTTCTCAATTAAAGTAGATTTGCACAAGATATATATACATATATACATATAAAAATATAAAGAGAGAGATAGTAAAAAACAGAGAGAGACTCATAGTGCAGATTTAAGTTATTAAAGACTTTGAGACATACATACTCAATTGGGTATGAAAATTTATCTTATCCTACAGGAAAATAGGAGGGATAATAGGAGGGCAGATTGGGAGAGAGGATAATCAGAAGCAAACACTTTTGAGGAAAGACAGGGTCAAAGGAGAGAATAGAATAAACAGGGAGTGGATAGGATGGAGGGAAATATAGTCTTACACAACATGACTATTATGGAAATGTTTTGCATGACTACACATGTATAACCTATATCGAATTGCTTGCCTTCTCAATGAGGGTGGGTGCGGAGGGAAGAAGGGAGAGAATTTAGAACTCAAAAGTTTTAAAAACAAATGTTAAAAATTGTTTTTACATACAACTGGGAAATAAGATATACAGGCAATGGGGTATAGAAATCTTTCCTGTCCTACAGGAAAATAGAAGGAGAAGAGGATAAGAGAAAGGGGGGGAGTTTGATAGAAGGAAGGGCAGATTGGGGGCATGGAGTATTCAGAATGCATGCTGTCTTGGGGTGGGGGGGAGGGAAGAGATGGGGAGAAAATTTGGAACTCAAAATCTTGTGGAAGTGAATGTTGAAAACTAAAAATAAATTAATTTAAAAAAAAATACTTTGGGGGTAACCATACATGTCTGTCTGTCTGTATCTATGTGTATGTGAGTATTCAGGATTCATAACTGTTAAGTATTCCAAAGTTTGAATGGTGCAGTAATCTATTTTACATTGTAAGTAATCAACCAGACATAAGACATTAGCTTCAATTTTGTAAACTCCAGGTTTTTTTTGCAGGGGGAAGGAAGGAACAGGAAATAGTGGTAGTAGCACCACAAGTACAAGCATGCTTCTCTCTCTCTTTCTCTCTTTCTTCCTCTCTCCCTCTCCCTCCCTCTACTTCCCTTCCTTCCTAGCCAAACTGGCTGCTTTTTATGGTCATCTTAGATTCAAGACTGAAGTAAAATATGAAAAGGGAAAAAAAAAATTCTGCTGCTCATGTTTCCTAAGTTCATTTCTCTCCATGTACTACGTGTCTGTACTAGACATTTGGACAATGTTACCTTTTACTTTTAAGTCAGAAGTGAGTCACATTTCCTGTAACATAGGATACAAAGCACAAATCTCTGCTTGTGACACTCAGTTTTCACTGCCATTTTGTCTGGGGGACATAATAAATCAGAGGGACAGGAGGAAAGTTCTAAGCTACATTCATCAGCAGTGTTCAACTTTAGCTCAATAGCTGTTTTTTGAGTGAGTTATAATGTTGAAATGCTCACATACCTTTTCTCTTTGATTTTCAGGATTCCCAAGAAAGCTCTGATAGAGGGGAAAAGGACATTGTATTTTGTAGTAATAACTGTTTCGTTCTTTATTCAACAACTGTACAAGGAAAAAACTTAGAACACAAGGTAACAATTTCAACATTAAGACGCAATGATTTAGTGCTGTTTGATTTTTGTCATAAAGCTGATGAGCTAATTGTGTAAAACCTTGAAGAACTAATTAATTGAGGGGAATTATGGTTTTCACCTTCACTTAAGTTTAATATCATTGATCTCTAATTTTATTCTGTAACCATTTGTAATATATAATGGAAAACTGAAGGCAAATTCCTCTGCACTGTAGTTGTTTGAAAATCTAATGGACAGAGTCCAAAAAAGGGGGAAATGTAAATAACTCATTCAAGATCAGATCACATTCCTAACACTGTCATGTCAGGGACTTGAATATAACTTTCCTACCTTCTGTTCTGGAGGACCTGAAATAATTTCTTTCATGAGTCCATTTTTGATTTCTTAAAACTTTCCAAAAAATATTCTTTTGAGAAAGTGAATATTTTTGTATAGGGAAGCCTGTACATTCCTCTCCATCTCAGCAGAAAAAAACATCTCTACTTTATTTGGTTTCATATAGTGTAGAAGCTTGTTAAGAGTACCTTTCTAAGATTATGTGCTCCATGAACATTATTCAACTTTTACAAACCTTGTCATTTTTCCTATCCTATTCAGCAGCAATTTAGCAGACATTTTAAATGCGTTGATATATTATGTATTAATAAAACACAATTTCCAGCAAATACCCAAAAATCCCTATAAAATGTATTCTCAAAAAAATTGATTTCAGTAAAGCTTTATTAAGTACCTGCTATGCACAGAATATTTAGGTACTGAAGGTATTTCACTTTCATGAAGATTCTCTTTTGGGAGGGAGGAAAATGGGGTGGGAGTGGAGGGTGTCTTGCTTCTTAACTTCCCTTCTCTTTGTTATGTGTTTCTGCAGAAACATTTAGCAGAAAAGTCACTAAATAAATCCAAAGAATTATTTAAAGCACTTTTAAAGAGAATATCTCCACTGACAGTATTGTTGATTAGACTTAGTTATATAATAAATTTTATTAGAGTTAATATATAACCTAGAGAGGTTAGTGGGAAGAGAGGCAAAAGTACCATTGAAGTGAGAAGGAGCTAAAGGAACATTAAACTGAAAGATCAGTCACAGGACTGACCCTAATATCATCTGTTATAGTCAAATCTTTTAACGTCTTAGACTGAGCCTGCTGCTTCTCGCTCTCTATTTACTTCCTCTCTCCCTATAATTTCTAAAGCTTTATTCCCAGCTAAGTTTAAAAAAAAAAATCACCCATATCTGAGTTTCTTTGTTTAAGCATGTTCAAATTTGAACAATTCTTAGGGTTATTTATCACTGTTTTTTCTAACATGATTTCTTTTTATTTTACAGGATTCGCTCCCTTCCTTGCCACACTCACCAACAAAAGAGCTGCCCCCTAAAGCATTCCATCAATACAGTACCAACATCTCCACCTTAGACGTCCATTGTCTCCCACAGCTTCAGGAAAAAGTCTCTTCCCCAGCATCACCTCCCATTACTTTCCCTCCTGCCTTGGAAGCAGCCAAAGTAGAAACAAAGCCAGATGAACTGAAAGTAACAGTAAAATTGAAACCTCGCCTGAGAGCCATCCATAGTACTTTTGATGATTGTAGACCACTAAGTAAGAAATGGAAAGGGATGAAATGGAAGAAATGGAGCATTCATATTGTAATTCCCAAGGGCACTTTCAAACCACCTTGTGAAGATGAAATAGATGAGTTTCTGAAAAAACGGGGCACTTCCCTGAAACCCGACCCTGTGCCTAAAGACTATCGGAAGTGTTGCTTCTGTCATGAAGAAGGTGATGGGTTAACTGATGGGCCTGCCAGGCTGCTCAACCTTGACTTAGATCTCTGGGTCCATTTGAACTGTGCTCTTTGGTCCACAGAGGTCTATGAGACACAAGCTGGTGCCTTAATAAATGTGGAACTGGCACTTCGGAGGGGCCTACAAATGAAATGTGTGTTCTGTCACAAAATGGGTGCCACTGGCGGTTGTCACAGGTTTAGGTGCACCAACATTTATCACTTTACCTGTGCCATTAAAGCACAATGCATGTTTTTTAAGGATAAAACAATGCTTTGCCCGTTGCACAAGCCAAAGGGAACTCATGAGCAAGAATTAAGTTATTTTGCAGTTTTTAGGAGGGTCTATGTCCAGCGAGATGAGGTTCGTCAGATAGCTAGCATTGTGCAGCGTGGAGAACGTGACCACACTTTCCGAGTGGGAAGCCTCATCTTCCACACAATTGGTCAGCTGTTACCACAGCAGATGCAAGCATTCCATTCTTCTAAAGCTCTCTTCCCTGTTGGATATGAAGCCAGCAGATTATACTGGAGTATGCGGTATGCAAATAGACGCTGTCGCTATTTATGTTCTATTGAGGAGAAGGATGGGCTTCCCATGTTTGTGATCAAGATTGTGGAGCAAGGCCATGAAGATCTTATTCTTACTGATACCTCTCCTAAAGGTAGCATGCAATTATGTTAACTATTTTTTTGTTACACAGAATTACTGTGAATTTTCCATGTATTCTCCCTTTTTCCTAATTCCTCTCAGCTTCTTTTTTTTATATTCTAAAGCAACCTTTGATAAATTGCTGAGAATAATGTTTTGAAATACAAGATGAAATTCTCTGTACTATCTTAATTGGATTATGATATAATTTTTGGAAGGCACACTATGATCCTAGTAGCTTCAGAAGATCCAGGTCAATATATATTTTAAATAAAAACTTTCCAAAATGATTCTGGCAGTGGTTAAATCAGGTCATGTTATTCACCTTGAAACCTATATCCCATTTCATAAAACTCCTGTTGTTGGTATTCCTATACTGTACCTACACATGGACTCTGTCAGGAGTTGGTATCTTCTGGGAATTAGATCTGAGGAATACTTCCAACACCTTTACTTGGATAGAATTTAATGAGAATTAGCACTAGTGGAATCAGCATTCCAAATTTAGTGGTTTGGGACTACCTGAAATGATTGACTAGAAATCAGGATATATCATTTAAATTTAAATGTCGCTCTTGTGCACTGTGGTCAGCCATATTAGAAAAATTGGATTTGCCCCTGAAGCTAAAAGGAAAGGTACCTTAGAAGTCATCAGATCCACTCTCCTCCTTTTTATAAATGAGAAAACTGAGGTCCACAAAGATTGTCTCCCCATAATTACAGAGTGGCAAAGCCAGGACTAGAACCCAACTCTCTGAACTTGCAAACCATTGAATGCTCTTAAGTTGCTGTTTAGGATTTAATAAAAAAAAAAGAGTGGTTTGGAGTGAGCTTCTAGTTCAGCATCTACTGTACTTTATGAGGAACAGAAAGGGAATCAAATCAGAAATACATTGATGGATACTTACAAATAAAGGCATCATCTAGTTTCCATTTGGATTTCATTACAGAGCCTATTAAAACTAGAGCTATTAAAGCCTTTGAAGTTCAAAGCTGTTCAGTAATGAACTAGCCACATTGATAGGCATCATCAGACAATATAACTTTGACATGTTCCTTGCCCTCTCTAGCTGTTTCCCTTATAATTTGGCTAGGAGAAGTTATGCAAGCAGAGAGAGGCAATGCCAAACTAAATTAAATTAGCTTTTATTAAATTTCTTATGACTCTGGGACCATGTGCAGAGTTGGGCAGAGAAAAATTAGATAAAAGTTTTTGTCTTGTCCCTATTCACACACATTCTATAGATACAACTGACTTTGTTACTCCAGCTTTGCATCCTTAAGCAGGCAGTTGTACTCACCTTGGCCCACTGTCCCAGAACCACAGAAGAAATTTAATAATAGTTAAGTAAATTTAGCTTGTTATTGCCTCTCCCTACTCACAAAACTTCTAGCCACATTATAAGGCAGACAGCTAGAGGGCAGGCAACATGTCAAAATTATATTTTTTTACATTGCGTATCATTGTGAATCATTCGTTATTGAACAGTGTTGAAATTCAAAGATGTTAAGATCATTTGCTTTTTTATTAAGAGTGACTTCTTAGATTATTTTATGTTAGTCAAGGGAAAATGAGCTGTTTTTTTTTTTTAATTAAGATTTTGGTAAAATACCCAAGTAAAATATTGAGAGGAAGTTGGTCACCATAAGTTATATAGAGGACATTATGAAAACTGCAGTAACTCACTGGAATTGAATTTTGATTTGTTATTATAGTGAATAATTTCTGGTTGATTAACATGAACTCTTCTCATTTTCATGGACTTATTAATGTAGTGATTATCGTTACTTGGTCTATTCAATATTGTTAATAAGTCTTTTGACTGTTCTTTCGTATCTTTTCTTGAGTTTTTTTGTGTGTGTTTGTTCAGTTTTATGTCGTAATTTTTATCCTTGTCATTTAGGTGTTTGGGATAAAATTCTGGAGCCTGTTGCATGTGTTCGAAAAGAATCTGAAATGCTTCAGCTCTTTCCTGGGTATTTAAAAGGAGAAGATCTATTTGGCTTAACAGTCTCTGCCGTGGCAAGAATAGCTGAATCAGTGAGTGCTTTGATTAAGTTGTAAAATAGAAATTTTTTTTCATCCTGGAAAATTCCTTTTTACTTTATTCACATAAAGTACTTATTCATTCATATATTCATTCAGCAACCATTTATTAAATGTCTGTCATGAAGCAAGTCTTGTATGGAAAATCAGGTATAATAAAGGCTTGATTGATATCCTCATGACTAATAAATGATCTTTGCTGCTAACTGATTTACTCTAAAGAGGGTATTATTTTTGGACACGACTTGTTCCTCAAAATTGAATTATTTCCCACACAGTTTTGGAATACACATAACTGAGGCTAAAGGTCAGACTTTTCAAGAGCAATAATTGTTAATGTTGCAAACTCACTTGTGGAAAGCACAAGAAAGTCCCTATAGGCTATTTACTAGAATTGTATAATTTCCCTCTTGGATGGCCCAACACTGCATGAATGGATCTATTTGGTTAAAAAAAAAATCAAGGTTATATGAATTTTATAGTAGAGAGACAGAGTCTGAGAAGTAAATTAAAGCAGAAATTCTCTTAGAAATAAGTTATACTTCCCTAAAATAGTCTGAATATTAACCACATATCTGACCTTACATACTGTGATATTTAAAATGGAAATGAAACTGATATGCAAAAACAGCTAAGAAAGTAAACAGTGTAAAAGTGGGCATATGAGACTTAAAATTCCAAGGAATTATCGGTAACTAGAGCTATTCATATTGACACATGTATCAGAAGTTGAAGTTATTTCCGAAGCCCCTGGGTGCCAGAATGTTTTATAAAGAAGTGCAGGTTCTAAAATCCCATTTGGTTATATGCATTGCTTGCAGTCTTGTGAAAAGAGCCCCATCTTTTCCTTTTTTAGAGGAAAGTTGGCAGGGTTCACTAAATAATCTCTTCAAAAATCAGTTTGCATATCCCTACATAATGTTTGGTGCCATGCAAAAATTTGGTCCCTGCTCAGCTACTTATTCTGCTGTGTGAACTTGTGCAGGTCACTCTTATTTGGAAAATAAGTAGGTTGGGCCAGATGATTTCTTAGTTCCCTTCTGTAATTTATGATGCATGAATGCAGCTTTTAAAAACTATCTTAGAAACAAAAAGTGCACCTTTATTGTTGAAAATGTTCATAAGCAATATTTGCATCAATGTGGAATGACATTTTCATAGGAGACTCCAGATCTCTTTTTTGCCATGCTTGCACTTTTTATTGTACAGGATTAGATCCCTTTCTTGCCACACTCATCAACAAAAGATGCTCCTTGATGGTCCTGGTGACTAGATAGGTAGTGTAGGATATTCTCAGATGTGTTAACTTTGGTCTCTTTAATTCTTCCTTTCAGCTTCCTGGGGTTGAGGCATGTGAAAACTATACCTTCAGATATGGCCGAAATCCTCTCATGGAGCTTCCTCTTGCCATTAACCCCACGGGCTGTGCCCGTTCTGAACCTAAAATGAGTACCCATGTCAAGAGGTTTGTGTTAAGGTATTTTGTTTTAACTTCACATAGTACAGCCCAGGGTTTCTAGGCTCTGTAGTGGTTTTCTTGTGCTTTGTCTGCTGCTCACAAACCCTGTTGTCTCTGGCTGTGTATGTGCATGCCCAAATGAAAAGAGCTCTGCTGTGTTGTATTTGCTAATCAGCTTTCCATGTATGTGTGTCTTATCAGAAAGAATGGGAAAAACAATGTGACTTTGTCCCTTATTCAGAGATGTCTTCAGTTTTCTTTGTATTTTTCTGTTTATATGCCTATGCCTACAGGCCTCACACCTTGAATAGCACCAGCACCTCGAAATCCTTTCAGAGCACAGTCACTGGAGAGTTGAATGCCCCTTATAGTAAACAGTTTGTCCATTCTAAATCCTCTCAATACCGCAAAATGAAGACTGAATGGAAATCCAATGTGTATTTAGCGCGGTCTAGGATTCAGGTGAGCTGAAACTCTCTCTATGGATGTGTTTTGTTCTCTGCAGAGAAGTTTGATGAAATTTATATAACATGTGTGATAAGAATTTCACATGACTGTTAGGATAATTTTTTATATCTGTTGTCTTGATTTCCTTGCCACAATAATTTGCCAAATGAGACATCAATGCGATGATTAACTGTAGATTCAGGTTATGAGTTATTTTACCCCAGGTAACATGCTAATGTTTAAATTAGGACGACAATTTCCAACACCTAAAGAGAGTGCTATCACAATGTGGGCATTGAATAAAAGTGAGTTAGAGAAGGGTGGGAGACAGGATGCCATTTAAATTTCAGTGAGTTAGGAGGTTGAACAAAGATCAATTTCATTATTTCCAAAGAATAAGAAAGCCTCTCTGAAAACAGGAGAATGTGGACCTAATTTTCTCACTATCTTGGTTGATAGAAATCATGTTTTAATTTTATAGTCCTGAAAGATGTTATTTACTTCAGGTATTGTACCAAGTACACTTAGTATGTTAAGTCAAGTGGATTAAAAACATAGAGAAAATTCGCTCCCCACTCATCCAAAGAAGCAGAACCCATGGAATCTAACAGTTGAGCCATAATTAGAAACTTCTATTCCTACCCTGAATTATTCATCCTGCCATATGGTTAGCTTCTGGATAAACTTGTAGAGTAGTGCTGAAAAATAATCTTTGCAAAGAGAAAAGATACAGCAATGATTTTTTTAAAAATTCCTTGTCAAGCTCTTATCTCCTCCAAGGACACTGGAAAAACCCAGACAGATTTCCTCCAAGGACTGTGAAAACCCAGATTAGTAGATAAGTTGCACAGGGATTTTTGATGATATTATTCACTGCTCAGGTACAATCATAATTGAACTAGGATAAAGCACATCTTTTAAAGAGACAAAGCATAAGATGCTAGGTTTTTTTAGCCATCACCATTATAGGCGAACAACCTTGTTTGGCTGAAGAACCTTCTGAGAATGAATCCTTTTCACTAAGTAGAATTTAATCTTCCTCTTGTGCTGTTGGTTCTCTCAGCCAGTAACTTGCAGCCAAACCCAACTGGCAGCATTGTTTGAGGCTGCACATTTTCTAACAAGGACAGGAATAAGTGGTCATTTTAGTATAGTGTTACATGGCAATATGATAACATGGTAACTAATCATGAAAGGCTGAAATCATCATATATGTATTTCCTTAAGGTCAGGTCTGATCATGTCACTTCTCTACGCTGTAAATTCCAAAGACCTGGTATTGCCCTCTAGAATCTAGATCAAACTCCTCTTTAGCTTTTAAGATACTTCACCACCTGACCCTCACCTATTTGGATCTTACTTCCACACTCTTATGATCCCTCCAAACTGCCCTTCTCTCTTTTTTTAAAATGCATCACTCCACATCTCTCATTTTCATGCCTTTGCACTGGATGTCTCCTAGGCTTAGAATACATTGCTACTTTATCTTGACCTCATAGAATCCCCCTCTACCTTTAAGATATATCATCATCTTCTATATGAAACATTTCTTGATCCCCTCAACTTTTAGGGCCTTCACTTTCAAATGACTTCATATTTATTTGTATTTATTTTCTATTTTCTGTGTGTCTATATCCTTCTGGTGTCCCATTAGAATGTAAACCACTTTGAAGTAAGGATTTTATAATCATAGTGCTTGACATATAGTAGGTGCTTAATAAATACTTAATTGATTAAAAATAGCACCTCTCAGGTCAGGATTGATTTTGTTGTTCAGAATATTTTAAGTCTAACATTAATAGCAATGAAGATCAAAAGCTTCTCCAGGAATCTGCAATGAGTTAGGTATACCTTTAAGCAACATTGTTGAAGACTTAGAATGCCTGGTTGGTTGACTGAATGTTTTTGTGTTGGTTTTTTGTTTTATCTTCCCTCTTACCAGTTCATTATCTGTCTTTATTTGGAAAATAGGTCAAAATTCTCCAGCTATTTTAACATTTTTTCATAAATGCTAGCTTTGAATACGTTCAGAATCACCGCGGTATATTCTACCAACATATTTATTATCATTGATCATTATTTAGTGTTGATGCCCATGTGTGTGTGTGTGTGTGTGTGTGTGTGTATGTATGTGTAAGCACTTGTACACACACACACACACACACACACACAAAATCAAAGTGAATTCATTATATGAAGGGAAAAAAAGGTTAACTGTTGCAGAATCTAGAAAGATTATATACAGAGTGTGAAGGTTTCTCGAACTATATGGCAAAAGTCTTTGAATAGTCCAAGCAGAGTAATGAGTGCACAAATTTCAGACTATAGGATATACAGTGAAAAAAGTTATTAGCATCCAATTGATATATTAGGGTGTTTTGTTTCTTTTAACCACATATAATTGGTGTTCTTAATGCAGTTCTGAATTTCATGGTCTCCTTTTACAGGGACTAGGCTTATATGCTGCTAGAGACATTGAAAAGCACACCATGGTCATTGAATACATTGGAACCATCATCCGAAATGAAGTAGCAAACAGAAAAGAAAAACTTTATGAGTCTCAGGTAGATATTCTCTGTATGTTTGCAAATTTTACTGTACTCAAACTAATATCAGACTCTCACAGTGCTACTGAGAAATGGGACCAAATCTGGCCATCTTGTGCAATCATTATTGAATAAAATGGCCGCTACCTTCTTTCTTCTCGTCCTGTACTTTTTGTAGATAGAGTCACATAATGTTACATGTATCTTTGACCACAGTTAGCATTTATAAATATGGATGTGATCGGCCAGTGAGATGTACCTCTTCCCCAACCTGTTTCCTGACAAAATGATTAGCAAGTTGAAGTGTAAACATAATAAACTGTGCCCTGTTGTAGTTTGGTGATTGCTGATGGCTTCTCGTTGGGGAAAATTACACCAAATATTTATTTCTTTCCCCTTTTTTAGAATCGGGGTGTGTACATGTTCCGCATTGATAACGATCACGTCATTGATGCCACATTGACAGGAGGGCCCGCAAGGTAGGTGACCCTAGAATAAGTTAGGTTCTTTCCCTAAGTTGTTCACATACCTACAAAGAAGAAATTAAAGAAAGATTTGAGTAGTATATGCTGTCAAGTAGTATTTCTCCAGTTAATTTAAGGAAAGCTAAATCATCTAAAAATAAATCTTGTAAATTTATTTAAGTTGCATTTACAGTTTTTCAAGGTAAAGGTTGATAGAGAAGGGTAATTAGTGATTTTCCTCTTAATCGAAATTGAGTTTTGTTTAGATCTTTCCATTTTGACTTGGAATAAAAAATGCTTTCCAAAATGATGGCTTTGCAGGTATATCAACCATTCATGTGCACCTAATTGTGTGGCTGAGGTGGTGACATTTGAAAGAGGACACAAAATCATCATTAGTTCTAATCGGAGAATCCAGAAGGGGGAAGAAGTAAGTAACTGAGGGGCTGTTGGGATTTTTGTTGAAGAAAATGATTATTGTGCAAAACATCTTGACAAATTTCTTCTGAGGAAATTGAATTAATCCAAAAAATATATTTATGCTACTAAATGACAGTGAGATTAGCCCTATATTTTTCAGATATGGGTCAAGTCATTCCAAGATGGTAACAAGGAGTTTTTGGTGGAATTACTGATACTAGAGAGAGCTCTGAAGAGCTGATGATGAATTCTGAAAATGAGATCAATTGTCCTCTGCCTTTTTTATATACTGTCCTTTAACGTGGCTATAATCCCAAGGAGAGCAGAGCTTCCTATAACTTTGTGGTAATGGTTCTTTATAAAATAGTCTCTGGAAAGGAGTATATGAGTAAAGGTATCAAGGGTCATCCATGGATACATAAAATTTTGCAAATTATTTGTTTTTGAACAGACTATATCATTTAGCCACATGCACAAAACTGGATCTTGTTTTTTATAAACACAGAAGACTTTTGTAATTTTTTTCTATGCTTAGACATCAGAAACTACCACTGAATACAATGTAATATTAAAATTGGAATCTACTTTGGAATTTTGTAGTCCACCCCCCCCCCCCATCTTTATACCACAACAAACTGATAATCATCAGCAGGGATCTTACAACTTATTAAACTGTTGGAAAGCTTTAATTCTGGGAAAACTTTTCCTATATTGAGTTAAAATCTGCTTCCCTATAATTTCTGCCATTTGATCCCAGTTCTAGTTTCTATAACAACAAACAACTCTGATCCCTCATTAAATAACCCTTGGAAACTGCTGTGTCCACCTCTCTAAGTTTTCAACTTGAAATTAAATAAACATCCCCATGTCCTCCATTAATTCTTCATATTGTTTGGATTGTAGATGCCTCATCACTGACTGTATTCCCCCTTTAAATGTATTGAACGTAATATTAAAGATGTGGTCTACCTGGTGAGGAGTACAGTAGCCTTAGCTTTTATGATCTGGACAACACTATATTCAGTTAATAATGATGTTTACCTTTACATATTACTTTACAGTTTAAGAACTGCCTTCCTCAAAGTAATTTTGGAAGGTGTCAGTAGTGCATTTTGATCCCTATTTTACAAATGAGAAAACTGAAGCATACACTAAAGGACTTGCCTTAAAGTCTTAGAACTACAATTTATCAATAGCTCCAGGCATACACTAGAATGCAATCCAGTCATCATCTGTCACATGTTGTTTCCATGTCAAGATTACAGTTGCCTTCTTTCCCTCATTTCTTATGTGCAACCATATGACGCAGTAAGTTTGTGCCCAAAATTCAGTTGTTTTTTTCACACAAAGTGCTGTCAAAATAGGTTTTCCCTGTTGTATACTTGAGTAATTTTTTTTTAAACTTCTTTGCCAGATTTTACGTTTAGCTTATTACATTATTCTGTTTAACTTTTTGTGAACTCTGGACCATTGTTTCATCTAGTCTGGTGGTATTTTAAATCTGAGTCAGCAATATTCCTTAGTAATTTTTCTTCCTAGTTAAATGTCATCCATAGATTTGGTAGATATGCTCCACTGTCTTCATTCATTTAATGAGAATGTTGAATAGGATAGGATCAGAACCAGAGTGGAGATGTGCCTATAAGTAAACAATAATTCATCGTTTTTTGAGTATGGTGTCCCCCCAACTCTGTCCTGAAACCTTTTCTGTACATGTATGTGTATGTATCTTTCTTGATAATCTCATCAGTCACAGGTTCAGTTGTCATATGTACGGCAGTGACTCCTAAATCTATATAATCAATCAGCCCTAATGTCTTTCTTAAACTATAGTCATCTCTACTCACATGGCCATAGGCATCTTGAACCCAACATGTCCAAAAATGAAGCCTTATCTTTCCCCCATCACCTTGCCCTCCTCCAAATTTCCCTGTACTCAAAAAAGAATAGTATAAGAGAAATTGAGGTGTTTTAATAGGGAAGATTACAGGAAGGAGGTGGTATTTGAACTGAGCTTTAAAGGAAGACAAGGATTCTTGGGGGCAGTGCTCTCGGCCTAAGGGAGAACTTGTGTGAATGCAGTGAGGCAGGGAATAATTAATTTTCTCCTTTGGTTTGTACATTAGAAATCCTTAAGAAAAATAGTATAAAAATGAGCCTGGAAAAAGTAAGTGCCACTCAGACAGTAGAGGGCCTTAAAAAGTCCAGGTTAAGGAGTTTTTTTGAGCAGAGAAGTAGACATTGTTAGACCTATGCCTTAGGAAGACTATAATAATCAACCAGGAACTAGGATGATTCTATTATGAGTGGAGAGAAGAGGATACATGTAAATGATGTTATGTAGGTAGAAATGGCATGAAGTCATTTGAGGAGATGAGAGCAGGGTAAAGGATGATTATAAGGATCATGATGTCTTCAACAAGACAAAAAGTGAGAGAGGAAATATTGGAGGAAGGGCAGTGCAGGAGGAATAATGAATTCTTTTTTAGACATGTGGAGTTCCAGATGTCCAGAATTTATCCAAGCAGACATTTGACAATGCTCTGCTGAAGTTCAGTAGATTAGGGGCAGCTAGGTGGTGCAGTGGATAGAGCACTGGCCTGGAATCAAGAGGACCTGAGTTCAAATCTGGCCTCAGACACATAATACTTCCTAGCAGTGTGACTCTGGGCAAGTCACTTAACTCCAATTGCCTCACTTTAAAAAAAAAGTGAAGTTCAGTAGATTACAGCTATATAGATTTTGGAGAGTATTATGAAATGTGTGTTTCATAATATCTGCAGAGGCATGATGAAACTGTGGGAGCTGAAATCTTCAAGAGAGCAAGTGTATACAGAAGTGGAGGTCTATGATAGCTTGGGGAAAACACTCATGATAAGGGGCAGTAGGTATATATTGATCCAACAAAGGATACTGAGAAGCAGTCAGAGAAGTAGGGGAATTGTGAGGGAGCACTGTAACAGAAGCCAAGCGAGCAAAGAGTGTTTAGGAGAGGACTGGTGAGTGTGAGTTTGGAAGCAAAATTCCAAAAAATTAACAGGTGAAAAGCAGTCAGAATAGTAATTCCTTCTAGGAAGAAAGCCAAGAGGTGGTGGCAGCATTATAAGACAGAAAGCTTTAAGATAAATTACAGGATAAAGTGAGGGTGTTTTGTTTTGTTTTTCAAAGTGACGTAGACCTGCTTACTTACATGCATGACGTAGATGTACTTACATGCATCAGGGAAATATGGAGAGATAGAAGATGAAAAAGAGAAGGAATGATTATTGGGGCCAACTTCTTGGGATACAGGAATGGACAGGATTTAGGGCACAGGAGAAAAGCCCCCTCTTCCTCAGAGGAGAGAATAAAAATGGAGAGTATCAGTGAAGATGTTGAACAATTTTGAGGGATAGAATAGGGGGAAGAGAGCCTTTGACCCATCACTTCTTTTCCAAGTAAAATAGGAGGAAAGAGCCCCTGAAGGGAGTTGGATGGAGTGATGTGACTTCCTGTGGCAGTGTTTAGGAGCTCAGGAGCATAAGCAGAGATGGCATGTAGGGATAATCCAAGCTTGAAGATTGCTTTTTGTCTGGACTACTGCAGTGCAGCAGCCTCTAACTGATGCCCCTGCTTTCAGACCCTCCCCTTGCTAAAACATCTTCCATACAGTTGCCAAACTAACTCAGCTGGTCTGACCACATCACTACCCTGCTCAAGAATGTTCAGTGACTCCCTTTTGACAAGCTCCTTAGCCTTTAATTTAAAGAGTTTCATCACCTGGTTCCTCCCTACCTTTCTAGAGTGTTGTGAGCTCTATTGGTCTGATCAGCCATAGTCAAATGCCATGTACCTTGACTCCAGCACAGTGATGTCATTTTGGTATGAACGAAGGACAATAACCAGAACAGACCAGTCATCTTTCTAGAGTTGGTTAGCCAGAGTGCCACCTTGTTCCTCTAGTGCGGCTCTCTCCCGCTCTGCGCCTTCGAGCACAGTCCTGCGCTGCTCACTCTTCTTCTTAGAACCCTGAGCTTCTGCGTCCAATCAGCTGATTGGCCCTTCTTGTTCTTATTCTAAATGTAACTTTTAAATAGTCTTTTGGCATTTTGACTTGTAAGGTCATAAGTTACTTTAGGGCAGGAGGTGCCTTTTTTTTCTTGTTTGTGCCTAGCACTTAGTGAATGTTTACTGAATGAATTGATTTCTTGGGTGTTGGACAGCTGGGGAGCTGCTGAGGTGGAAGTTCCTCTGGTAATGAAGATTGGTACCAACCAGAGAGTCGCTTGGGGGCAAAGAGGTCTTAGTACTTCCCCTAGGTCACTCACCCTGCCAGCATCGGGCAGAGATAGGACTTCAGCCTTGGTCCACCCTATATCTCCGAGGCAAATTCTCTATTCACTTTGTTTTTAGTTAAGGTGGTTGTTTTTTTTAAATTGCCTCCTATTCCTCTCGAACCATGTTCTTTTTGAGACTGTGGCAACAGCACCATCCTCATGCTTTCATAAAATCTATGGATATTGCCACCTCCAAGATGATATGAGCACTTTTCTCCACAGTTCCTCTATCACCAACCAGTTCTTCCTTGAGGCCGGAATTAAACCTGCTTTCCTGTTTTCTCCACATCAGAGGTGTCTAGCTGGGAACACTCAAATATCTAATATAAAATAGAAATACAGTAGAATACAAAATTAATATGTGGTTTTCTAAGTCAGTATGTAGCTGGCAGGGATCCATATGAAGTGGCC